TAAAGGTCGAGCCGCAAAGTTTTTTTCTGTAGCTACCTTTTCTATAGCACCTAGTTAGTTGGATCAGTTAAGAGCGCCTCACTTTTTCAAAAATTTGCATTGAATTTGATCGGTTTTGGCATGTGTGACTTAAGCGAACGGATAAGGTGTCATTCAAGTCTTCCTGTTTCCTTGATTGAAACGTGATGTTCACGAAAGTCACCTCGATGAATAAGATAGAGTTAATATACATGGTTTTGGTATTTATTTTTTGCTAAGTTCCGTAGTTTTTTGTAAATTGTCCTTCAAAGTTGTCATAGATTAAAGTCTTGAAAAGTGTCACGACAAGCCTTCGCTCGAGTGAAATTTAATTTCCGTAAAACTCTGAAAGATAAAGAGATCCGATCAAACGGATTGTGGTTTTAGTATAGGTACATGAATGTCTTACAACACACAAGAAATGAGCGAAATCCGTGTCTCAAGCAGAATCGACCGGACCGCTCTTACAGAGACACTCTCTTAATATTTTAGCCTAAACTAACCACTTTCAAGGTACCGCTCTCGCTTGGAGCCATGTAAACTGCGACGCCAATCAAAGCTAAATTTACAAAAATGAGCAAGGTGAGCCATATATTCCAAACATTTTTCGAATTCAGCAATACATGTGATCCTTGTCGGCAAACAAAACTACTCTTTCTCTGAGTATTAAAAAATCAGGACCAAAACAATAGGCAAAGTCTGATGTGATTGCACAGCTACAGAATGTAGATTTACACACAATTTAAATTTAAACCTATAATTCTTAAAATAAGTTCCTGCCTTCGGCGGACAACAGGATCTACTTGGTTGACGGAAAGTCAAAATTAAAGCTACGTAAACAGCGCCTACCTTAAATTGTAACTTCCTGAAATTCAGTAATCCAGGTTTAACTCCGCTGAAGTACTAGTCCAAGTGATAGCTAACAAGCCCAGCGCCAAGCCAATTATCTCATGATAATATGATGCATGTCGATTAATAAGATAACAAAGTGCTGAAAGGAAGTTTGCGGTTGATATTTTTCTGAGAAAAGGAAATGGGCCCTGATCAAATTTTTGCAGCTTGCCATTCAACAGGAAGCTTAAGTCGACCAATGTACTTTGTTTTTCCTTCATGTTTTTGTAGCTAGGAAACAAAAGAGAAAGTAACAGAAACTTTGCCATCAAAAAGTGAAATTAAACTTGAAGTGAAAGGCGTTTAAAGAGGAAAAATGAAACTCAAGCGACTAGCGGCAGAACGACGTCAATGTTTAAAATCTCTTTCACATTCTTTTATCAATTTTCTTTTTCTCAATTGTTCTCTCTCGTTGAAATAGCTTTGCCTTCAATAAGCTTTGTCGAAACTCTTTTTGCGTTTGTAAGCAATTTGTGAGACTATTTCTTTTGCAAATCATTTGTGCGACACAAAACATTGCTGCCTACTTTTGCTTTGTGTTGATCAGCGAGAAAACAAAGCGCTGAAGGGAAGTCTGTGGTTTATATCTTTCCGAGAAACTGGGGAAGTGGATCCTGACCAAAATGCTGTGACCAGCTATTCAAAAGTACCAAAGCATTGTTGGGTACTGTTCCTTGGAAACGGCAAACTCATGCAATTATGATCTTATGATGCGTGCTGATCAACGAGAAAACAAAGCGCTGAAAGGAAGTCTGTGGTTTATATCTTTCCGAGAAAGGAAGTGGATCCTGACCAAAATGCTGTGACCAGCTATTCAAAAGATAATTCAAGGAAGCCCATAAGTCGGCTAATGAATTGTCTCAGTTTGTCATCCGTTTGCCTTGAGTTAAAGAGCAATCGTTTTGATTTAGCTGTTGTCAAGGAGTTTTTTTCTCCATGGTCTGAATTGGCCAAAGCCAGAAAACACCCGAAAGAAATGTTGGAGCGTTTCGTGTTGCTAAATAGTGTTTGTTTTTCTTTGACTTAATTAAGATAATTTTACCACTGATGCGTTTCAGCGTCACATGTTAATTACACTTCTTCGTTTGCCTATTTGAGAAAGCTTCAAGGAATGATTTTAGACATAAGATGGTAACTTTTGGTCAGCAGTTATGGGAAAGGGGAGGGGGGTAGCTTTGGCGGTTAAATTAAAGGGCTTTCGACTGTGAACACTCATCATGAAAAACTTGGCTCCCTTGACCAAATGAAAGGAAACGTACCCCAGAGACCTCTACCGTTCACTTATCATCCTGTTCATTATCATATACATTCAAACAATACGTCGGTTCCCTATGTTAAAGGCCTGTGCAAACGTCGTTTGCAGAATTCTGATTGCTCCAGCACTGAAAATACTATGAGAAAGGTAATATATATACTATTTCTCTTAACAATACGTCTATCTTACAAGGCGAGGCATAACTGTCTGGTATGAACAACAATTCATCTTGCTTTTGTTAGATATTCCAGAGTATATTATTGATTGTTCCGGCATTATTCTAACCATACTCATTGCTTAAACTAGTAAAGGGAAAATCGCTGAGGATTAATTCCCACAGTATTACGGAGCACTTAAGACGTTTTACAACCCGGTGTCACTGAAAACACTTAGCGGGATTCGATGTAAACCCTTGGACCTAAAATCTATGCAATAAATTGGCAAGCACAGATAAATGAACACCTATCCAGCGGCTAAAAAGCTCAGAAAAAAACGCGTGACTTGATTTAAATCCTCATCAATATAGCTGTTGCTGATCTCATGTCATGCATCGCAAAAATCATTTTTGATCGGGCCGATCGATTGTTCCGTACCTTTCCCTCGCCGTTGTTGACCTGTGGGCAGTTATATTAAGCCTGTCAGAAAAACCCTTATTCTCCTGTCTCCTGAGCCGTTTTGTGGGGTATAGTATGGCTCCAACAAGCTGAACGACTGATAAACCCAACTATGGCGCTGTCGACAGCAGATCTATAGACATGAGTATAATGCTTCTCGTTCCCTTAGGTCGAACTGTGTCTGTTTCTGTTTCTCTACCACAGTTAATCAATCATCATTCGGTATCATACTCCGGCAATGTCGCTGGTACAATTATGCGCGGATGATCATCAATGACAGTTTTGTTTCGACGAGCCATGGCGGCAGTTTGTACACAGCTTCAGACAAAAGGAGAGACAACATGTGAAAAAGTGATCTGAGTTTTCGATTCAAGGACGTCAAGTTGGTAAACAACACATCAGTCAAGTGTGAATAAAATAGTTATATTTTTCTTGGTCACTGGAGAAGACACTTTTATTTGTCGAGTAATAGTTCTAAATGCGCATCTATACTGGCTTGACCAAAGGTTGTTCAGAAGTTGAAAAACTCATGTGCTTAAGTACACTTTATTTTACATTTAGTTTGCTAGAGTCGGTGTATTCCAAAATATCACCCATCAGTATTGCTGGTTGAGTTCAATCTTTGCTTTGTACTTGACTGGAGTATAAATGAAAGTTTTGTCATTATGTTGAGCCTTCTAAACTGAAAAGAAACTAAGGCCTGTAAAACAGATGCAGATGAACCAAAAAAATTGGCTCTTCGCGATTCCATAACGACTTCTCTAGCCTGTCAAATGTCGATGGTTTTAGCTACGGTTATGCACCATTTATTTTTTTTGATCTACTGACGGTGTAAAATCCATATCAAGCCGGTGTCATCTTAGTTAATTTTCTGATTACAATTGTCCTCGAAGCGGTATCATAACCGCTGCCTTTTGTAAACAAGTTTTCAAATCAAGTATTTAACAAACAATCATTCAGACATGGATACAGAAAAGTAATTGGAGAATTTCTGCAGTTTACGTTTATGGAAAAACAAAATTCACACAGAGTGACAAGGTAATAACACAGAACATAAGAACTAACTTCCCTGACTCAATCAAAAGGCGTTCTTAATAAATGAAAAAAAATGGAACAAAATGAAGATTCAAGAAGCTTACCTGAAATAGTCATTCACACTGTTTCAATCAGTCAAACAGTGGTTCTGTCGCTATTGGGAAATTCACTCATCTGCCTCGTCTTTTATCAAAACAGAAGACTGCGAACCATCGCCAATATAAACCTGCTATCTCTTGTAATGGCCAAACATTCGGTTTTCTCATTTAAAAATAAGATTTGGAGTCAGTACTGACCATATCCCCCTTCTCCATAACTTTTTTGTTTATAAGACAACAGTCGATCGCGACCGCAAAGAAGACCTCATGTTTTCAGCTGAAGAAGTGACAACTCCGGATAACCATCTCAATTCAATTTTTTTTTCTTGATTGTGCGCCTGTCTTTGTAAACGAGCGCCCACGATCTGAAATGAACTCTACGCGAATACACACCCTTCCATGCCGCATAAACAAAAAACAGGCAGGTACGCGCCGGGTCCCTAATTGAGGAAATATGATAGACTATTCTTTAGTAGTTATTTCATTTCCGCAGAGATGATTTGGCCATCTATGTTTTCAAATCGTGAATATCGCTTTACAAAAGACAACTGAATCATTTTTCTTTTCTACGGACTATTTTTCATTTTGTAGCTTAAAAAGTGATTGTTTATGGCTTCTGTTTTTTAAGATTGCATATATAATAGATAGCAAAACGAGAAAAAGGCAAACATTAATTTGTAGAATACATGCAGATCAACTGTTGAACCAAAAAAATAGACTCTCGAGCTTCCTTTCTGATTATTACCTGACAAGCTGTCAAATTTAAAGACATTGCTATTTGACATCCGATCGATTTATTATTCACATTCCACCTATTGTGTAAAGTTGAAGGCTAGATCGGTTAATTTTGTGCCGGATCATAATTGACAGCAAAGGTAAAATCTTGTAATAAACCACAGTGCTTTGCAAACAAAGAGTCCAATCGCCCTGCAAATTATAATTATGCAGGCAAGCATATAGAAAGGTAATTAGAAAAAAACTTAACAAATGACGCTTAAAATAAGTTTAACCCTGAATGAATATAAAAGAATGAAGAAGAAAGCTCAACTTCCCAGCCTCAATTAAATTGCTCTTTAGTCAATGGACAAAATGGAACAAATTGAAGATTCAAGAAGCTTCGCAGAGGTAGTCGTTCACACTGTTTTAATCAGTCAAGCAATGGTTCTGTCACTATTAGGAAATTCAATTTTCTGCCTCGCCTTTTATCGAAACAGAAGACTGCGAACCATCACCAATATATACCTGCTTTCTCTTGCAATGGCTGATCTAACGGTAGCCACCTTTGTGTTTCCGTCAGTTCTACTCGCTTCTGGTCTACGCAGATGGCCCTTCAGTCACGGCTTCTGTCAATTTACAGGTTTACTCACAACTTTCTGGGCTGAGTTTTCGCTTCTTATTCTCGCAATAACAGCGATTAATCGTTATTTTTGCGTCGTGAAACCACAACGATATGCCTCCCTTTTCACCAGAAAGAATTCTATCATATCAATCTCTTCGGTTTGGATTCTCCTATGTATTTTTTACGTTATATTTCATGACGTCGTATACATCATCTACAAATGGCAACCAAAAGATTTATATTGTAGAGGGACTTACGGCTGGTGGAGATTTCATAAAATGTTTCAGGTAGCTTTTGCATGTCTTAATTTCGGGTCGATGTCCATGGTGTTTTCTGCTTATGGCAAGATCCTTCTTTTCGTAAGAAGACACAATAATGCTGTTCTCCCTTCACTACAAGGTTCAAGGAACTTCCAGGGAACGTTTAGAGTGCACGAGATGAAAGCTTTTCGAGTTTCATTTGCGGCAGTGTTCAGTTTCTGCGTTTCTTGGATTCCTGCAGGCGTTCTGATCATTCTAGAATATGGCTTCGCTGTGTCTATACCTTCGACCGCGCGGTCAATTCCTTTTTTGTTCGCTTCTACCTCGGCGTGGATTAATCCTGTAATCTATGGCGTCATGAATAGGGCCATGCACAGGGAATATAGAAATATTATTTTCTGTCGGAAAGAAAACTGACTCTTCAAATTAGGTTGGGTGTCTGCACTGACTATATCTTTCTTCTCTGTAAGTTTTCCGTTCAGTAGAAAGAAAATAGCTGACTGCAAAGGCGAGGGCCATGCGTTTTGCCGGTTCTCAATATGTTGTTACCTTTTCTTCGTTTGTTTGCTTGTTTGTTTATCTTTATTGTGACATAAGCGAAGTGGATAACAAGCCCGGTTATCTGGATGCTCGTATGCAAGTTTCCCCATAACCGTTTGTAATATGTAAGGTCTCTAAAAAATAGGTATGTTATTGCGCCAAAAAATTACATTTGTTCCAAATGAGAATTTCCTTCCCCTGTTCCACCAAGCATTCAAAGCGACAATTTTATATGCACAACTATCAATGAAAGCGGTTTTCATGCACTGAAGTTCCCAACTCCTTGCAAATTTTTGCTGGTCACAGTCGTTGTTGGCGAAGTTCATTAATTTTTTAGTACATAACATGTGTATTGTGTGGAGTTCAAGACCAAATAAAATTTCGCTCTTATTTGAAAATTGCCAGAAGGATATTTCTCTCATCCACAACCACAACGAATTTTAGTTTCGAAGTCATTGATATCAAATGGAGAGCTTAATTGAATCGGTACCTCAATGCCATCCGTTTCAGTTCAGGAAAAGAAAAGCGCGGTGGTGATCGAACAAGTTCCTTAGTTAACTTAAGGGAAAAAACCATCGGGTGCATTGGAATAGTTTTGAATTGAGTGTCGTAAGAGCAAAACCGAAAGTAATCACAAAGACCAATCAGGACAAAGATGTACATCATCATTAGCCAATGAGAACTCAAATTGAAACAATCAAACTGCTTGAGAGCGGGAAAACGCGAATGACCACATCTAGAGACAGTTTTAGTTTTGCATCTGATTTGCTGAGAGGATGGGGCAAGTTTTCTAGACTAATTATAACAGAACAATTTCAGTAAAACCTAAGCAATCCCTGAATAGTTTCAACACTCAATTGGAAATTGCTCTAAGTAAGACTAAAAGGAAGAAAGTAAAGAATTACTGTTTGTAGAAGGTTTAAGTTTACATTAGCTAAAATTGAGTGAAACATGTGGTGCATCTTTACATCACAAAACTATTGCAATGCTTTGTTTATCAATTCATTTAATAATAATAACATTTTAATAATTCATTTGTTTTACAAAGTGCGGTTTAACAAAACATGGTAGCGTAGCGATTCTTCCGCATTTTAATACGCACTCGCAAGTGAACATAGATTCAAATTTTGAAGTGAAAAAAAATATACCCTGGAAAAATACATTACCTGTAAGTCTACAATGAAAAATATTTACATAAATTGATTTGATTGTTTACAAAAGATCTCATGGAGATCTTATCCCACATATTAATAATTTTTTACTCAGTTTAAATCTAACAGTGAAGACAAAGGAATCAGAAATGAAAATAAAAGTAAGCAAGGTACACCTGCAGGTTCTCAGAGGTCATTCATTCTTTACACCCTTTAGAGATATCATAAACACTTGAATGGTGGGTAAAATTTGCTTCACAATTAGGCCATTCAATATCTCCCGTGTAAGCGAAGATCTCCACAATAAACAACAAAACAAAGAGGTGCGAAGAGATACAGACCAACAAAAGGCTGTTTAGCTCAGATTAAAGTCCATAAAAGTAGATTTCTTCCAAACAAATAATGAAATCACCTTAACGCGCGTGTGTGTGTGTGTGTGTGTGTGTGTGTTTTCTTTTAAGGACAATAGAATCGCCTTTTTTAGTTGCAGGAAACTGTATTGCACGCAAGCGGTCACAAGAGGGGTCGATTGTTGATAGGACAGAATCAAGCCTGAAGAGCAGGTGTTGATACATACGAGCGCCGAGCTCAATCCTCAGTGAATAGAGAAACGTCGAATCATCCCAAGAAATCGAGTTTAGCGCGTCCTCTCTGTATGCAAAAAATGGATCTCGGTCAAGGTAAAAGAATCCTCTCTGCAGTTGTGACGCACACGGTTCTTCTTGCATGTACATCACTTCTGTCCCTCACAGGAAACGCGCTCGTCTGCGTGGCTTTCTACCGAAACAGAAGTTTACGAACTATCACCAATTTCTACGTGTTATCTCTGGCATTGGCTGATCTAATGATGGCTGTAATGTCTGCTTTTGGAGCAGTCGCTTCTGGATTAGATAGATGGCCATTCGGTTTTACCTTTTGTCAATTCCACGGTTTCGTCTCAGTTTACTGGGGGCAGGTATCCACCTACACTCTGGTTCTCACATCGATTAATCGATATTTTTGCGTTGTGAAGCCACAAAAATATCCCTTGTACTTCACCAGAAAAAGAACATTTTTTTCCATAATCGCTGTCTGGACTTCATCCCTTGTTGTCACTGTAAGTTTTCATATAGCGCCTCTTGTATACGAGTGGACTTCTGGCATTTTGTACTGCCGAGCAACGTCTAACGATGAACGCTTTCTGGGAATCTTTTATGTCTTCTTCTGCAGTATCTTTACAGTAACTATGATTATAGTAATACTGGGATATTTCAGTGTTTACCGTCATGTCAGCCGACATAACATCGCCATAGTACCTTCGCTCAGACGTGAAGCAAACCGGCAACAAGGAACGCCGATAAACGCACAGGAAATCAAGATCTCTAAAGTACTTTTTGCTGCGGTATTTGGTTACTGCATTTGCTGGGTTCCCTTTATCGTCACGTTGATTCTAGAATTTGGTTTCCAAGTGTCCATTCCTTTCTATGTACAGTCGCTGTATACATTTTCGGTTTCAATCTCTTCGTGGATAAACCCTGTTATCTATGGCTTTATGAACCGAGCCATGCGTAAGGAATTTGGAAAACTAATATTTTGCAGAAAAGGCTCGGAATGAACAATGGTAGCGGAGCGAGGGGGGTAGGGAAGGGAGGCGTAGCTCCCCCGAAACAAAAATCTGAGGGCACATACAGCCCCCCGCCCCGCCCCCTCACTCCACCCACGTTTTGCTGTCAAGAATATCGCTAAATGAATCTATAAATGAATCTCTTTATACTAAACAAAAAAAATTGATTCATATTTATTCTTGGTCGAGTAACATTGTGCTTTCATGAAATCTATCAGCCTTGTTGGCATACAAGTACAAGCGTAACCGGATGTCTTCTGAAAAGAATAGGGGCATTGAATATATAGAATTTTTTCAGTGGTTAAGTAGCAATCCTAGCCGAATACTGTCAAAATACAAAGAATCTCTGTATAATCAGCATAAAGGGTAATTTAATGTTATCTACTGAGTTGAAAACGTAAATTGGCCACCATAAAGAGTTGTAGGGCTGACGTTTCGAGCGTCAGAGCGATTGACGAAGGGCTAAAACTCAAAACGTCAGTTTTAAACTCTTTACGGTGGCCAATTTACGTTCTCAACTCAGTTGATAACACTAAATTACCCTGTTATACTCTCCTACTGACGCAACACCACAGTTTCTTTAGAAACTTACCCCCTTCATTAATTATCATGTACACAAAGATAAGAATAGTTCACTTCTAGCTTCAGTCTCATAAAAAATAAGCAGGTTTCCCTCTAACCTAAGCAGTAACCTTTCACCAGAAAAATTGCAGTTGCTATCGCACAAAACTCGTCTTTCACGTCACGTTCCTTCTTCTGTGGCAATGATAATGATAAATAATTCCCAGTTTATTTAGTGCATTCTCCATATTAATAAGCTCTGATGCGCTTTGTAACACTTGGAATTTGGCATTGTAAATTTGGCATTAAACATTGTAACTTACATAAAGCAGGTCACAATTTACCGTCAATGGTTACAAATCTACCGTCAACGATGTTTGAAGGTAAATTCCACGAGTGCCCCTAATTGTGGAATTTTTGGAAATAAAGTCAGTGCCAGCCCATAACACTGGTAGCCGTAGTACGTTCCCTACCTTTAGCGAGAAGTGCGACCATTCACATTTCTCTCACCAAGTTCAGCCGACGAAATCCGGCCCATCCTTCTTTTTGTTAGCTACACAACCCCGTGAGAAAGCTAAAAACACCGATAACCACGCAAAGTCATATTTTTTTTTTTGTTTTTTTGTTTTTTTGTTTATATTTTTTCCCCATCGTGCTTCACTCCTCCTTCCGCGCTCCGTTTTCTGACGATGTTTGTAAACATGGAGTCAGCGGCTTTCATCTGCAAGCCAGGTTACAAAGCTCATGGTGAAGAAGAAGCCATATTGAATTTCTTGATAACTTCTTAGCGTTTAGTGTAGTACAGGGACTGTTGTCTTTCTTCAGAGCTCTTTAGACATGATAAGAACAATTATATGGTTTGGTGGTGCTGGTTTTTTTGCCTCAAGTTACTCCAATTTGGTGCGAGGCTTGCCAATGATGAGAAGTAAGTATTTGATGTTTTTGCTGCCATGCCTCAAACGCTTGCTCATCTGTAACCGCAGATAACTTTTCAGCAGTAAAGCGTATTGAAATTAAACATGTGTACCGGCAATCTAAAATAACCGAATTGAGATTCATTAAAATTACAGTTTCCCAGCTTGGAGATGCATTTATCCGGACATCTCACTTCAGCGAATGGTTATTCACACAAACCATAATATTGATCGTCTTGAGGGTAGAATGTTGAACCCACTTGAAAATCTAAAAGTTTTCTGCTGGTGGGAATATTTTGCGTAGTTAGTGAAGAACACGTTCCGCAAAGTTTAGACAAAATCAATGCAGTCAAGAACCCTAACGGTGCTCGAAATAGGTACAGTGCAGCTGTATGAAATCTTTGTTCCACATTTGTTCACCCATCCAATACTGTAGGTGTACTCAACAGGCAATAATATGAAAAACATTCAAACCATTGAAAATTGAAGTAATAAGATGAATTAATTATCACATGGTTAATTCCTGAGAATTTTTTTTCAATCTTAACTTTATTTCCAAGCTTCTTAATTATGACAATTGCCTTTCATTCTCAAGTCTCTATTTTAGCTCGCAAAATCTGACACAATTCCTGACAAAGTGACAATAATTATGACTACTTTAAGGCACTTATGTAACATTCCACAAGTTGGAGACCTGTACAAGGGTACTCCAAATCTCTTAATCGCTTCAATATATTTTATCAGATATGAGGAATGTATGTCGGAAAGCATAACTCTGAAAACTTTAAATTTTTGCAGAACCCATGATGCATACATTCTTCACAAGTATTGGGCTGTATGCAGGCTATCTGATCCATAAATGGGAGGATAAAGGAGAAGCTGTGTATGAAGAGATGGTAGAGAAACACAAAAATGTACCATGGTGGCCAAAGGCTCAGCTCTTAGCAGAGAAAGCTGCCAGGGAACAAGTCTTAAAGGAAGGTATGTAGGCTTTGCAGAACTTTCCCTCAACCCTCTAGCATCAATATGTATATTCTCCATGCTACTTACCACACATTTCATCAAGAGCTGACAAGAAGAATATGTTAAACGATCAAGAACTTCAGCTGGCAATCATGTCCTTCATTCTTGCGACCATAGTGTTTGCTTCAGCACTAATGTTATAGGGGGAAATAAGATCTTAGTTGTGCATACAAACACTTATAGCTACTGTTACAAGACGATGATTTTATAAAAAGTGGTGTATGGTTGATATCAACATAAGCTGTGTAATAATTAACAAAGCTGATCCTAAAGGTTCAACCATGGTACAGGTGCATGGCACCTATGATAATTTTTCCTAGTACTGTATAATTTTGCAAGGCTGAATGAGAGGTAATAAACAAAATCTATACAACAAATCCTTGGGAGTTTCTATTCATTTGTGAAAATGGAGGAGAGAAGCAGAGAGGCATAATTTTGCTTGATAAGTGAGTGTTACTTCTAGGATTTATAGCATCGAGACAGCTATTAGGACACCAAGACAAAATTTTGTCAATGGTATTTTGCATTTTATATGAATGAATTGTTTTGGTGCAAGCCCAACAACAGTAACATGTGTCATGATCCTAATATTGATACATTCAAGAATGTGAATTATTTCACAATTGCTCTTCTCTCTATTTTTTAGCAATCATGGCAGACATTGCAGAAGAAGAATCAGGTGAGAGTGAAGTTATGTATTGTTTGGTTAAAATCAGTTATCAGTGTGGTTGGGAGGCAATCAGCTGTTACCTAAGATTCCCTGTCAATTCAGGCAAAGTGAACCTCATAGAGAAAATAAATGTATCCATTACTGAAAAGCCTTCACAAGCCCTATTCTACATGTACTTTGTGGTGTTTATTGACTTATTGACTTGTATGGTGATCAACCATACATTATCTAATGTTGTATCATTCTTTTCACAGATGAATAACATTTTATGTTGGGGGAACCTTTAATTGGTACTGCAAACTCAGAGTGTCTTAGTTTGACTTTTCCATCAAAACATGTTTTTTAAACTGTAACAACTACTGTTACATCAACCGACACTCAGCAGTTCAAAATATTCTAGTTATTTTTTGCATTGTAAATATAAGTGGTCTGATTTGAAGTTAATAAAAGAATAAGATGTATTTTGTTTGAGAGGCTGAGAAATATTGACAACCATAGTTAACAGTTATTCATCAAAGTGGAGGTACAGTATATATCCAATTTCACAGACATTTTGGGGAATCACTGTTTGGTATATACCACACAAATACCAAAAAAATCTGCGGGAGTCTGGGAAGGAGTAACGAGGACGTTCCTCCTGGTCCCTTTTGCTTTTTGCCTTTGCGTTGTTTTCTCGCTCGCTGCACTTATTCTCTCTTCTCTATTTTAACAACCGATCACAAAAATTTCTCCTTTTTTGGGCATAGCAGATCCCAGCTGTGTGTAGGGGGCTTTCTATACAATACACGTAGACGTAGTGTATGGCTTGGCTGGCAAAATTTTTCTCTCTTGTTCATTTGATAAAGAACCCTAACTGTTAACTCGGACCTGGTTGGGTTTGTCCCAGAAAATTAATTCAAATATGATTACGACATTTAGTGTGTATTTTTAACGCAAAGCGTCGTAGAAATTATTAAATTTTTCGTGCTTGGTATGTACTCTAAACCTGTTTGTAGTTGCGTTTCTGCGAATTCGCTGAGTTTTTCCTTAATGTTACCAGTAATATGGCTGGTTGTTATATCTGAACAGAATTCAGAATTTTCACTGAGTTCTCCTGTATAGGCCTCTCCAGATTGTACTCGTGAAATACTGGAAAGTCGCTCACTGGAGAGCCAAAAAGTGACTAAAATGTTGCTGCCCTGATTTAGTGATATTTTTTATGTAAATGTCAATTAAAAGCTTTGTTTTTCGTTCTTCACAATATTTGGTGATATTAGTCAAGAAAAATAGCTTGAAACTTAGCTTCAAAGAGTTTCTTGCAAATATGGGCGAAATATGAGGATGCCCTTAAGTCCAACGGAGCAAAACACATGATTCGTTTGTGTTCAAAAGGTTGGTTACCATTCAAGAAATTCGCAAAAATTGAAGTTTTTTTAAAGAAATTGTTAAAATTTTCGTGCTTGGTATGTGCTCTAAACCTGTTTGTAGTTGCGTTTCTGCGAATTCGCCGAGTTTTTCCTCAATCTTACCAGTAATATGGCTGATTGTTACATCTGAACAGAATTCGAAGGCTAGGAAATTAGCCCCACTCGACGTGACTACGATATTTTTTCGTGTATTGCCAACATTGTTACGTGGTTAACAATACACCGTGTAAAAGTGTGGCCTGTTGATCAGATAAGAGACTAGCAAAGAGTTTGTGCGTGACGCGTGATTTAGCGCAAAGTTTATACGTGACAAGTGAATTTTACACAAAGTCAAAGTAAGGCGAGGCTTTCGTGACACGCTAATTACTATTTAAAGTATACGTTACATGTGAATTTTTGTGAAATTTGTACGTGAAACGGGATCAGGGGCCTGCTTCTCGAAGGACCCGGTAACTTAACGGGCCCGTAAAGCTGTTCTGATTTCATTCAAGATGGCGGTTTCAAAAGTTTTGAAAACTTTACAATGACGCTGTAACACTATCAGCTAAAGAAATCAAATGGACTGTTTAGGGAGCCACAGCCTTCTTTTCTGTTCTTAGATTTTGAATTTAGAATATGGCTTCGGGCCTGATAAGTTACCGGAACTTTCGACAAACGACCCCCAGGCTCTCTTCCCCTTCCACCCCATCCCACCCCCCCCCCCCACCCCTTTGCTGGCCTTAAATGATAGACAGGTTCATTTTCTCAAAGATGAATTAAAATGTTGTCAATTTTGACGTGTTCCTTGACAGTGAGAGTACACTCTGATCACTTTTATTTACCAATATTAATTCGAAGAGAGAAACAGACGACGGGGAATAACAGCTGGCACGTTTCTTGACCACCTTTAATAATTGCATTTTCAATTTTTAGCTTTAACGTACAATAACTCGAAGCCAACTGACTTTCTTTCATGAGGAAGACATGATGTTTCCGTGCGACCTAGCCCGGAGCGTTTCAACTTACACTGAAGTTTACAATTCATGCAATTGACCAGGTTCGTTGGATACAGCAACATAACAATTAATAAGCATAATTCGCGGCCGCTCTCGCATTTATAATGAACTCTGGTTCTAGAAATAGCTGACGTTCAAATGTCGTTGGATGGTGTTAATTAATGCGCGGTCTCGATGTTTGCGACGAAAAAAAAGCCATATAGGCTTCGTGTCTAACCATATGTGTACTGGATTTGACTGAAGCTCGGTCTCTGGGAAGGAGCTGCGAGATTTTTACATAACAGAACACTCGATCAGAAGCCTACTCATCACAGATGGATTTTCTGTCCCAGATAAACCACCTCTTTCGGTAAGAATATTGGAAAATATCCGTTAAATTATCTCAATCCGAATGTGCGAGCAATACCAGTTTGTTGTACAGCGATTACATTCGGTACTAAGCTATAAGCAGAAAACCTGTTGCCGGCGTTTTCCGGCCTTTAATTTTTACAGACAACACTGCTAACAGAATCGATCACCGAGGGAGACGTTCAGTGTCGCCAATGCTTAATGAAAAAGAAATTTCCCTCTGTGACACTTGTGGTCACACTTCTTCGATGCTCGCACCATGACTATTTCGATCTCAACGAACCTTCTAAGCAAATCTACTTCAACTTCCTTTAAAAGACATGTTATCAACAAGCAATGTGTTTACTTTCGACTGATCGTTTCTTCAGTTACTTTTCGAAAGGTGAGGAAATGGCGTCGTCACCTAGAGAAATTAGCTCGAACTTGTTGCATCTGTAGCCTTCGCGAAATAAAGCGATGGGAATAAATTTAAATTCAAGATTTAAGCTTCATAAAAACAAACGATCTTGATGATATCTGTTGGAATTGTACCCGGTTAAACCCAGTTATTGTCTTGAAAATTCGCTCATAAGATCATTCTCTAGCCTCTCTTTTCTATATATACATGAACCTTCTCTGGTTCATGTTTATATATAATAAAACAGAAGATGCAGGTAACTAACTTTTTTTGTCATGCACTGGCGAAACACATTATCCTATGTTTTTATGCATGTTTTCGAGGAAGTCGTACTTTATTGCAAAGAAATTCGCACTTGTCAACGTTTATGTTAATATTTAAAGAACAAATGAATCTATCGGTTTCCGTGGAAGGGGATTTTGTATTTTTCTCTATTTCTCGGGAATTTAGGACCGTGTTTCGCCTTCGTGTTTTTCGTCATACGTTTGCGATTTAGCCCTAAGGCTTTCTGACCTGTTTAGAACGCGTTTCAGTGTCTTATAGGACCCTTAAAGAGATGTGGAAACTATACTACTCTATCTCATCGCAAACTTTATAGAATAGGTCGTAGAAACTGTCTTTTAAAATATGTTTTTTTTCATTTAGTTTCCTTTCGCTACAGCTGCTTTCCAAAGTCAGTACTTTTAAACCCGCCTTATCAGCAACTATTCAACTTCACATAGCAAAGCCTTTCCTGTTTGGAATAGCAATTTGATTACTGCCCGAAGAGACGATGTTTTCGAATTGGTGTTGTTTCCTGGGTAACCTGCATATAAATTAATTATAGCGATCACCTAATCACGTTGATCGCTTTGAAAATGTTCCAGGCGGCCTCTGGTGTTTTCATTGTATTTTTTGTATATTTTGGTTTTTGCTTGACCAATTTAGAAAAATTATTCCATTTCTTTTTTTTTTGCCATGGCGGTATTGCAACCTTTTGTAGTAACGGAAACATTCTCTGTGAAGGCCGGCTGAAAACACAGTTGTCCCACTTCTCTCGATCTAGATGGAAATAGCAAATTTATAATTTTGTATTCAGGAGTGTCTTATGTTAATAACTCCGGGAAACCTTTGAATACATGATTTCATGACAAGAGATCTAAAGATGCAATCATGATTTATATAGATTATTTCCCCTAGTGATTTTTATTTATTTTTTACGCGATCGAAGTGGAAATGTGAAACATTTCGTTTTTTCGGATGGTAAGGACTGGAAAATGATTAAAGCCATTATCATCGTTTAAAAGCCATCTGCCGATCATAGGCTTTATGTAAAACAAGGGTTTAAGTAATTTGATAGAGATATTTAAATAACTCTAAAGGCCAAGAACCTGTTTGTACAGCTGTTTCATTCATGACTCAGTCATAAACATCGCGACATAATGTCTACTCCCGTAGAAAATTAATACCTTAATGCTGTGAAATTATTAGTACCTCCGGTCATAGATTTCAGTGCTAGTATTGCCAGTTAATGCCTTTCAGATCCTCAACGGTTTAAACACGGCCGATTGCGTGCAACAGTCGGTGCGTGGTATGATCCTCAAAGAAAGGGTAGTCTTAAAACGAAAGATTGTCTATAGAAATGATTGGCGTTTCGAAATCATTAGCGGAAGTCGTCATAAAATAAAGAAAGACTTCCGCTCAGATTTTCGAAACGTCAATCACTGGGGCCCGTTTCTCGAAAGTCCCGGGAACTAAGCGGGCCTGAAGTCATAACTAATTTTAAATATGAATCTTGAGGGAGAGTAGTGCTGGTCTTAGCTCAAAAGCTAGTTCAATTCGTCTCTTTTCCTGATATTTCCATTTTTTTTAGCAAACTTTTGATATCCCAGTCTTGTCAGAAAAACAAGGGAAAAAGACGTTATCAAAATCGGTAACTTCCAAAACTTTCGAGTAAATGACCCAATCCTTTTTCCAGACTGCCGCTGACTCTAATGATCACACCGCGCCATTGATTTACATTGTGCTTATCTTCTAATGCAGACGTGACATTTCGGAACAAATCCAAAATTTTATAAACGGCGAGTTCGTGCCTCCAGAGGATGGAAGATTCGCTGACACTTTGAATCCAAGTACAGGGGAAGTGTTATGCAAATACCCAGTCTCGACTGTGAAGGATGTAGAAAGAGCTATAGACGCCGCCAGGTCTGCATTTTATTCATGGTCTAAAGTATGTAAGGTAAGTGATTATTCTTTGTCTCATGACTCTAAAATTATGTATGCAGGTCAGGAGCGTAAGATAAAGCAAAAAATGTACAATTATCACGCGGAATCGAACCCAAGTTCTCCCCTCCTGACATCTGATCGTAAGATATGCGAGTTTTCTTATTTTTTGTGTTTTTAATTGTCCTTTTGACTTTTTTGTGCGGGAAATAGAATGAGAGAGCAAAGATTTTAAATCAAGTGGCGAAGTTATTGGGGAAAAGGTCTGAGGCTTTCATTCGCGCCGAGATTATGGACCAGGGTAGAGCAATCCATGGTGTAAGCAAGGAAGACAACGACATTACCAGAGAGGTTCTCAATATTAAATATTTTACTGCGCAAGCCGTTGCTACTGTGGAATCAGCAACACAATCACAAGGTAAGAAAGTACTTAAGAAATTAAAGAAAGATGTTTTTCGTCTTGTCACGAGCGTGGGAAAAGAAAAAACTTTGAGTCCCCATGAGGAATCGAACCTCAGATTTTCGGATTCCGCGCTCCGATGCTCTACCACTGAGCCACAGAGAATCCACGGTGAGCGAGGTCTATTACGAAGTTCATATGACACGTGTCCTGCATACTGCTAGGATCAGCAATGTCGATAGAGTAATGTTTGTAGATAGAAATTAGAGAGATGGTAAGTTTTGAGCTCGGTAAAGAAATAGAGAAAGATGTTTTTCGTCTTGTCACGAGCTTGGGACAAAGAAAAAACTCTGAGTCCCCATGAGGAATCGAACCTCAGACCTTCGGATTCCACTGAGTCACAGAGACTCCACGGTGAGCGAGGTTTACTTAGGAAATTGATAGCAAACTCTTAATGGCAAATAAAATCTACAGTAAAATGTAAACTTACTATATAACACCACAGATTTCCGGAAAAGTAGTATTTATTGCAGTCTAAAATAGGCCATTTTACAGTTGTATACTTCGTTGCCAAGCCTTTGATTTGGAGTGAGGCTTAAGGTGACCTTGTTGTGATAGCGACCAGTATCTAGTTAGCATGATAACAAAGTAATTTGCATTTGAAAAGCAAGCAAGGTTTGTATCATGACAAGGTCACTCTTAGCCTCACTCCTGGTCAAAGGTTTGGCAACCAAGCACGCAACTGTAAAATGGACTATTGGAGACAGAGTGGCCTTATGGTTGGTGCCCAGAACTCAGGGTTCACACGTCCAAGTGCGAGACCTGGCTAGGTCAAAACTCAGTTGAAGATTGCACTACTCTGGTTATTTTTCAGGTTCCGTCAGCTATAGTACGCGGTATCCTCTTGGTGTGGTTGGTATAATTACTTCTTGGGCTTCTCCTCTACATTCGATTTTATGGCATGCAATCCCAGCACTGGCCAGCGGCAACTGTGTGGTTATAAAGCCTTCATCTTTGGCTCCTGTTGAAGTCCATTTGCTGGCCAAAACATTCAGCGATGCAGGTAATCGAGACAAGAGAAAGTTCTATAATTTGTAATCAGCATAATTAAGACGAAAGATGTTTTTAGCTTAGAACGAGCGTGAAACAAAGTAGAAAAAAGGCGTTCTCCCTGAGGAATCGAGTCCCAGACCCTTGTGGTGGACATTGGTGGACACGAACGGCATTAACGTGGTAGGGGAAGGGGTAATTCCTGCTCTATAGCGTTCAATGCTCTCGCGAATCAAGTTTGAAATTAAAGATTTGTCTGAGGCCGGCTGAAGAACTTAATTTATTCGAATTTAATTAAGGAAAGGAAGCAAATTACAAGGTAACAAATGGCATGATATATTTATCCTTTCATTCAGTTATTTACTTGTTTCTTTATCTGTTCAGTCAATATTCGTTTTGTGTACGTAACACTCGATTCCTTGATTTCAGGGATTCCAAGGGGCGTCGTGAACGTAGTCTATGGCAAAGGTGACGTGCTTGGTAGAGCCATGGCTGCGCATCCAACTGTGAAAGCGTTGGCATTGGTAAGATATTTATCGTTAAAAGTTTTTGGATAACTTCATCAAAATAGAAATGAATCTCTTCCAAATATCTAATGCTGATTGTTTCATCGAACCTTCAGATGCAGCACATGTAGTCATGTGTGCTGATATCATATCAGAGAGGCCTAAAAAAACATTGATCAAGATGTTTCTTTTGCTGACTAAGGCAATTACAAATATCTTATTAATAATCAGCCGCAGCAAGAAATTAAGAATTTTTTCATGGTTAGCGTGCGTATATCGAGTTATGGATGCACGCGGAAAGTTTGGAGATCACGAAAAATGCGTAAGAGTAGCTCGAGGCGCAGCCGAGAGCAACTCTAGCTTTTTGAGTGCTCTCCAAACTTCCCAAGTACGTTCATAACTCGATATCCGTACAGCTAAAAGCATGAGCAAATTCTTTTATAACAGAGCGACAACAAGGATCTGCGCGAAGAAGCCTCTTATTGAAAATTCTCACATCGCACAAAAAAAGTAAACAAACGTCCTTATTGGCTGGTCAAAAACACGCCACATTTTATCCTTTGGTTTGAGCGAAAACATTTGATCCAGTTAACCGATAACTGTGAATGAAAAGCTTAAATTTACGGGGAAAATGAAGGAAATGAAAGCCAAATGAACTCGTGTCACTAAAAAATGTTTTAAAAGTCAAAGACCCGAAGTTATCAAGGGATTTGATAGTTCAAAATAATGTTTACGCTTCCGAAAAATTTGCGAAACGTGTAACTTGTGAGTTTTTTTCGGCTTTATTTTTGTTGCTTGTTGGATCAGGACCGAAAAGGTCAATGCCGATAGAAAAATTGGGCAGTTCTTCGCTGGTTTCTTCCATATTTCAAAGAGAAGGAAAACTGCACTGCAGCTTAACAGGACGGAAACTCTGAAGCCAGGTAAAAAAAAAATGCTCACGTCATCTTATTTACACACGGGCGTGCGTAAATAAAGATTTTGTTCATAGCGGCTTAATAGGACTTATATAGGGCAAGCACGCGCGCTATGTTATAAGATTTGTTTTAAGAAATGCAGGTATTAATTTCCATTTGAGGAAGAATGTTTTTTACTAGTTGGCTTTTCACTAGTTTCAAGAAGGTCTTCAAGAAAGTTTGTTATATTAAAATTTTAAGACCTCCATCTAATTCGAGAGAAGCGAAGAACCCAGTGTTTTGCCCATTCAATTTTGCGATGCGCGTGTGGGTTAACCTGCGTGGCAGTCCTCATCTTTTCTCCTCGGTCAACGGAGAAGTTTAAGTAACAGGAAGGCGTAGGACTCAATCAAGCCTTCGCTCTTCCAACACGAGATGAAGAGAATACTCCGCAGACTACGTATAGGTCTGGATCCCTGTTCTCTATAACACTGACAATTTTCTTGAGCAAGAAATGTTGACTCTTTTATCGCCTCTTTTCGACTTTCAAGATTCATACTCAGGATATTCCCTACAAGTTGTTTAAAGAAGCTGACAGATATACTGGAAGTTTTCCTTTCTTCATTCGTACACTATTCAATCCGCCTATACGGTTAAAATAGTGATTGACTTGAGAGAGATATCACTTTAAGTGCATGTGCATTGACGTTCTTAATGCAGAATAACCGTTAATTTTTCCATCTCTTTAGGCAGGAAGCGAGAGGACTGCATCTGCCATACTTGCTGTAAGTCAGCTTCTTTATACAAAAAAGTTCATGTTTCGCTTAGGAAACTGTCATCCGATGATCGTCTTCGACGACGCTAATTTAGAGGAAGTTCTCCCAGTTGCAATCAGAGGAAGGTAATGAAAATAGCTTTTCTTTTAGTTACACTCCCACATAATCCTGCCTGACTTGTTTATCATTTCAAGTTTTCGCTGTTTGAATCAATCATATGCGCTGAATTTATTACGATCATGCGGCGTCAATCTCGAATAATTTGTGTCGTAGATCCTCTTGGAGTGCTGGTCGCAATCCAAATGTTCCAATCACCATGATAAACAATATTCGGGTTATGTCGCCCTCAAATACATCAAGGGATGATTAAAGTGGGTTCTAGCCATAATTAAAACTAGGCTGAAATTAGCACCAGCTCAATAGCGTATTGTTTTGTTCCCAGTTTTCTCCGCAACGAGGGCCAAAACGTCCACTCTATCAACCGCATTTTCGTTCACGCATCCATCTTGCAAACATTTACTGAAAGATTCATCAGAGTGGTACAGAGGTTGAAGATTGGCAGTGCACATGAGACAGGGATACAGGTAAAATAACGTCTTTCTCGGCTTCATGTACCTCCTCACAAATCACAGGAAAACACTGAACCTCGAAGAAAAACTTGGCAAGTCAAGCCCACAAATCTTCTTGTTTGCATCCCAGCATTTCATTTACGATTTTAGAAGGACTGAAATCTCTCAATCTATTCTGACCATCTTAGATTAAGCGTAAGTGCCGAAGATTGAAAAAATTACAATACTCTATTTCACAAAAAAAGTACCTAAATAAGTTTAAAAAGTCTTAAAGGTAGCGAAGTTACCCACTGTTAGCCAGGCTAACATCCAAATATCCAAATTTAAAATCCAAATAACTAATGTTCAAAGTTCCAAAAGGTCAATTGCAAAATAAACCAACATCGCACCAAATTCAAAATGGCGGTTTATTGATGCCTCACACTACCCTATCACGTGACAATGGCCCGCATTACGTAAATAGTGATAACAGTCTTTTGGTCCTTTTTGCAACATAAAGAATTAATTCCCTTAACCCCTCAAATCCCAATAGTGACCTAGACAGAATTTCTCCTTACACTATCGGTACGATATGAAGGATACAAGTAATAAGAATAAAGAAAAATATAAATTAGGGAATTATTGGTTGATCCAATTCCAAATTCTTCAAGCTAACATCACATGAATTGTATGATAGACGGTAAGGAGAATTACTAATTAAATCTTGGGAGGGTCAAGAGCTTAAATAGTGAAAGTGAAACAAGTAATAGTTTGCAAAGATGGAATAAACTAATAGTTAAGAATGATTGAAGTAAAAGACTCCGTGGATTTCAAGTAACCATCCTCAAACATGTAGATTAAGTTAATGAGGATGCAAAAAGTTTATCTTCACCTTACTTTATTGAGAACTTAGTCGTTAAAATCTATCATATACTTTAGGTTGGTCCTTTAATCAGCAAGGAACATCGCCAGAAGATCATAGGTCTTATTCAAGGCGCAGTGAACGATGGAGCAGAGCTTCTGTGGGGCGGGAAAATTCCAAAACTTGACAGCAAGTTAGCCAAAGGTTTCTTCCTGGAGCCCACGGTACTTGGAGGTCAGCATAAATAGCTTTACGTCAATCAGTCAGGAGTGTGATAATGGTTTTAAATTCCTACTAACCCCTTAACATTTGATATCTATATGCAGGTTTCCAAAGTTCAACCATTAGTACTATAAACACCCTGGAGGTTCAAGGCCCAGTGGTAAATACTCCTTTTTCTATTGTCAGAAAGGGAAGGATTGTCCATTTAAATGATACGTTGTAATCTTATATTTCGACGAGAAGTCAATAGAATCTCTCAGAATAATCGAAGCTTATCATTAATGAGAAAAGAAAGAAATGTAAACAGCAAAACTGATGTAAGTGTTGCCGTTGGTTAGATTACAATGCGTCTCCTACATGGATTATGTCAGACAAAACCTTTAAAAACCAACTCCTGAAGACGCAAGGTTCAGCAAAGTAATTAGCCCAAACACTCTCTTTTATTTCCTTTCAAAGGACAGTTTGATTCTTTTCTTTAAGGAACGAAACATGAAAGACCGATAGCAGTTGTACCAAGAAAACGCGGCAACAAAATAAACTCTCTTGAGTGCTTTGATGTCTTTTTCAGCTTGCGTAAGCTTTTTATAAATTTAACAACCCTCTGTCTCCGTTTCCTTCTATCCCCTCTAATTTTTGTTCGGAATGAACTATATACAGCTCGCTTTTCCCTTAGGTAAGAATCATACCGTTTCGTACTGCAAACGAGGCTATAGTAGGAGCAAACGGAACAATGTATGGCTTATCAGCCTCGGTCTGGTGCAAAGATGTTAAAGTAGCTCACAGTATTGCAGACCAGTTAAATGTCGGGTAAGGCTTTATTACAAAAACTAATTGGCAAATTTATGTTTTCCACGATCTGTTATTATCATCATTATGGCTTTCATCTTTGATTTTTCCCCTAGCCGTTATCTTCGGTGAGATGTAAAGCCATTCTTAGCCACCCTCAATGGGGTGCAGACAGTCACGGGTGAATCTAGAGATTTTATGATCTTCAGTGAGGTGACTCCGTGGAGTCACGTTGGTGAACACCTTACTTACGCACTGGCCCTATGATTTTGTATACGTATGGAGTTTTTAAACCAAAAACTCTTTGTTCCTATTGTTATTTTTTTGCGTTGAAAATCCACCAAAGGACCCACTGACCAGTTTAACTTGATACTTGTTAGTTATCACAATTTGTAAAGTATGAACCGCCCATCACTCTAAACCCATGAAAACAAAGAGTTAAATGAAGATGCCTAGAAGCAAGAAATTGCACATTCCCGCAAAAATTTCAACAAAGGATTTCCCGGAAAGGTTTGCAATTTTTTGATCTCATGAGAGAACGTCGTAGACGTAACTTAGTTAAGACCGGCATTTGACAAACTTCGCAATTCGCATTGAAGTCTGCTTCGCAGCGGTTATAGGGTTGTCACGTAACCCACATAGATTTGAAAGGAGTGGCGCGTGACACAGTAAAAGGCGGATACGAGCAAGAGTACTTGTGCATGAGCAGCATTCTCTTTAGAACCTCCTTAAAAGCAGTGGTTAAAAAATAACAATAATTCACAAAAAGCGCGAAGGAGAAGTGGATTGCATGCTGATGTAGTAGAACGTACGTACTTGCCGTTCTGCACCAAATTCTTCTGTTTTACAATGCAGAAAATTTCAATACCTTGCACTCACGTGAACTTATTTGATTTTGTTTTTTTTAGCTCTGTATGGATTAACAGCTGGCTTCCAAACGAACCCAACATGCCTCACGAATCCTGGAAGCAGAGTGGACTGGGGCGAACAGGCGGGGCTTACTCCATAGATTTCTATACCGAATTGAAAACTGTTAGCATAACATTTTGAATCACTGCAGCTACATCTCGTCATATCGTGCCAAGTTTTTCGTCATGTTTATTATCAAAAAACATTCCATATGTTAGGATCGAAAAACCCCTTGAATAACCTGCCACAAATTTCCGATTTCCTTATCAAGGTAGCGCTTTATATAAAACAACATTTCTTCTTCCTCTACGTTTGTTTCTGACAGTTTGATAGAGCAATTTTCAATTACGTGTCGAAAGTATTCCGAGATTGTGTTCGTTTTGCTTAATTTTCACTATGATTGGCTCAGAAAACTCGCGCGATCCTTTCGACCAATCAGATGCAAAACTAAAAACAATCGCGACTTTGTCATTCGCGTTTTTTTTCCCGCGCTTCGAGTTCTCATTGGCTGATAATGATGTAAACCTTTGCTTTGATTGCTCGCTGTGATTATTACCGATCAACTTGGTTTTGTTTTTTTCGACACAGTCAAAAAGTGCTCTATCGGTGCGATCGTGGCTAGTCAACGCTTTTAAAGCGTTAAAAGTTTATTATGTCACTGAAGAAAAGAAAACAGCTGGAAAAATTGATATCATATATCAATTTCAGCAATGAGATAAAACACAAATTGAATGTAAGCCGAAGTTTAACTTGCCATCTTATCATTAGTTTAAACATGAGCTGTAAGAGATAACTTGATGAAATGATGCTCCTGAAATTTGATGGTATCTTGCTTTGACACGCTGCAGCTGTCATGACGTCTTCTCTTACGTAATCATGTATCTCGAAACACAGATCCAATGCATAACGTGCATGTCTGTCCTTACGTAATCACTCAATGTAGCTTGTACCAAAGAGCCATTGAGAATGAAATCAATGGCTATAGCAGTAAACGCTTCTTAGTTAGTTAGTTTTTCATGCTGTATTTTACCGTAAGCAGGGACCTTTTTTGCAAGGGCCGGAGTTAGATATACCATTCAATTACCACCGAGTACAGCAAAACGAAAATATTCAAAAATGATCCCTTTTGATCATATAGGACCGAAAAAACACACATTTCATGTTCATCACTTGTCCTTGACGGCACGAGGATACCGTGCGTGATCTCCTTCCTTCATTGTATCCTTAGCATTGCTCAGTCATGACGGTTGACATTTGTTTGAGTAAATCATCCATATCTTCAAAGTGCTACAGGCTTAGCAAGGTTCATATTCGTAGCACGGATGTTTGTGTCAAGTGTTGATTTGACATTTATTACAAGTACAATTGAAATCGTATATTTGCCGGTTCTGCTTTGTGAAACGTTTTTTTAAGTCACATAAACGGAGAACGTAAATCTGATTCTAAGAAACCCTTCCAGTTTCTCAAATATATTTCTTCACGGCTGCAAAGCTCAACCTTAAGACTGTTTTTTGCAATTTGACATTTTCTTTTTTTATTCCTAAAAGTGAATTCGTCTGAAGAGGAAATGAATTTGTCAAACTCACATTTCTCAATTCTTTAAAGTTGAGCGGGTAATTTCAAGAATATTTGTCGTTGTAGTCCGGAACAAATTCAGACATTATCCGCGCAAGACCTCGCACGATAATGAAACTTCCGTTAAAGGCTTGTGATTTACTGAGTCTTCTACTGAGCACAGACAAATTTGTTAGAGCATTCGCAGCACAAAGACTACATATTTAGTCCAACTTCCGTGCAATTTAATACCCGTAACATATACATAACATTGAAATTTTTTAAAACGGGAATTGGAGCGTAGCAACACACCAAAGTAAGAGCTCGTCTGCCGACAGCATTTTTTTTAGTAAGGTGCCCAATTCTTAGTTTGTTTTCAACTTAAATATCATCGCTTGAAGTAAAAGATCCATACTTCAAAAAGCGTTTTTGAATTAAGTAAAATTGATTGTAGATATTTTCTGACATTTCTTAAAGATAAGTAGACAAACACTTGTCGTTGAATCAGACATTTTTCCTTATTCTTGATGAAATCATTCCGTCATGGGTCTAACTTCTTTCAGTTTTTCATGTACGTTATATGATCACTGTTGTAATGACTTGAATTGATTAGAAGCGCACAACTTTGATAAAAGAGACTTGTTGACTCAAGCTTAATCATGTTTATAACATCAATTTCAATCTCAAATCCTCCATAGCTATTGGTCGAGGGTTCTCTACACTTGACATCTTCATCGTAAAGTTTAGCGACATGCCCATGTTAATTTTAAGCAATATCCGTTTGTTTACAAAATGTAGACATTTACAAAATAAAAGGAATAAAAAAGAAAACAGCGAAAAAAATTGCGTGAGCTTTCACTGGCCTCACGGAACTTTACAAGTACAACCCCCATCACTTCTTTATTTTGTTGTGTGCGTTTTTTTTTTCTCAATTAATTAATTATATAACTATTTTCGATCTATATCCAAACAGTACATTTTTTCAGGAGACTAAAAGCCCAAAAACCGCCGGAGATTGCGACAATTTCTAAGTGTATATTGCGCTTGTTATTCGACCAAGGATGTTCTAAAAATTGTTATGGTTATTGAGGAAGGTTATCGTAATTTTGTTTGTTTCACTGAGTTTCCGCACTCTCTGCCAACAAAGTGAGAGGAAACAAAGCGTTCCCCTGAGTCAATTGGCATCTTGTCAAGTTGTGACAGCAACAGTCCAATTTCATTTATTGACAGAGAAGCACCACACTGCGAGGTTTATTAATTTTCCTTTAGTGAAAACCCGTTACGGCTGCATGTTTTTCACGATTGTTGCCATTGAGAACTAAATTTAGATTATCTTTACTAGCGAAGAGAAGGGAAAATCATTCGAAAAGAAGACATATGACAAACTTTTTTGAAAGAAGAAATTAAAAAGACCACATTGAGGGGTCTAAATACGACCTAACAAGAGATATTTTTTGGAGGTGCTCTCTTGAGAGTCATTTTGCAGATACTAGGAAAGGTGAGTTTTGATCATCTGTGATATCGTTTTTAATGAGGCAAGAAATCTTGCAAATGAGAAATCGAGAGGTGAATCTTGTACCGTCGTAAAACAAACATCACTGGTATTATTGAAGAACGAGTGTCAATGCAAACAAGCTATGGATTTTCCCGATCTGCAGGCAAAAGGATTTTCTCGCAAGGTGAAATTTTTTAATTCATTGCGCTCATCACAACCGGCACGATTACATATTGAATTAATAGTTCATATCTTTCCAAAACTGAGCTTTAAAACTACTGAGTCGGAACTGCACTTTAAAAAGATGAACACAAAGATGTTTCCTATTTCTTTGGAAGATGACAATGTTTCTTTTAGATAATTTAAATTGATACTACAGAAACGAAACTTTAATCATTCCTCTAACGTTTATGTACACCGTTTTATCAAAATCGCTTAGCAGTTATTCTTGCCGAAAATGTACACCTTTTTTTCACAGGGCAGATATGTGATTTTATCTTCTTAAAGTGGATAGGGCATCTAAGCCTTCGGTGAGGTAATTTAGGTAATGAATATATGAAAGTCATTACTGCGTAGATCGCTTTTATATTCACGCCTTATTTTGTTATATCATATGTTCTTGGTGTCTTTCCTGGCAGGTAACTTCGAATTGAAATGTTAATTCCGCGGTAAACTCTCGCGTTACATGAAAAATTTATACTGTTCATGTAATTACAAGGGGCTGTGGTTTTATCACTCAGTCACTTTGTTTCAAATGACCTGGCGCGCATGTGATTGTGATGAAAATTGAAAGTGTTAACAATTCCAATTTTGAAGAAACAGCATGCTTAAATCATATGATTTATAAAATAACTTGAAAATAAAATTAGCGCTACTATCATATGTGAAAATCATCCTATCCGTTTAAAACAAGGAAAAAACTGCTCATTATTCTGCATAAAAGTAGAGACTGAGTAGAGACGAAGTAGAGCGGTAAGAAACTTAAACATGGTCACACAAACGTATTCACTAATCTGTCCCACCAATTTGGGTTAAACAAAGAAAAAAAACAAAAGAAAGCTTAATCATTTCACGATGTCAACTCGAAAGTTTCTTCCCTGGAAAATTGGGGAAAAAAAGGTAGCGGAGTATCACTCTTATGTAATATTTTGTGTTTTAATAACCGTAGAGAATCTGCTGCGAAAAAAGGATATCTAAAAAATATGACATTATACCGAAATTTCCTAAAGGCTTAACCCACCGAGTTTTCGTATTACAGTTTTTTTTGTGTTGAGAGAGAGTGAGTTTTTTCTATCTCTAAAAGCAACTACTGCTTTAATTAAATTAAGAAAAAACGCGAAGAAACACTGAAAGGTCTTAGTTCTCTGTGGGTTTAGCGGCACAAAAATAAACAGGTTTTTGACCAATCAGAACGCGGGTAAAAGCTCCCTTTTTCCATTGGGATTGTTAGCTTGTTCAGACAGAGTGAGTGAAACAATATCTGCACTGAATCTAAGCGCATGACAAAGATATCAGAAGAAGGTTATCCTTCTTACCAAAATCTTTTAGGTGTTTTTATTTTCTTTGCTTTTTTTCCTTCTTTTAATTGTGGTTAATAATTTATCTTTTCTTTCAGAGGTAACGGACCGAACATCCTCCTCTTTGGAGGAGGAAAGAAAAACATCAAAAAACCTGTTTGAAGAGGTAAACACCGCCCCCCCCCCGGCCCCCCCACCACACACACACACGCCAATCCCCCCCAACCCCTGCCCCACTCCCCACTCCCCACTGCTCTGCTTTTCCCACTTTTAAAGAAAGGCGCATGAATTAAAGCAGTTAGATAATAAATAACCGTATTAAACGTATCGCCGAGTATTTTTACTCATTGTTTGTATTTTTAATCGCCCTGCAGGCTCGTCGAAATACGACACAACTGTTAAAAATACTCAACAATACTACACACCCTAAAGTCTAATAAGATATATTTAACAATTTTTGTAATACCATGCATATGTAACGGTACTTTGTTTATATATTTTTTTCTTTATTCCAATTCCAGTATCAATAAGAGGTAAACTATAGTCCTAAATGTGTTTAAGAACAATGAAAATGAATTACCGACTTTTGAAAGTAATTGAAATTAATTTTGGACATTTCCGATTACCCTAACGGAGAAAAATTGACCGTCAGCGTTATAAGGGCCAACATTTTAACCGTTAGCCGTAAGAGCCTTGACCTCATTGAGACCCCTCTCCCAAACGGCGTCTGGCGGCCGCTTGTTTCCCAGATTCCCAGATTCTCAGATTGTCATATACCTTGGGGCAATAAGATCTGGATGGTAAGCAGTCTTTTACAGCCAAACTTTTAAAAATAAGATGTATCCTTTTCATTTCGTTTGAATTAAAACTCTGCACGATCTGTTCATTGATTCAAGCGCATGATGAAAAATCATCGAATTTTTCAATAAATATGTATGACGGAGACATTCAATGACACCCCACTAACTTCAATTAAACTCAAAACATCAACCAACCACGAGAGAGATTTACGTTAGTGTTGCAGTGAGAGCAAATTGACATCAGCAGCTGCATTCAAGGTGTTCAAACTGCATAGTTTTTCTCTTAATTATTTTTTCTGCTTCTAGCTGCCATTGCTCGAAGGAAAAGAGGAAATTGATCAGGCGTGGAGAATTATCGAAGAGGTAAGTAATACCATTCAGGATCTCTGATACCTTCACTTTCATCTAGAAAACAGAATCTTTTCAAAGAAGGTAGAGCTTATGATGTGCTATGTGAACAAATAGCTTGATTATTTCAAATATCCTTTATTAGCCATCGATAAATATTAGCAGAAAAGTGGTTTACTAGATTTTTTCCATAAGATTTAAAAGCGTATCGTTGATCTAGTTTTCAAAACGCAGGCAAAAAGATGTTCATCGCGGCTGGGAAATAATCAGCAACAAATAGGCGATAAACGATGAAAATGAGAAAAAGTATCCAGAATCCAATATTACCGCTAAGTTGGATTGGCTAACTGATCATCCGAATAGTCATAGTATGTCAAAACATAGGATTTTTCATTAACACACACCTCAGCAATTCCCGCTTAAAACTGAAACATACGTCATTAGTCATCGATTCAAGAGTTAATTACTTCGTGAGGAGTGAGAAATACCCGTAATTTATTTTAAGGCAGAGGGAAAATTGGTTGCAGAAAAGGGAAATATGGCAGAGAACGCCTAAAAGTGATTAAAATTAGAAAAAAGGGGAACAAGAACAGGTCTTTTCAAGTTCGGTTATTCGTAGTGGTGGCTCACATTTCGGAAAAAAGCTTGGCGAGTGTTTATTTTATGGCCTGTTCTTGTTCTACGCTAATTGTCATCTATCTTTTTTCACAAGTGTACACCTTTTCGATCTAGAGTGTTGGGATCAAGGTTGTGAAGACACCAGAGATTTTGAAATTAGATGAATCAAGTTAAATTTACTTGGCAACCTTAAGGCCTTTTAAGAGAAACCAGATCAAATTACTAATAAGGAAAAAATATGGAAGTCAATTAGCACCTTGCATGCACTCTAGATGTTATAAAATTTACATTTTGTGATCGTTTTACAAAGCAACGCGATTAGGCTCACAGAAACAAATGACTCCACATTTATTGATGTAATGCGCCAGGAAAGATATGAGCTCAATAGAATATTGATTCAATGCTCGCTTGGTTGTGAACAACCATAGCATCCTGAAGCACAACATGTTAGAATGTTAACGATAGGTCATATATACATCAGTGAATAATTCATATCTGGTATTCATGCACCATATTAGATAACAACCGTTTCATAATGCTTGCTTTGAAGGCAGACAACAGAATAGCTTGCTTTGCTTTTAGAGTCGCCTAACCCTGCAACCAGGAAGCATTTTGAGTCGCTAGAGTAATATGATTTCCGAATGACACGAGAGGCAAAGTGGGAGAGGCGGTGCAGGTTATTAACAAACTTTCGCTCCGACGAAGGGCTAACGTTCGAACGTCACCCTTGGAAACTTCTTACGGTTTCAATTTACATCATCAACTCAGTTAATAATGGCAGATTATCTTAAGATACCCCCAACGATGCAACACCACAGCTTCTCTAGAAACCTTTACTTCAGGGCTGGTTTTTGAAAAATTCCTTTTTTTTCGGTATTCTTATGGAAAACTTTCAGATAAATATAACCTGTAAATGGCACCCCAATTACTGGTGACAACTAAAATTTGCATTTGCAATAACCATTTTGTTACACCAGATACTCTCCTTGATCGATTAAACAGAAAGAGAAAATATTAGCTTGCTCACAGGAAACGCACGTATTCTCATTTAATGCACACACATACACGGCTCAAGGAGGATGGGTATAGTTCAATCACTTTCACTGAGGGTGAAGGCCAAGGTTTGAAATTCTAATGATTTGTTGGTATCTTGCGGATTCGAGAATAATACCTTATTCACACCAGCAAAACATGTTTAGTTAAACCGGGTTTAACTGAAAAAAATAGACTTGTGTTGTGGACTGAAGCAGAGTTCATAACTTAAAGGATAGCATCTTTTACAGGTCCCCCCAAAATGATGAAAACTATCACGCTCTCTGCATGGTTGCTGCTTTCCATTCTGTTAATGGGAAAGTGGGCTCACAGTTTGAAGAACTTGTACATTGGTACTTTCTACGGCGTAAACGTGTCTTCAAAAGGTTGGAGCTCCAAGGGTGTTATGCCGGCAGTTCGGATGGCGCTGGACCACGTGAATAGGGACCGGTCCATTTTGGCAGGGTACATTTTACAGGAGGAGTGGAGAGATTCTAAGGTATATTAAACGCCTTCTTAGCCCTAGGACACACTCATAGAAAAGATGGCATAAAAAAGATAGATAGCCGTAAAATGAGGACTGGTGTGTTCAGGGACCAGGAGCTGTTATCAGCATCAGCTGAGGCTTAAGAGACAATTTGAAATGGTCTTGGACTTCAGGACCTTGGACCAAGGCAGGTAGATCAACTGCTTTAATGCCGGTCCATCTGAGAGAAAAAAATCGTGACGTATCATCACAATCAGAAAGTCAGATTTGAAAATGAAAATCCTTGAAGAAAGATCTCTTAAGGTTGTTTCTCTTCCAACGTATGGTATCTGAGAGGCACCGATTTAAGCCTAAGTAAAGCCCGATTTCGGTTCCATTTTAGCCACATAATGTCTATCGATTGTTCATTAATTCAAATAATAAGGGTAGTTTTTTCATATGGGGAGGTTAAGTTTTAAACAAAGGCGTTTTTTTCCGAATGAATGTAAGGTATTTCCTCACTGGAAATGACAGCTACATAAGCAAACGCTAAAGAGTAAGAACGCAAGGTTTTCAGGTTCTAATATCCTTTTCTTTTATCTTAAGCTTCTGTTACTAGGAACCTTCACCGGGACAAAAAGAAACAGCCGTTTGTAGAGAGGAGTAGGTTGAGTTAATTGAGTTTTGATGGTATCTTTAACCATTCCTTTGAATTTTGAATCATCAGTGTGACAGTGCTGCCGCCATAAAAGCTATGTTGGATTTAGTGTCCAAGCCTCCTAATAAGATCATGTTCACGGCACCAGGTTGCTCTCCAGCTGCAGAACCCATCGCAGAAGCTGCCCCATTTTGGGGAGCAGTGCAGGTACACATCACGTCTTGAACCACTGACCTCATTTTTTCGGTCAATTATGAAATTCAGATTTTGCAATCATGAGGTATAAGAATAAGCTTCAAGGTCTGGAAAGCATGTAATATCATGCATTTAGATTAGGAAGCTTTCCCCCAGTAGCATCTCAATGCGTCTAACTAAGGAATCCATTTTAATTTAATAGAAAAAAAAGCTACTTTTGTTGTTGTTGTTGTTGTTGAGATTGTCTCCCTAAATACTACTTTTTTTTTCCCAAGGTTGGTTTCAGCAATACCTCTCCTAAGCTCTCAGATGACTCAAGGTTTCCACTCTACTCCCGCATTTGTTCTTCTGAGGCCCTGAACAACTTTGCCATTGTGAACTTACTAAAACACTTCAAGTGGAACAGAGTCGCAATTCTCGTGCAACAGGACCACATTTTCACAAAGGTAATTCCAGCTGTTTGCCGGCCTACATAATCGTGATATATTTAAATGGAGAATAATTTATCCAGTGAAGTTAATTATATTTTTAATCATGACTTGAGATAGAACCAAGAAATCTCGAATAACCTTTCGTGAACCTGATTAACATCAGCTTAAACTATATATCACTATAAAATGACTTTTTATTTGGTCACAAAACATTTAAAGAGACATCTGAAGGGTCGAAATTAAGCACTTGTTATTTTTGCAGACCAAAGAGAACTTGATGGCGTTACTTACCAAAAACAACATCTCAATCGTTTTCATGGAGAGTTTTGAAGAGGAACACAGGCATCCAGTTCGTCACATTAAGGTAAGCCTTCAAGTAATTACTGCTGATAAACTAAACCAAATCACTTTCAATTCTTAATATCCATACTTTTCCAGGTGAGATCGTAAGTAAGGGCCGCAAGGCTTAATTGACAGTTATTTATCGGCTAACTATATCCAGAGGATAATTCATTGTTTCCAAAATCGATTTTGTTAACGTCTTAAAAACTTAACCAACACTAAGGGTAGTTTTAACACCATCGCGATTTATTTCAGAGGAGAGATGTCAGAATCATCATTGGCCTGATGTATGAAGATCAATTCCGAAAAATCGCATGTCAGGTGAGAAATTTGTTACATTTATTTTTAAGGTAGTCGAAGACTGAATAACAGAGCAGCTCTCTACATTGTTTGGAAAAAAGTTTTGTGTTTTTTTCAATTTGAGATATACCCGTGACTGTTCTCTTTTAGGCATGCCATGAAGGAGTAACAGGCAGGAAATACGTTTGGATTCTTCCAGGATGGTACAGTGAAAAGTGGTGGGAATCGAAGATTGGAGACACTTCGTGTAGTGGAGACGACATACTTTTAGCAGCAGGCAACTATCTCGCCACCAGACCTCTACCTCTTGGGGATTCCAAGACCCCTACGATTTCAGGGAAGGTTAGTCACCAATTTGAATGGACTTCTTCATACTGGTTATGACTGGCCCACTTTTTGACTTTCGGGTAGCCAATCAGAACACGAGATGTCCCTCGGTCATATTTCCCGCTCGTGCGTTCAGCCACAAATTAAGGAAGGCACTATAAGCTACTTTTTTTACCTGCTTCATATTAGAGATTGATCTTATATAGGCGAATACTGATTAACTCCTTTTATTTTGTGATCTATATTATCAATGACCGTAGTTAGTCGCCAGCGATTCATTTTTCGGATTTTCACATTACAGACTGCTGTTGAACTTAACGATGAACTCTTAGAACGGAGCAGGAAGATAAATTACCCAGCAAATGGATTTTCCTCTTTTGCGTATGACGCTATTTGGAGCATCGCACTAACGTTGCACCAGTCCTCCTTCGCTCTTCAAGCACGCAACAAGAGTTTAACAAACATAACGTATGGTGATCGCGAGGCCGCCGAACTCTTCCGACGAATACTTCGGAATTTGACCTACATCGGCATGTCGGTGAGCACGCGCATTAATCACTGTCGGAACAATTGAAAGTTTCATAAGGAAAGGAATTTGTTTCTCTTGCACTCTACCTTAACGGACGAAAATTTACTTTCTAGTCCACCAAAACATGTCTTGAAACCTAAACATCGCCAGTTGTAAATAACTTCTAAAATGAAATTTCAATAGATGCTACATCTTTGTTGCCATATTGCCTTCGGAGGGAGCGTCACCGAATGCTTTAGCTCTTAAACTTAAATGCAAAGCCGGTAGTTCGAAGCTTGATCCCCTCACTTTTCCTCTCAATTGAATCTTTTTTTCGCTTGTATTTGGATCGATTTTCCGCTCCCCTTTGTAAACAGCCAATTAGTTTGTTTCCAAAGATTGAGATACTGTCTAAAATGATACACTGTTCATTTAATTTCTTACAGGGCATTGTTAAGTTTAACAGAGTGGGTGATAGAGAAAATACGATCGAGATTTTGCAACAACAAGGTGTGCTCTTTATAACATTTCCGAAATCTTTATTGATTCAGAATTGCAGCCAAATACTTAAAGTAAAAGTTATGTTCAAAGAACTGTCACACATTCCTACATTTCATTTTCAGGTGATTCCAGGACAGTGATCGGATTGTGTGACAAATCTTCCACCATGTTGAATGACTCTTTGTTCATTTGGGAAGGTAATTAGTACAATATCGCAAATATAGTAAAGCCTTTTGTTAGCCTTGAAACTGAACTACACTTCGCTTTATCAGTTGAAAATCGAACCGAATGATTTCCGCTTGTATGACAAAATTAATCCAGGATTGCTTTGGTTTTACTGAGCTTTGCATCGCGGCTAGTGTTGAAAAATTGCGTCATCCTCTCAACCAATCAAATGCAAAACTAAAACCAATAACGAGTCGACAACTCGCGTTTTCCCGCGCTTTAGTCACTTAACTTGTTTTACATTTAATTCTCATTGGCTCCTAAAGACAGTTACCTTTCTCTTGATTTGCCGCGGTCACTACTTTGGTCTTGGCTTTCTAAAAGTCAATCTTTTTACGCTGTAATCTTTCAAACTCGCGACATTTTTGTAATTGTTAGAAAACTCCTCGAAAATGCAAGAAGCTTTCAAATTAGATTAGCAAAGCTAAAAATGTACTGGTTACAATCTTTCCAAATATGAAGCAACATATTTTAGTTTAAAACGTTCTCTTTGTTTTTTGCCGATTTAAGCCATTTAAACTTTGAGAAAAAATGTCCCAGATAACCGATTCTCATTCTTTATTGTTGATGATATCGTTGTTTGTCGATAATTTTGGAAGATGTTGTTTTGCTGTTATTGTTACTGTCATTTTTATCTTTATTTTCTACTCTATTCACTGTAATATTTATCGCGTTTCAAGGCAAGATTCCGGCTGACGGAGTAACCAACACAACTGAACCTTATGAAGCACCAAGGATACAGACCATCATGACTCTTGTTACATCCTCTCTTGGCGTGCTGTTCTCTTTGGGATGCCTGACTTTAAATATATTATACAGAAAACATAGGTAACTTCACCCAAATTTCAGTCTTTGGCTGTACATTTGAAAGGTCGCTGACTTGAATGCGGCTGCAGAACCGGGCATGAGAAGGCGAAGAAAGTTTAACCAAAACGTATGCTGGTAGAATATAATAAGATTAACAACAATTTCTAATTACTGATGGCATTGGGTAATGCGGATTGGGAAGTATTCGTCGGTCGTACCTCCTTAGTAGAACCTGGTAGAAGAAGCAAGTTAAATTTGACTTATAGAAGAAAGTGTTATGGTACTATCATCTGCTTAAAAGTCATTTCAACGTTCTTAACTTCTGATAAATATCATGTCTTAGTCCGGAGAGTGAGGACCAGTAGACTTTTTTGCACTCGCAGATCAACATCCGATAGCTAATTTTTGTTGATTGTTTTCTTTTTGTTTGAACATAAGGATAATCAAGATGTCGTCACCACATTTTAATAGCATAACGGCCATTGGCTGTCTGTTATGCTATATCCACGTTTTCCTGGCAGTTTTGGGAAATTCATTCGTTTATGGAAAAGGAAGCAGATCTGTTTGCGTGGTAAGTAGTTCTGGTAATCAATTGATACTCCATATCGCATATGTTATGCTCTACGAACCTATGTACTGGACGTCTGTGAATTAAGGTAAGCGGCGTAACAAAAAAATTAAAAGAGACTGAATGGTTCCCATGTTTTACCTACAGGAGCATCTTCCTTCCCTTAGGGTTTCTAAGCTCAATTCTGCCACCAGAAATCATCTCTTTAATTTGATATTTTACTACAACCTGAAACTAGCTTGGTCTCTTAATTACATATATTGCAAGTCATTGATTATTGCTTAATTCCTGAGTTCTCTCTTTTTTGTATTGTTGGCGAAAACAAAACCGGGTTCCTTTTTCCTGTTTCCTTGTTCAACTCGACTATGAGTGTAACTCGATCTATAAACTCAGCTGTAAAGAAATCAGCCACCGCTTGTTTGACGAAACAAAATTTGTATCTATACCAGCTCTTTGAAAATCGATTTTTCTACACTAGGTGCGCGCTTACCTTATTGTTGTCGGATTTACATTGGTGTTTGGAGGAATGTTATCGAAGACTTGGCGTGTGTACAAGATATTTACTAACAGGCGTCTCAAACGACAGGTACATTCCCAGCGTTTCAGTATTTCATTTTCTAGTTCACTTGTTAAATGACTGAAAATTTTGAAAGGGCAATAAGAAAATCTTTTATTGTGGTCCTTCGGGTGTCAAAGTCGTGAATAGGAAAGAAGCTGAAAAGGTCGGGAAAACGCTTTGAAGAAGGACGCAGTCGAAAACGTATGCTGTCGAGAAGGACGTAGTTAAAAAGATGCAAGTGAAAATGACGCAGTTGAATTTAACGCGATTTGAAAGGACACAGTTAAATGGACACGGTTGAAAGGATTTCAGGATTCAGGGATCTTAGAAAAGTCACTGGAAGAATAGAGAGACTATTTATTTCCCAGTCAAGTGCTTGTGTTACAATTTTCGAAAGCGACTGATTTTATTTTATTTACATTTGTCTAAAATACGAAAACAATCACCTTCTACTTTTTATCTATTCATCGACAATCATGCCACCATTCTCGTTATCATATTCATCTTTTCCAACAGATAAGTGGTCTGAGTACGTCTCACCTATTGCTTAAAATACTCCATGGTCTACTGCTGGATATACTGGTGCTTGTGAGCTGGGAACTAGTGGATCCCTTACAAGCAAAAACCATACAAATATCCGATAAGGTATAGAGTTCATGGAAGTTGTCTTTTGATCAAGAAACCCCACAGTCTTGAGACCTTTTTATGTTTTGATTGTTGGTCAGTCAACCCCGAACAAATGTATTGCTTGATTCACTATCACAACAAGTTCCAAGGATACATCATTCTATTCATGTCTAAATGGAAGAAAAGGGTTGAAGAAAGTTTAAGAACGGATATTTTGACAAGCTTGTCTCGATGGGAATTTTTAAACGCATATTTTGGTTTTGCATATAAAATCAAGGAATCCCGTACCACACACCCATTTGCCATGGCAGGCCAACTTTTTAAAGGATATTTCCTAATGAGCAGAAATTTCAAACGATCCAAACGAAATTCAGATTATCGTATCGTCGCTTCTTGGTTTTCCCTTGTCCAAACTGACCACTGAAATACGTTCAGTTTTAATTTGTGTCACAAAAGCAGCAATAATCGCTCATTTGACATTTGACAAGATAAAGTCTGTATTTTAGCCAAGTTGGAGCCGAAACTTATCGCGGTTTTCGCGGTTTCCTTGGTACGCAGAGACCAAGAATGTTATTACTAACTATGTTATTATTAATTTATCCTCCTGGGTGGAGAGAGGCACTCAATTTAAGTATTTTACTCAAGAACACAACACAATGACCCAGCCGGTTCTTGAACTCAGACCTTTCGACCCAAAGTAGAACCCGCTAACCATCAGGCCAGCTGCGTCTCCCAGTGTTAACTAATCAACACTTATCTTCAATTTCATTTTTAGATGCACCCCGACGACGAAGACATACACATTCACATAACAATTCACCAATGCGATTCAACTCACTACTCCAAATGGTTTCTTGGTATACTGATATACAAGGGCATACTGCTTCTGTTTGGCGTCTTCCTGGCCTGGGAAACGAGAAATGTTCACTACGCTGAACTCAACGATTCCAAGAACATCGGGGTAGCTGTCTACAATATTTTACTGTTCTCGGGGCTTTCCATCACAGCGGAGTTTGTGCTGAGTAATTATAATGCCAAGAGGATCTTCAACAATTCCTTGATACACCTGTGTACCACCATGGTGCTTGGTTTAGTGTTTCTCCCAAAGGTATGTGGCCAGAACATAAGTTTATATCGCTTTCGTGGATGTCGGAGTGTGAAAGTACACCCCTCTTCCCTTAGGAGACCTAGGTTTGATTCCCGAGCCTGGAATCACATGTGGTTTGAATTTTTCTTGGTTCTCGTTGCTCGGTGAGTTTCTCCCAAGTTCTTTCTCTGCAAAAGCCAAAAATTCAAATTCCTGTGCGACCCTCGGAACCAAAGGACAAGGAACTACTCTGTTCATGTGCCACTACTTAACTGTTACTCAAACTACTTTACAATCTCGTCTAAGGGCGAATGTCTTTCTTTCCCTTTCCTGTCCTCTCTATAACACTATGTTCGCACCCTGTTCTGCTGTATCCTGTTCGGTCCTTTCGTTAATTTCTCCGAGGCAAGAGTCGCGTCAATCTCTCCCCTTCCCACGGATTATTTCCTTTTCTGTCCTACTCTTTTATAAGCCCTGTATGTTATCCATTTGAATCTATGCCCTTAATATCTTCCCTTATCTTTCTTCCATTCTGTTCCTTTCTTCCTCTTTTTTCTAATATCTTTAACCTTTTTCATTTTTACGTCTTTTCCTGGCAGATCACAAACCTTGCACGAGAGTCACAAGTGCACCCAGAAGAAATCCAAATTCAGGATGGAAGGGAACATAATTCGTTAGGAAAGAAAAATTTCAATTCGACCAGTTTTGGAGTTTCGGAAATCGCGCAGACGGTTCATTAGTGTGATGGAAATTCCGTGATTAACCGTGAACATAATTTTATACCTCAGCTCCCAGTTGAACCGTTGCAGTGAAAAGAACCACGACATCAGAATTTGAATCGTTTTCTAGAATGTGCAAAATGACGAAAAACAGGTTCTAAACCATAAACTCTTGGGCTGTCAGAAAAAAAAGCAGTAGAACATGAGAGATAAAAACAACGGAAAGAGGATGGCAAAAGATGGAGCAGTAAGCGTTTAATGATACAGTAACCTTGGCGTTTATTTATTCAGTAAACCGATCTTTAAACATTATTTCTTAATTCCGGATGATCCAATGTGGTTAAGAGAAAAATTTTCATGAATAAAGGAGATATAAAATAATCAGCTGGGCAAGGGTGATAAATAAGCTATGACAGTGCAAATTTTTTTTTTTTTCACAAGTTTAGGTCTCCTGCCGACCGAAGGATTCGATAGTTACGACTAATCAGTTATAATAAAATTGTCACACTCATCCGATTTTACTTAGCATTTGAGATTTTCTCCGGGTTTAGTCTTCCTTCCACACATATCAGGTTAAAACGGTCGTTTGGTCTTCTATCCACACATATCAGGTTAAAACGGTCACTCAAAACGAATGCTTTATAGAGACGTTTGAAGACGCCGTTTTACTGTGTTGGCGTCAACGGATAGAAACAAGTTTTGGCAAAAAATAAAAGTTTTTTTAAATTTCTTAGAGATAATTATGACTGGTGGATGGTCGATCGTGAGTTCGTGGCACAGTTGATAGCCGGAACCGAATGGCGTTTTGATAGGCACGAGTTCTTGCCTCATTAAAGTCTTACCTTTTAAGCCTTGATGTCATGTTATCCTTTTTTTTCATATTACCAGGTATTTATCGAAATAAGAAGATAATTTAGTTATACGTTTTCAAAGTAACTTAGTGGGCCAATGCTTTATACTAATACTAGTGATAATAATGACAATTAATTGTTTGGATTGGGCAAATTATTAAATGAATATGTTCATAGATAATAATATCACATGATAGTCTGGAACTGATTCCTAGGAGACCAGTACAGTTTCAAAACTGTCTCTCAGGGTTCAAAGAATTCACGCATGCGCTGTGGTAAAGGAATAGAGGCGGCTGAAACACTTTGTGTTATTTTTTGTCCATTAAAATTTCATTTTTCACTTAAAAATCTTAAAACACTATATGGTTTAAGTTTCTCAAAGCTGTGGTACCAAACGCATTCTCTGACAGCGAGTGAGTTGGTTGCAAAGCAGACTACTGCATTCATTTATTGATACTTTGTATGAATTCAGCCTTCCCCTCTCGTTTTCACAGCCATTATCTGGTCTCGATTAAGTGCTACGTTATACACTTGTATTCCTGTGACTCTCCCCTTAAAATATCTGGCATCACCAGTTTTCACACCAATTCTGACATTTAAGTCGGTGGCCAATTGAAACACTCCAACAGTTTCTTTCCCTTTTTCCACTCCGTCGATCCAGAGTCTAGCCACTCCAGTGTTGTAGTCGTAAGAAACAGCGACGTAATGCCACTGACCTGAGGTTGCAGGGCTTGTTAAAGATGAATACATATTACCCTGTCTATCAGCTGGACGGAAATAAAAGTTTCCACCAATTGCTATCCAAAAATGAACTCTCCAAAGATTTGAAGTCGAAGTCCCATAGTTGAATATAGGTCCATCCGTTGGTCCCTCGGGATAAATCCACATCACAACTGTCAAAGAGTACATCGTATCTAACCCTCCGCTGTTTGGGAGTTCAATGTAGCTGTTAGATGTACCCATGAACCGATACGAACCGCCAGCGTTTCCCTTAGGTCCAGTTGCAAGCTGCACGTTGGAAGCAATTCCGTCAAGCTGACTACCCAGCATGTCTTTTGTAGTGTATGCTGAGTTGAACGGGTAGAGCGCGACAAGACCATCCACATCTAATGGAGATACAATACAATGTAAACGTTCTATACCACTAGTTTCTCTCCTTTTAATTCTTGTGATTATCTTGGGATTTAAACAAAAAATCAAAGATTTTCCCCTTTGAGTGCGAGTCGTGGCTGCCTGTGCACACCCAAATGACAACTTACGTACTAGTGTATTTTTAAGAAAAGTGAAAAGGAGTGATTTTCGCACGTCTTTTTCAACAACCCTGTGCCCTGTATTAGGAGCAACAGAGAAACAAACCGCAAATATAAGGACAAGGTGTAAAAAAAGGATCAGTATTAAGATGCCAGCAATAAACCATAAAGTTAGACTTGATTGAAAAGCTTTCAAATGCAAGGAACATTAAACACGGTTTTGATTTATTAATGTACATGCTATGACGGAATTGATTTGGTTTTGCTACTCTTCTTAAATTGCTGATTCACTTCGGCAACTCACGCCGCAAGTGCTAAAGTATTGACATATAGATAGATAGAAAGAATTGAGAAAAAAAACATGTTTGTCACGGTCACACGCATTTCTTGTGCATAGTCACCTAGCTTTGTTAACTTTAACATCCTGCTGATGATTTATTCCATGCTATTAGACTTTATTATTGGCGTTACCGCTCTTTGAGTAAAAGCTTTTAGAGTGTGAGATGAAGTGAACCTAACCTATTGTTTCACATCTTGGTCCGGTGAAGTATGACGGGCAGTTGCAGTGATATTTGTTTATGCCATCAACACAGCGTCCTCCATTCAAACATGGATTACTGAAACATTCGTCGATATCTAGGAAAGATAAACCAAACAGCTGACATGAATGTCGGCATGAGAGAAATAGAAAAGCAGGAATTTTGTTGAAACTATTGTTATTCTTTCTAAACGACGATCAGATGTAAAATTCCACCGAGGTACAAAGTAGAAGGACAGCGTAGTTTCGGTTCGAAGCTTAGAACACTTTTCGTTTGAGTATTGTAAAATCAAAACAGCAGTAACCACAACGGCCGATCAGAAGAAAGGATGAGACCTTTAAGAGTCAACGAGAACTTATATGAAAGTAAAACCAACCAAACTGCCCAAAGCGCGGGAAAACGTGAGAGACTAAGTTGTGGTTGGTTTTAGTTCTGCGTCTGACTGTTTGAGAGAGTAGGGCGAGTTTTCTTGCCCAATCACAGAGCCAACTAAAGCAAAACCAATGCAATACGGGCTTACTTTCATCACTCAATTGAAAATTGCTCTGATGTAAACAGGACTTTTGAGTTTGCGATAGCTGAGTTACCTTGACAAAGCAAACGACACAAAATCACGAATTGACTTAAAAGGGATGCATTTTTACATTGGTCATGGAATGAGTGGTCAAATTTTAACATCAATGCAAATATTCCAAAAATCATCTTATTTAGTACATTTCTGTGATCTGTATTGCAGAATTTTATAAGGATACGAATGTTGAATTCACACCGATAATTCGGGAACTCATTTTCCATTTCTATGGTTAATTATTCGATTTGTAGCCATCAAAGCTATTTATTTCATCCCCAAGATCTAAATAATAGCAGTTCTTCAGAACCGTCCATAATCCATTAATCCTATAATTTGCGGTAGCTCAGAGTAGTTAATGTTGCGTGAAGCAATTTCATAAGTTGATTTTTTCTTTCTTGTCAACTTTACATTAACACCCCTGCACTTTGGAGAGGAATTTCATTTTGATCACTCAAAAGTGTGAAACAAATAAACAGCTAAAATGGAATGCAGTGCTGAGAATTCTCAGGCTTGAACTCAGCATGTGACGTAAATGAGGTCCTTACAGCGTTTCACTTAGTTAATTAAGTCTTAAAAGAAACGAAATTAAAGAAAAAACATTTTGATGTCACCTTCGCAATCCTTTCCTAAATATCCTGGAGCACATTCGCATGAATACTTGTAATCATCGTAGTTAGCCACACAAGTTGCATTGTTCATACAAGGATTACTGGAACAACGACTCTGTCAGTAGATAATGAAAAATTTTCCAAGACTTAACTTACCTCTGTTAAGACAAGCATCTCTAATTGATAAACGATAAATACATCAACTATTGCAGCCACATGCAATAATTTGTTACACTGAAACGGAGTGTTTCACTGAATGCTTTAAATGGCTATTTCAGTGCCTAAAAAGCTCGGAATTTAATGTTTCACTAGTACTATTTTGAGAACTGTGACATTACAGACTGAAAAGGTTAAATAATATAAATAATATAGCAGGCTAACTCTTCTACACTGTATATATTCCCACCAAAAAATTATGCAAGAAGAAAAAATTCAAGAATATCTCTCTACATACCTTTATGCTGTAATGATGAAATGTTGGACTTGAAGAAAACTTATTTGATTTATTGTACTTATCACTGGGCAAAAGTTGGCAAGACATCTTTCTGTGCACGTTATCTAAGAACGCCGCACAGTTAAAGGAAAAACACGATGGGTTATCAACACACGTTACACCGCACTCTCCAACCGTACTCACAAGAGCTGATAACAAGGGTGGCAGATCCAAAAAACTAAATTTATGCGAAACAAAGTTGACATAATTAACACCGTCTTTCCTGTCGCGTTTCAAGGTTTTCGAACCGTCAACTTCTGTGCCACTGACTTTTGTATTACTAAAACTTAGAAATACAATCGCGTTCAAAATCCCCACCATGTTAGTAAAGCTGAACATTATTAGTTATGGCTGTTTGAGAAACACTGATTAATCGGACGTTATTTGTAAATGTGATATGGGCCTACGTAATCTTATTGGTCTGGTTGCTGATTCGTATGCAGTTTCTTAGAGCCATGAATTTTAAATAAGTTGATGTATCGCGAGTGAAATAATCTCCGGTTTTTTTTAAATCAAATTTCAGCATTGAATTGTAAAGTTCCGGGAGTAAAAGAAGCAAATAAAAACAATACCAAAAGACTGAATTTCGAACAGGTAAACTGGAAAAAAGTTTCGAGAGAAATAAAAAATTAGAAGACAAAACAAATAAACGGCGTTTTGGGGTTAGAGGACTTTTAATGACGCCAATTAACAAAGAGATTACTGGGTGCTGGAGTTCTATAGTACAACAAATTAACATAAGAATGACAATTCATTGTTAATAACTGAGTTGAAAACGTAAATTGGCCACCGTAAAGAGTAAAAAAGCTGACGTTTCGAGCGTTAGCCCTTCGTCAGAGCGATTGCAATCGCCAATTTACGTTTTCAACTCAGTTGTTAACACTAAATTACCTGCTATACTCTCCCACCGACACAGCACCACAGTTTCTTTAGAAACTTACCCCCCTTTATTTATTTAACATAAAAATTATTCGAATGCAAATGAAAAAAACAAGCATAACACTGAAAATGAAAAAAATACGCGCTGAAAACCAGTGCATTCTCATGTATTACGAGTGCAAAGTTGTAACACGAGTCAAAATTACAAATAGCGCGCATTCTTCCAAAATTTCGTCTGTCTTGCCTTTCTGTAATGTTTTTCCATGTAAATTATTAACCCAGTAATAACATGATTCCTCTTTCAATTTGGTGTTTTTGTAAATTTTTAAAGACTACAAATTGAAATTTTGTTGTCTTTGAAAAGTTTACTCGTGCTTATCACCAAATTGCACTCGAAATCATGTTATCTCTAAAAAAGTACTCGTGTAATTTTCCGCATTCGCAGCACGATCGTGTTAATTTTTTTAATTAGTTCCCGAGACAAAAGCGCAATTACTGGCAATCAAGAAGACAGTGATCCGTTTTACGGTAAGTTAGTGACTTACTGAACTAAACAAACATGCCAAAATGGATCATTACACAAAATCACCTGGTTTGAAGATTCTTGACAAGCGATTGGTCACATTGTGAATAAAAATCCTGTGTGTTCGGAGAGCCGGCGTATTAGTTCAGCCTAATCTTTTTTCTCTACACATGCTCTAAAAAACATATAATTTTACCATTCCAATGTGGACGCTGCCATGTTGATAACAGCTTAAAACAGTTCCTACCTCATCGTAAACTATGCAGTAAGAATCTGAAATAGCAGTCGGCGTGATAACCTTCTTCTCCTTTAAGAAGTCTACCTTCTAAAATCCTTTAACATTGTTCAAAGTTAATAAAAACACCTGACTCGAAAGCCATGTAAATAATTGTACGCACATGAGGGATTGTGCTTTTAAAAGTATCATGTTATGCAAGAAATTATAAACTTTTTATATTCTCTTGTATAATACAACTGGCATTGCCCAATTTTTCCTAAGTGTGAAAAATTACTGCCCATTTTTCCAAATAATGTCAACAGTTATGCCAGCACAATCCATAAGAGACTACATCCATGCATTATGAAGGAAGAAATGCTCTCCAAATTCCAGATGTATTATTTCCTTTGCCATCTAAGTTATCTGTGTTCGTGGTGTCTTAATGGATTTTCGGTTTTCTTGGCCTCCGTAATCACACAAAAAACGTACTCTTGTTTCCTTTTGAAATATTAAAAAAGTATATATAGATTATGTATTGTGAAATAGAGGCTGAGAAAAAGGTGTACTCAAAATGTAAACATAAATCTGCAAATAATTGACGTCCATGCCTCTATGAAGATGGACTGATGGGAAATCTTTGAACAAGACCCTAGAATATTGCTTTTAATCACAGTAGAACCCCCCTAGTTTGAACTTTAAAGGGAAACAAAAAATGGTTCGAATTATCTGAGAGAAAATGATTGAAGTATGGAGACATGGGAAATCGGATCTTGCTTCAGGTCACCGGGGGTTCCAGTTTACCGAGATTCTACTGTGTCAACAAACTCTTAAAAATCCAATCTCTTTGTAAAAATTGATTTCTCCATTGCGCCATTCAGCAGTTTGTTGAATATGCATTTACCCCATTGCAAGAAACCTTTTTTCCTGTCATTTTAATTAATGCGATATTTAATAGATGTGTGTGGCAAATAAACCTACAGTGGATTCATAATTAACACGCGCACTAAAGGCACTGAATCTTGAATTTTTGGACTACCCCGGTTAAGTTCATGAGATGAGATATGAACTCATATTTTTTTCTTCTTTCTACCTTCCTCCCCTTTCTTTTGTTTTTTCTTAGTGGGCGAAGGGAAATCAATTATTTTGCCTAGCATATGCAAATATTGTTCCCAGTGTTCTGAATTTAAAAGGACATTTTAATTACATTTTCCTTTTTTTTTTGTTTTTTTTTTTTTCATCCTGCTCTTTTTGTGTTATTTATTACGCATTCCGCAGAACGGTTTCGAGCTGGAAGAGGCATTTATTGATAAGGACAGTTTAATTCAAACCAAAAAATGTAAAAATATTTTTTTTTTAAGCGCTCAAAACACGCAACATCAGAATTCACTTTCATCATTCAACAGATGATGAATATGTCAATAAGGACATAAAAGATTTCGTATGCGTTTTACTTGTGTAAAGTGGATTTCTCCTTCGTTGTTTTTTTAAAAACGGATTTTCCGAAAGAGTGAAAGCCATCCAGAGAGTGGTACCGATATAAGGCATAATAACCTGCGCAGTGTACCTACCGCAGTATACCTTCTTGATAAACATTGGTTAAGGCTATCACTAAAGGCGAGGTAAATAGTAAAAAAAAATGTGTTCTAGTAAATTCGATAAGCATTTAAGAGGGTCATTTAAGCATTGGGTGATGGCTCCTTTGGCTTACAGGTTAAAATTTTGGTCATTTTACGGCTAACGGTCATCTCCGTTGTGATTTTAAAAATAATTTACGGTCAACATTTTCTAAATAACGGTTAGAATTTGTCAGTTTTTACGCCTAACTGCTTTTTCTTTTTTTTTTTTTTGCTGTTTTACGGCTCACGGTTAATCCCATCGAGACCCTTATTTAAGGGAACATTCCTGTCGAATGCCTTTTCCAGCATTTTAAAAAGTTTTTTCAAAGTAGTTTTACTTCGGCTCTGTAAGGTTGTGGTCCATAACGATAAATTTTAAGAACAATTATCATGATTTAGTGACAGATAATGTCTTTAGGGTACGTTTAGAAATGGCAAATCAAAAATGGATAAATAAAGGGAGAGGAGATGAATCTGTAAATAAAAATGAGAAAGTATATAGAATTTGAGAGAAGTTTAATTAGAATTATTGGAGTGAATGATAGACGTACATGATTCACACAGGCATTTATAACGTCCTTTTTCCGATTCTTTTCATCTCCACTAACTCCATTTTTTGGACAAAACGTTTGACACCATTTTCCTTTGAAGTCATCTTTTATCAATTCATTGCGTGATCAATACTGTTTTATCTGCGATCATTCATCGCCCATGACCTGAGGCATTAATGTTATCACGTACTGATTAATGATAGAACCGCAATTTCAACCAACAAAGCAGTTGTTCAAACTATGAGACATTTTTAGGCAGCTGTAAAGAAAATAAATGTCATGTTTTCTTCCGCTCCCATTAGCTTTGTGATTAAATTATTATCACAAGCATATTAGATCGTTGTTAATTAGTTGTCGACTAAGAGGCGAATTTCATTACCCAAATATTAGACTAAACGCCCTGTTGACGTTGAGGTCCATAAACCATTGTCAAAACATCTCTTTTTTTATGAAACGGTAACTGTTGATAGTAATTTCTTTAAAGGTGTCAAGTGAAGGAAAATTGTCACTCGGTGATCTGAGTTGAACTTTGGGAAATCTGACGCAAGATGAAGCCATGAAACTTCCTAAATTCAGTTGAAAATTTTTTTATTCTCCATACAGCTTTTAATTAAAAGGAACCGAACGCAGTCATCGCATCATGAACAACTCCAGTCTTCCAAATGTCGACCAGGGATCGTGCTGGCTCTTTTCTTCTACATTCTTCACAACGCTTTTGGTTGTAGTAAGCTTAGCAGCTTTCGTTGGCAACATTCTTGTCGTTATCGTGGTGTTCAAGACGCCAATTCTTAGGACAAGTACTAACTTCTATTATGTCAACATGGCCGTTTCTGATTTTCTGGGCGCTCTCTTCACCTGGCCAGTGTATCTTACTCACGAAATCATAACAAGCAAGGGGAGCCTACTCCACGGTACTCTGGCTTCAGCTGGGTGCAAAACGGGCGCCTACATAAGACTCCTGTCATACTTGGTGTCTATTCTAAGCATGGTATTAATCGCGGTGGAGAGGTACATCGCGATAGTACATCCCTTAAAAGTGATCCTACTAACACGAAAAAAAAGAGCAGCCTTAATATTTGCAGCATGGTTGATACCTATAACGTATTCCGTGCCTCACATCTTTTATTTTGAGGTAGAAGAGGTTGATCAGATAGCCTTCTGTAGATTTTCATGGAATCCTTTAGCGATTATGATATTTTATGCTACTACCTTTATCGTGTTTTTTGTTGTACCGTTAACATCGATCACTGTTCATTACACTGTTATTGTGCGCGCTCTGAAAAGAGCCATACCAAGCGATGATGCAAACCAAAATAGTTTCCAAAAGAAGAGATACATGCACAGCCAAAACATAATGAGGTTATATAAGTCAATCGTGACAGTATTTGTCGGTTGTTATTTACTTTATACCGTGTTCTTGATCATAAAAGCTACCGTCCCTAAGCTTTTTCTCAAAGACGAGTGTAAGTGGATGCTGGGTATTTTCTACTTCATGCTTCCGTTGCTCAGTTCAACGGTCAACCCGTTTATTTTGTTTCTATTCAGTACTAATTTCCGTCAAGCTTTACAGACATTGTGTCCGTTTTCTTGTCCAAAATTCTGCATAAAAGTGAGAAGAGGGACGGTACGAAGTTACAGAGTAAGTTTTTCTCCTAAGGAAGCCACCGGAACAACATGAATAACACGTTACTCATGATGCGCACTGACACACGATCACAAAAAAGTTAGAAAGAAAAGAAAAAAAAAACCGGAGAATACATAGTGTAAGTCTGAGTTCTTCTGATAAGATGAAGGTGAAGTGCGGTCGTTTCGCTAACGAACAGTTCGCTAACGCCTTGTCTTTCATTGACTTCAATCGAATCGACTTTCAATTTGTATTGAAACGACCTAACTCGACTTTTCGGTCGATATGAAAACGATTACGTTCTAACGTTGGTAGAGCTAAACTTTATGTAATTTAACGTTCTGTAACGCGCCAGAGTCAGAGAAACGAGCCAAGACGTTGGCGAGGTGGTCGTTTCGGAAACGACACGTGCGCGAAACGAACAGTTACCATGAAGTTCAACTTTTTGTATCTTAAGTATCATACATTCTATAATTTACACCTAAAAATAAGTTTAATATTGCGGTCTATGGCGTTGACATCGTTTATGATAGAGATTAACGTAACTGCCGTGTTAGACCATTTCATTTATTTGGACTAATCTCCTGACAAGCGTGGCCAACGCGATGACGGAATGGGCTCATTACCAGGAGGCTAAACCACGTGATTTTAGTCGTTTGTATTCGATCATGTAAATGACTAGAGATGGATATTATAACAATACAATATAGACTAATAATATAATATTGTTGAGCAACTATGAAAGAGAAATTGCGAAAGAGCAATTATGAAAGAGCACTCAAACGTAATCCATAATATAAACGAACAAACCAGACACACAAACACTAAATAAGCTAACCATTTATTTAAACTGGAATATCCTTTGCACGTTGAAGAAACCTCCTTCTCCACGCGTTTTTGCATCGCAACAAATACTAAGAAATACCACAAAATTACATTTCTAATAGTCTCCCTTTGACGGAAATTTGTTTCAAAAAGCTACAGTGAAAGACACCCTTCCCCAGACCTGTTTATTTGAGAAATATTTATCTATACAACGAACCCTGAGGACAGCGGAGTTATTCATGCCTTAGAAGACATGCGCTCCCCCCTCATTTGACCTTAATATCAATGCAGTTGTTGAGAGAAATTAAATATCGGGACACTTTTAACTCGAGACAGTTTTTTTTTTTTAAATCACCAACTTGCTGTTGATATCACAGTTCAAAGGTGATGTTCTCTGTCTGTTTAAGTTCAAGTTGAGAGGGTTAGAGGAAAATAAATCGTGGTTTAAAAAGAAAGAAAACATCCAACCACTCAATGAATCCGCTTTGATGTTTTGTATAAACTTCATTACATAGTCCAGTAGCAGATAAAACTTCTGGCCGAAGAGCACAATTATTTTTGTCAGTTTTACATTCTTCTTACCAGCTTCCTTCGTTTGCAAGGATTTCATAATCTCTTCCTTTTTTAAAACTAAGAGACGATTTCAAGTTACCAAAATAATGGAAAAAGTGATCCAAATCCCGTTCTTTTATATCAAATATTGTGAGTTACTAGATGCAGAATAATTTCTTGAATCGTAGTCTATTTAAACTTTGCAAAACTACTATCTGTATCATTTCCTCGTGACCTATTGCGTTATCCCAGAAATTTCATTGCAAAATCACCATCACCCTTCACTCCCCAGATCTAGGTGGTAATTCTCGTTAGTATACTGTGATTTCAGTTCTGAGAATTTGGTGCTGGGTCAATAGTCTCTTGGATGATATTTTAATACTCTCATCACTAGTCTGGTTAATACTGCATTGACAATGTCAGGAGAAATCATGTCTGGGTCACTCCTGGGAGTGAGTGGGTCAAAACCTGTACCTCGATGACAATTTCCTACAAAGAGCGAATACCAATTTAACAACTCCTAACTTTTTAGTTTGTATCTTCAAACACACCAAGCACGAAAATACTCAACAAATTGGCAGCATACTTTGAAATAAAACCATCTGAGTGATCAAATTAAAAGCATTCGCTGCCACATTTTGGCGAATTTAAATTTGGAAATTGAGATCTTCTCAATAAAGAAATTATATCCTTCATTAGAAATCCTGAAAGGTATGTAACAATATTTCAATAATTTTTTTTTTGTCTGCGATAATTCGGTAATTTCTTAGTGATAAAAATACTCAATCACGTGTATTAAGCTGAAAAAAGTGTTATCTGTCATTTTTGGGTTTTACATTCGGCACAAAAGAAATAATTTCTTTTTAGAAAATTTATCTCGAAAGTTGTGAACATTAATGAAATTCAGACGACCAAGTACAAGTGTTAGATAATCCGCTCTGGTGCTGTGTCGAACTAACTGCCTTCAGCTTTAAGTACGTTGTTGCCCTTTTTAAGAAAAAATACTCCTTCCACGAAAACTGCATACTGGAAACCAAAATATATTTACCCAATGTGATGTGATTATTGCAAGATGATACAACGAACTTCGCCATGGGTTTTCGAACCCACTAGCACGCTTTCCGTGCTCTTTCCGACAGCTTAAAAATGTCTCTGGTCAGAGTGCTCAGAACATTTTACCTTTAGTTCCAAAAACATTTAAACTTCAGACCGTGGACTTGGTTCAATTAAGTTTAAGGTGGATCACGCCAAAAAGAAAAAAAAAGTACATCAAAATGTCTGTGATAACGGCACCTCCCTTAAATAAAACTTAACAAAAAAGTCTTATTTTTACACTTGTTCTTACGACCACTGCTTTCAGAACCCATACGATAATTCCTGCTGCATCAGGTGGCTCTGTTTGGTCAATTTTTGGTCGACATTTGTCGATGAATCTTCGGAACTCTTCGGTCAACAACAGTAGGTGGAGCTTCGGCGACACTCACGTCAAACTAAGAATGCTCCAGTCAATCTTTGTCGAATTCAAAGTGTTTAACCTTTCCTCTCCCATTTTGACCTTGTCACGAATTTCCGCGTGCATAAGAGCGAGCTGCGTTTTCATGTCTATGTAGTACTGAAAATCTGCATATTCCTCCTCTTCCAGGCAATTTTCTAAAATCTTCGACACTACCTCTCCGCGCTTATCGTTCACTTCCTTGATTTTACACGCTTCCTCGTGTTGCAGAGTGACTTTGTCGATTTTATCGAGTAAGATATCCTGAAACATGAAAAGAAGCTCTCAAAATAAGTTATTAGCGCTGCGAAAAGGCCTGGCACTCCTTGTTATCCTTCTTTAATACTTTTATGGGGCAATTTGGGAAGGAAAGAGCCTGATTCGAAGTCACTGTATATCTAGACAAAGAAGACAAGGAAAGCGATTTAAGAAAAAAACAGGAAAAGCGAGAGAACAAAGACAGAAAAGGAGTGACTAGAAACGATGAGGAAATAAAGGAAAGTGAAACGAAAAAAAGAAACTCAGCCAACAGAGGAGTCTTAGAGAGGCAAGAACGCAAGTGGTACTGCACGGCCGATAAACCTTTAGCACACATTACTTGAACGTGCGAGGGTTAACACCCTTCTGAACAGAAATAATGCATGTTGTACTTCTCCCATGACGGGCTATCAATAACGGTCATAGCTGGGAAAAAAACCTAATAACTATAATCACTGATACCCCACTTACTCTTTGTTGTCGGTCGGCTTCTTCAGACATGTCCAAATCATGGAGCATCATTTCATATCTGTGCATTCTCTGCGTGAGTATCAGTAACAGTCCTATAATCTTGTTCAGCTCGCCTGTAAAACGCTGATACTTAGAAAACTCGCTATCACTCGTCTTTCCTTCCACGACCTTTGTGACTCTTTGTCCCAGCTCCTCATTGCCATCGATTTCATCTTTAATTTCGTCCATCTGTGATCTCAAGTCCACTATTTTCTGCTTCATGCTTTCCACAAGATCAGCCTACATAACCGAAAAAAGAAAACATCGTCAGGTTAACAAAAGGAAGACAGATGGGCAAAAGCTAGGCACTAGTCTCCCATTCGAAACGCCTCGGTTAGAGCCCTAGCCTGGTCTCCACCCAGGAACACAACTGGGTTTCTTCGAAACTCTCCGCGGGAAATTGGCGTGCAAGCGGCAAGAAATGATCCCCTCGCGCATGCCCTACGTTTGACCGCAATGTTGAGGTGTGGTCATTAGTGTATGTCGCGTTACTTGGAAACGCGAGGGGCAAAAGTTCTATATCTAGTCCAGGTAACATAGAGGACCATGGTCTGAGTATGTAACCCAGGCCCAGCCATGTAGGCCTCTAAAACGTATTCGACTTGTAACTAACAGCTTACCTTCTCTTTGTCCAATTCTACCAGTTTTGGGCTCAACATGCTGTTAGGGCGGCTTCCGGATGGAGTGGACGTACTAGAACTTAAACTGTGAGGGCTGTTAGAGACATCTAAACAGGTGCCCTTTTCGTTAGACCCCTCTAATTTGGTAGGGGTTGACGTTAATACAAGTGGAGCCGGTGGAGGAGCTCTTGGAGAGATATAACTCCTGCTCTCTGTAACAGATGCATCTTTTGATGACAAATCAGTACTTCCGGAGAATTCCAGCGCTGTACTAGACAATCCACTAGATTCCAGCTTCCCCGGTCCATTTAGTTCCACTTGAGTTTCGTGGTTAATTTCCACGCTTGATTCCACCACGACAGATCCAACAGGTTTTATCACATCGCTACTATCCACACCGTTTCGCTCAAACGTCTCCTTCTGTTCAATTCGATCCCGTCGCGATTCATAGTCACCAACCGAAGGCGGAAACTCGACCAGAACTTCCCGTGGCGGGGAGGGCAAAGGCAAGCTGTCTTGTGACGTTTCTAGTGGGTCGAACAGTTCCAACGGGGGCGGAGGCGGCAGAGAATCATCTGCATCCCAGAACACGCTGTTTTCGTCTTCATTTGAAGGAGGTAGAGGTTCTACTTTGGCCGACTTTCGACTGAAGTCTAAGTCGGGAATATTTGAGTTAAAAGAAGGCTTTTCATTCTGTGAAGTAACTCCCTCTGTCGCTAAATTCACTCTGTTTTCATTTCGTGTGGCGATTTCAACTTGTTTCGATGGTTCTTCCAGAGTTTGCTGTCGTCCCTGACGCGAAGATGAGGTTTCATGGTAAGGTCTTGGTTCCCTTGGACCGCGGTTGTTTTGAGCGTTGGAAGAGCTCCAAGACGCTCTCTTAAATTCCTGCTCCGATCTGCCCTGATCTGTTTCCCATTGTTTCGGTCGATGTCGGCCACCTTGGATCGGTGATTTTTCCTGGTCTAGTGATTTAGAAGCAGACTCACGTCTGCTAGGAGACCTGGTATCGAGAAGTGATTCCATGGACGAAGATCTGGCGAAGGAAAAGGCCTGCAGTTAGATCACGTTTCGATACTGGGCGTCGAAGGAAAAAAATGAAAGGTCACCACACAGCCGGATAGTTTCTTTAAATCAACAATGGACTATCTAATTCAATTAGAAAGGCTACATATGGCGAACACAGCATGACTGCAGACGACAAATTATATATCCGTAAATAAAAACTCAAAGGTCACCCATTAACAGAGAGCTCGCGCGCGAAGCTGTAAGAGCGCAAGAGTGCGATAAGGGTGTGGGGGTGGGGGGTGTGAGAAGGGAGAGGGCAAGGAACGACTTCTACTCCCCCACCCTCCCAGCTAATTTCTCGCCAGCCTCTCACGGTTTTTTTCAATGGTATTCAACAATCAAAGAGTGATTTCAATAATATAATGAGCGGTTAATGATCCATAGTCTGCGTGGCTTGAGGGTTGTTTTTCTTTTTTTTTTTCCGGGCGCTCGTTGAAAAGGAAAGGTTAAACAGTCTAGAAGTAGGTTTAGAATAGATGTTAGCGTGCCGCACGGAACTCTAAGAGCACCTCACTCTCACGTCTGCACAGCGTGCTAACAAAAATATTTCATTTCCCTGTTTTTTTTTTTTTTTCAATTATTTTTTTTTTTCTGACTCGCAATACAGACATCTCGTAATCTAGTCTTAAAGTTACGACGAAGGGGTTTTCGTTTTAACTTTGCAATTTGCGTAGCGCAGGCTTTCGGCATAATAGGCAAAAGTTTAAAAAATTTGAAAACGTGCTAAAACATTCCTCAGCACTTCAAAAATGTAAATATGCTGTGGTTTCGATACCAATATTGGGTTTGAGAGTCATCTTCCTTTGATTACTGCCACCAAAAATTAAAAGAACACAGTCTTTGAGCTGAGCATAAAACCACAAATAACAGCTCTGTCGAATGTCTGAGATTCTTATCACACATTCCTGTAATTCACTGGGCTGTCGAACTCAATTCAATATCCGCAATGTCGAATAGAAAGCTGATTGATATGCCTTTGTTTCCGGTATTTTGGTCCATGACTCCTTTAAAAATTCACAAAACAGAATTTAAACTGATAGGGCGAAAAACGTTTAATTTTCCCCGTTGAAGGTTGTTCCAATCCTTCTAAAAAGGAAGTGACGAACCAAACATATCAAAGAATTTTTAACACCATAATCTAAACAATGTAGATATTGGGCTGAGAACTACACAAAGAATACAAGATATCGGCATTTTAGGCTGAGAGAGATCACGACATCTTCTTAACAGTTTTGAAAAGATTATGACCACTATTAAACAAACTCCCTTGAGTCAAAAAAAATTTGAAGTGGATTATCAAAATATTTTGTTTGATTATTTCTGTTGTGTTAAGCCGAAAAATGAGAGCCGCTAAGACTAAACGCTTTAAGACCGAAACAGTGTAGACCAACATACAATATTGAAATCGTTACATTATTTTAGGATTAATACCAAAACTTACTGATTTGCGATCGATTCTTTCAATGGTTGCTGAGAACGATCGAGTTTTCCTTGACTGAATGAACGGTGCTGGACGCGAGGTCGCTCTTGGGATGGAGGTCCCGCAGCTGATTTCTTGCACCCCCCTTCAAAATTGGCGATTCTTGATTTGACGCTTGGTGAAGTTTCCAAACTCTTGGCATTATCCTTCATAAGTCTTTGCAATATTTGTGTGTCTTCAATTCTATTCGTTTCCGCCGTTTCCCTCTCATTTGGAAGCGGCCATCGACTTGAATCACTGGCCATTTTCGTCGGCGGGTTCACGTCGCTAAATCGTTGCCTAGCCGGGAGAGTTTGGGCCCGATTGTCCGAATGGGTTTTTTCAACTTCCGGTGCAATCGGCACGGAACGGTACACCGTAGGTTCAGTGCCTTTCTCGTCCACAGAGGAAGAAGATGACGAACGCATGGTTTTTATGACGACTGATGTACTATATCTCATGCTGGATGTCTTGGATATTTTTCTTTCCGGTGTGGCATCACTGGAAGAAGAAGAAATGGAGGAATTCGCTTCCCTTCTATCATGGTGGGACGCGACCGCTGGCTCAGCATGCCACGACTGCCTTGACGCCTCGTTTCCGGTAGGCTTGCTATCCACGTTGTCTGTAGGCCAGGACCTGGACACGCTATGCTTCGGCTGATCGCTGGTAACATCAGACATTCGTGAGACTGCACCGAACCTCGGAGGAATCTGTACCTCATCAGGAATCTGTACCTCATCAGGGACGCGACGTCGACCGCTACTCCTGAATGAGCTCAGCAGCTTTGACACGCTGCGTCGCGGGGGAGGAGCAGGTCCCTGTCTACGTGCACCACTCACAGAGGAATCCATTGTCCCAATTGAGTCGAGGCTCGAAGTGCTCTCACTGGTAGTCATTTTGGGGCCTATCATATCCCTTGGTAAGCGTACTTCTACACTGTCGCCTGGCTGTGCGTACACCATAGAGTTCCACGACATTTCTGCTTGGCGTGCAGTCATCTCCTTTGGATGCATGTCACTAACATGCCCCAACCGCTGTTGCTTTTCTCGCATTAAGTTCGATGAACCAGAGCGGTGTGAGATTCTTTGGTTATTCGCTTGGTGACTGGGTTCGTTTCGCTTCACCGCCGTAGCTGTGACTGTGACTCCGTAAGAAGTAGGGCCCCCGAAACTTTTGCTTCGTGGAAGAGACTGGCTGCAGTTGTGGAAAATACATATATAAATTAATTAATCAATCACATCATCATCAAATCACTCTATCAGTTACTCAATCACTCGCCATTATTCAGTAAACCATACAGCTATATGTGGACGGTGGGGAATTGTGATGTGAAAGTGAAAATCAAATGTCCAGTAACACTTGTAGGGTTCATGGAAACAAATAGCGTCAAATCTCCCTTGTGAATCCCGCGAGAATTCCTGGTTTTCTTATCAAATAAATAAGTTTGATGTTATCTCCAAAGCTATTTTAATTTAAAGACCTTGAGAGCAATACCCCGAAACGCAGTCCCTCACCAGAACGCGGCTCTGATGAAAATATGATCACTTCATTATTTAGTCCAACAGTCAGCCATAGCCAATAAAGGATTTATTATGTGGAAAGCAGATAACACTAGGGAACTGTAAACCATAATTGCTGAACTAATCGTCACATTCTCTGGATAAAATTGAAGAAATTACAAATCTTTTATAGTCTTTTGTCGCCAAAACTACCAGAAAACTAGTTTGCACCTAATTTGCTTAGAAGTTACGAAGAATTTTAAGCGGCTACAAGACCTTTTTCATTTAGCAGGACCAAAACAGCCACTCCAGACAAACAAAGATGATCTACAAACCAATTAAAACATACAGATCTGTTTCATCCTGCCCACACGCAAGGCCAGCCAAGCAATAAAGCCCAATTCTATTTTATCTTAACCATGAATTTCTGTACCTCTTGTTAGCAGATGTCCTTTCATGTAGACTTATCCTTCTGTCCGGTGTGTCCCTGTAATCCAGTGTTACTGAGCCACTATTTCCCGCGCCAAATTGATGATGTAAGGAGCCTGGATGATCCATCAGCCACCGCCCAACCCAATCGTCGGGGTTCTTTCGCGTTGGGTGTTGACTTTATTACAAAACGAAATAAAAGCCTCTCATCAGTACGCATATTCTCCCTACTGTTCTCTATACTTTCCTAGGGTGCTGATAAGGAGAGTTTGTTTAACAATCATGAGCTTCTTTATTTGGTGATCCTTTCCTTTATTCTCGTGACCTTCTTGTATGATTCAGGAGTGATATTGTAAGCAGAAATTAAAGGATATAGGATAAAGTTTCCCGCCCAAGAATAAAATAACCTGGTCAGGGCAGAAAAATTGACCAGTTCATGTAAAATCTAACAAGCTAACCACAAGCTACTTCGTCACTGAAAAGACAGCCTCTTCTGGGCATTCAGTTCAAGGGTATGACCCAAGAAGCAAGGTAAGGAGAGAGGCAAAACAAATGAAATCCAGCCAGTTTTCTCTTATCAGCTCATTCATTTGCTTAAAATCTGCTTAAAAAAACAAAAACAAAACAAAACAACTAAGATTTACAGCATGATTATCTCATCTTACTTTTCAGTGTCTTTATCTGTGGGAGAATCTCTTGGTGACACTGGTGACTTTATGTTGGTGCTTTTTACTGTCACCTTCTGTATGCGACCAGGGCTGGTGTGCATGCGCTGATGATGATGCATCACAGGCCACTGACCCTCAGGAAGGCTGATACCACTAGAAAGGAAAACAACATGAACAAACTAATTACTCTTGGAGAATGTAACTACTAACAATGTTGGTTTCCTGTTTGCATTTTACAGAATACTGAGTCAGCTAGTGAGCATGGTAAGCATGTTTTGGAAGAGTAAGTGCTTATTTACATTCAATAGCTTCCAAATCTGCCCAACTCCCAACAAGTGACTTTCTTACTCAGTTGCTTTTTGTAAGTCACTAGTATCTGGCTGGAAGCAGTAAAAGGATTTCAGGCTTTTCTTTCCACATTTTCTTCAATTGCAGTTATTCAATGAAGATCATTTCATTTTTTGCTATTATCCACAGGTCAAAATGTTTTACAGCTGTATATCATTTAATGGTGATGTTAAAGATACCCTCACTGGGTGAACGTGATGATAAATGAGTTCAATGCTTGAATTCCCAGAAGTGATCAACATGTATCTTCACCCTATAACATCTACACATTATTCAGCAAACAGCTAATAAGAATACAGAGAATCATCAAGTAGAAGTTGTTTTTCTTGATCTAACACCAAATTCTTGTAACTAATTTACAAGGGAATATGTAGCAGCTAGAGGGGAGAATTGATGATCAGATCTTGGGAGTTTATGATTTTAAAGTGATTATGCATGAACACATAACTCTAAGTTCAACAATTTTCATAAAAATGAATTATACATGTATGTTAATTCGTTGTGATTTAGCAAACAAAATTATTATTTCAAACAACATTTCAAATGTTATGCTCAGTGGTCGAATAAAGAAAGTTATCATTCATTTGTCACAAGAATGACACAAAAATAAAAGAATTGGAATTCCAAGTTAGGAATGGAACCTCAGACCTTTTTGTTAAGTGGCAGAGGATCAGATGACAAAGTCCACAGTTTGAATCCTTCTAAGGTACTCAGATCTTTTTTTGTCCCAAGTTTGTGACACATGCATAACATCTGACTTAAAGATTTTACATTGTTATAAATTACCGCCTTAAGCTCCATGTTCTTCCATAAATCTCCATTCCGGGACGGTTGAATTGTGCTGCTCCAAGAAGGGCTGTGCTATTTGGGAATCTTTTGCCAGTTACACTATTCAATGAGTTGATTCGTCTGGCAGGAAATTGTTTAATTTTTTAGTTATCATGCTGTAGATATACCGGCAGTTCATCAAATTCTTTCAACCCAAAATAGAGGTAAATAACAATTCATTTTGATTATTTTGATTATTTTGAATTCATGATATGTATATTAATAGCTTTTTATCAAATTCCTAAAATTTCAGCATTAATTTTAGAATATCTTGTGACAATTTAATGAACTAATTAAAGATTAGTATTTCATTCCTATTAAACAATGATATTTGTAAGAAGTGAGTTTGGGGCTAAAATATTATTAAGCAGATACACAGTTAAATATTTATTAAGATGACAGTTATACCCTTTTCACTTAGTGCACAAAAAGCTTTTAATATATCAGAAGCTGAAATTTTTGTTGCAATGATAGCAGTCAGTTGTCTTTCTTTTTTAAACAAGATGGTTCAATTTGCCCCAATTCCCTAAATTTTCATTACACTTGGTGCAGTAAGTCCAACAACATCCTTTGTTAAAAGGAGAAGCACACTCCAGACACTGCATAATTTTAATCGCACCACTTAACACTGGATTTGCATTCTGAAACTTTTAAGGGCATTCACACCCTATAACAAAAATCAGCCGTAAATATGAAAGGATGAGTGGAAGAAAAGTTCAGGACATTTGATAGACAGAATAGATTCAACTTCCTAAGTGTCTCTACCTTTCCTTGTAAAAGAACAGAGATTTTGATATTGCATCAAGTTATAAATGGCTTTAAATTACATACCGCTTCATTTAACTGTTATCTAATTCCTCACCTCAGTCCATCCACTTCTGGACTTGTTCTTCCATTAGCTATTTCTGTTGATGACCTTGACAGTCTGTCACCAGTTTCCTCCATGGTGGGTGAATTGACGAAATTCCTTTGATTGTCCACACCGCGATAGCTTTCTAACAAGTTTTCATGTGAAGCGCTAAGGTTATCAGTTGAATCAAAAATATTGCTAGATTTCTTGTTCTGAGTTATCTCAGCAAATTTTTGTCTATCTACATTAAAGGTGGAATAAAAATCACTGGCCGTTTTGTACAGATTTGGGACCACATCACTACTCTTCTTAACACTGCCACCATTAGACTGTGCAACAGGGCTTGGTCCAGCACCCTCCCTGTGGACAGCATGAAAATATCAATTTTACAATTATGACTTGATATAATGTGTTGCTTTCGTGATAAGTATGAGACAGCAAACTGTAAGACAGAACTCTGTACATGGCCTTTGCTGATCAACAAGTTCTCTGAAGCTCTGAAACCACAAAATCCAAAGGTCACCAGTTCAGAGCCTCGTGGGAGATTAGGGTTTTTCTCCGTCTCGAGCTCTTGACAAATAAATGACATTTATCTTTTCAAAATATCCAAGTTCAAAATTTACCATCTTCCCTACTCTGCAATAAAAGCATATTTGCCAGAAATTTGGAGAATTTCTCAAACTTTGTACATCACCAAATTATTAGTTGTAAGAATGTTTGAAAGAAAAGAAGTAGTGACGAAAATAACTACCAATTGCAGGAGTTGCTTAAAATGCAACACTTTTTTAATTTCAATTTCTTTTGTTGCCTTGTTCCATTCCAGGCTGGAACCACTCAAATTGAAGAAGTGATATACTATACAATGTAACAGTGAGAGCTGTGTTTCTCAGTTTCTACTGGTCAAAGTCTCCATAAATCATAGGCCCCTCTCTAAAAGCTCAGCATATCAAATTCCAACAACTTCTATTTTAAATCACAACACTCAAAAATTTAATACACAACTCTGACATTTCTGTTGGAACACTGATGAGACACTAACCTTCTTAAAGCTATTTTAAGCTTCTGTCTTGAACACCTTACTAATTCAATGGCTTCTGCTCTGGATGTGCATTCAATTCCATTTATTGCCACAATTTCATCCCCTACTAAAATAGCCTGAGAAAGATCTGCTTTGCTGCCAGGAGTTATCTGAAAGGCATATGTCAATTTTAAGGTGAATAAGGTCATAATATCTAATAATATAACTAATAATAGTAATGGGAATTTAACAGTGAACAATCCATAAGGTGGATTTTTTCTTCTCCATTGCTTCCAGGTTGAATTGGAATTTGGGAGATTGGTTTTTGAGGAGGGATGTAAACTGGAGAGTCCCAAGAAAAACCATTGGGGCAAGAATGAAAACCAACAACAAACTCAACCCACATGTGACACAGGGTCTAGGAATCAAATGCACTGGTCACAGCCCCAAAGGTTTTACAGCCTAGTGGCCCACAACTCCATTTGTGTAGTACTATGTGGCTAGGATTGAGTCTGTAAGATGAGACACTAGTCTGCACTCAAGGCAAGTGACTAACAAGGCACTAGATCTAATCACAATCACTGTTAGCATTAAGTGACAAAGGGTATTTCTGCCCTCCCTGGATGGGATGCAAGTCCATTGCAGGTCCCCTCCTCCCCAGTAACAAACCTCTATGACAGTTAGTCAGTACTCATAAATACTGCCAGGTAAAGAGAAGTACTCAACTAAGAAAAAGGTGTCTTGCCAAAGAACATAGCAAAATGAGCTGCCTAAACCTCAAAAACCAGAATAGAGCAAGCTAACCATTAGGTTTCCATGCCTACCAGGCTATCTTAAGGAACCCCCTCTTGTTATGGTTCCCTAGGTTTATCAATGCTATATAAACAGTATACTTGCTGCACTATCTATATGTACTTAACATTCTGCAAGTAACATTACATATCAATTCTGTGTTGGTTCAAAAAGAGACAAAAAAAAAGACAAAAAAAAAAAAAAAAGGAAGAAGATCTCAATATCGTACCTTGTTAGCCATAAGTAGTATATATATTTTAAAAATGCTGTGTAATCATTAGTATTCAATCAGAAGTTCCCATATTGTGAAAAAAAAAGATATACATTTCTTAAATTATTTTCATCTACAGTTAATGTTTTGGCCTGGTACAGATGTTGATTTTTCACTGGCTTACCCTTGACAAATTGAAATTAGTTTCTATCAAGTTATGAAACCCATACATATGATTAAGAACTGAAACTAAGTTTAACTTAGGTAATTTGGTATTCTCAACTGAGTTGATAACATGAATTGGCCACCACAAAGAGTTTCAAGGTGAGTATTACCCCTTCATCAGAGCATTCTGACAAAGGGCTAACACTCAAAACTCTTTACAGGGGCCAACTCAGTTGATAATAACTAAATACCTTGTTATACTCTCCCACCAAAACAGTAATACTGTTTCTTAAGGACTTACATTCATTATAAGTTAAATTTAATTCTCCTTGGGGCAAAAACTAAAAACAAAAGAGGGAAAAAAACTTTGAAAAGGTAGGAATTTAGTTCTCTATATTTGGCTTTCATTAACTGCTCAGATAAAATTAATCCACATAAAAACATAACACAGAAGTTTAAAAAACCTGAAAACAATCTTTGCAAAGAATTTATTGAAACATAAATTTACCTAATTAAAATTTAATACTTTGCTAAGTCATACCGGAAACAATGAGCTTTACGTAAGTTTCAAAGGGAAACCCTTTCGACTCTTGAAGTAATTTTAAGTCTGATGTGGTAAAAGGAGGTTCCTCTTTTCAACAACTTTACAAGAGCAATATCCGAGCAATAGGCTTAGATGGAAATCTAATGCAATGATCAGAAGATTCAGTAACAAAACTCAAGTGCAAAATAAACATAACATAGTACAATTAAAGGCAATGTCAACAACGGCGTTAATGAATCTGCATATTTCATTAAATAACATTTTATAAAAATTGAAAAATTTTAAGGTCTACTTCTGCCATCAATAGAAATTGAGGAGAAACAAAATTACTTTCATATCATCACGCATTTTAAATTTCATTGTTAGCTGATCTGACCTACGCTTCCTTTTATATTATCGCCTGGTATGAATAACGAACTCGAAATTAAAACTTAAGAATTTTATAACTTAAATCGAAACTGTAACAAAAGAAAACGTTTCTAACATGCCCCTGGCAGTCAATTCATGCCATCGAATAATAATGTACAAAAAAAAGGTTTCTACACGGATGAAATCAGCGTTTATCGAGGAATTTATCAAAGACAATAAGTGTGCCATAACATTTGCACATTTTTATGCCATTAAAGCTACGCGTTGAGAATCAGTTGTACCCTCGAAGACATACTAAAACACATTCCTAACCTGCGTAAAGTTTAAACAACGCCTCGGATTTCTCTGGGTTACGGTTAGTTGATAAACGAAGGAAAGTCGAGGGAAACGCATTTATAAAACAAAACAAAAGCTTTCAAAAAGGTAAAAATTCGACGTGTATGTTGAGAGTTCCTCAGACATAAACAAATAATCTAGACAAAATTATATAAACTACGACGGGAGAAAACCGAGATAAACAACAACAATCAAGGGAAGGATTCCGAACATTCTTACTAATTCAATGAAATACGACTACGTGGTAAATTAATATTCGTTTTCCTGTGAGGCGAGATTTAGTTTGTGAGAACGAACAACCTGTACTTAAGAATCAGTCAACCATGTCTATACATTTCATATTTGAAACATGCCTTTATGAATCCGTGATTCGAACCCTCTGAATTTCTGCAAACATCTATCTAACAGAAGCATCAATCGTAAAATATTTTTACCCATATTTCCATTTCCCTCTTCAAACAATCTCTGGCTGCTGTGAAGGAGTTCAGTTTGAACGAAAGAGACAAATTATCTTGTCAAATTGCGAGAGCACAAATATCCCTTAATGTAACATACACTGACAAACCTTCGTTCGCTCAAGCTTATCCCCAAAACATCGACGTAAACGCGAAAAGCTGACCCCCGTCCTTCAGCGACGTTACACTGGAATGCGAAAGATTTTAGCACAACTTCGACGTAACACAATATTTAAACTCTACAGTCTGTCATGAGCGCAACATCCCACGAAAATACAATCACCAGAGGTCCCGCGATAAGTGTAAGTAAGCTCGGAGTGTCAATCACATCAACTGGTGCTGGGCATCAAGTCAGACATTCATACATTTTAGCGATGCACTTGTCGCATATCCGATCAACGCTTCTCGAAGATTCGTTTGGAACACTCGATCTTCAGGTTTCAAACGTCTACGAAGAAACACCTCCAATACAGAATACTCATTCGAGGACGTAATTAAGTGCGAAGCATGTTAAAAACGCAGGCATCGCGTCAACCTACGGAAGCTATAACAACCGGTATTCGATAGAAGTAAAACGCAAACGGTAAACGGCTTGGATTTCGCTCTAACCAGGAAGGTAACACTACACCAAGTTAAAATTGACCGGTTATCTTTCAATCAGAGCTTATTTTTGCCTATTGGTGTTCCTATATTTTGGCTATGGAAATATACCCAACAATCTACCCTTAATCGGACTACAAAAAACACTAAACACAAAGAATCAGTTGAGACCCGCGACCACCATTTCATTAACAGAGATCTAATTTCCTACTCGACTCCTATCGTTACTAAACAAACCAAACATTCTGGGAAAGGACGCACTGGTTAGATTACTGACCTTTAAGACGCAAAGCTTCGTTCTGAATTCACTGCCCCCTTGCAATGTAAAACCCCAAGGTGAACCTCCAGAGAGAACAACGTCAAAGATCTCTCCTGAACCCTTCGAATGTTGATTGAACCTGTACATTTTGCGCTAAAGAATCAAAGAAAAGCTCCTTGCGTGAGAAGCCATGGCATTCCAGGAAATACGTGGTAGAAGTAGGTACATATTTCCCTCTGCCAAATAGAGCTCCCAAACAGGGAAAAAATATGTATATGCAAATTATTCTGCATACAAATTCGACAGAGTAGCCTTTCCTATTTCCACACACCCTGCGTGGAAGTGAGGCCTGGACACCGCTGTCCCATGCTGCGTTCGAGAACGCTATAAAACAAGAAATTTGATTGGCTTAAAAAAGAGGCATTATCACTAATGCCCAATGAGAGAGTTTTTCATATATCAGGTATATTTACAATTTCGCGGGAAAAATAGATTGTTTTGATGCACAAAGCCTGTAAATCCTCTAAAGGCGCAGCAATCTCTTCAGTATTTTGCAATCTTCACGGACGAAAAAACCGACCTAAGAAGCTAACAACAAAAAACAATCGTTATAAATATCGAATAGGTAAGATTTCGGTACGATCGGTTCCACGCTCTCCTTTGCCAAAGCTAACGATGTCGAAGCGACAGTTAATTTCATCCGAAGAAGATACAGATAAGGGAAAAGTGGCCAAAATCGGTGACACAGACCACGACGAAAACACAGCACACAACAACATGGCTGTTGCAACTCCAGCAAAAACTGGCAAGCGAACGGATTACCTTAGTTGGGATGAATACTTCATGGCGGTCGCATTTCTTTCGGCTCAAAGAAGCAAAGATCCGAACTCCCAAGTAGGAGCCTGTGTGGTGAATCCTGAAAGGAAAATTGTTGGTATTGGATACAATGGGATGCCTAATGGCTGCAGTGACGATGAATTACCTTGGGCGAGACAAGCAGAGAGCAATCTAGAAACAAAATATCCTTATGGTGAGCACGCATCAAATTCGAATACATTACATGCCCACAAGGGACGGACCAAAAGAAAGCTTAACCTTTTGACTCTCAAAAATGATTGACATGTAACTTCTCCCTGTAGTATCCATACATTATCCAACAAAAGGGATATGAGAACACTCAAACTTATCATGTAGAAGTTGTAGTCGTGATTTAACTCCAAATTCTTATGACTGATTTACAAGGAAATGTGAAGCTGCTTAGAGGAGAATGAACCATTAGATTTGGGAGTTGAAGTGGGTGAGCTTAAAAAAAAAATTGTGCATCCATTGGTCTAAAAAAAAGAAAGCAAGAAAGTACAGCAATTGGGCAACAAAGAATAGCTACAATCATTTTCTAAAAGGAGGTGAAAAAAAGATAAAGACCTTGAAGTTGGAAGAATCAGTGAAAAAACAACTAACTACTGGGAGAGTGGCTGGAAAATCTCTAATCCATCTCCCCCCTCCCCCCCCCCCCACAACCACTCTTTGTCACTTGTGAATTTCTAACTGGTCTTTCCCCTATCCCCCCTATCACTCTGATGAAGGGCTAACGCTTGAAACTTCAGCTTTTAAACTCTTTACTGTAGCAAATTTACATTATCAACTCAGTTGATAATACTAAATTAACCTGGTCTGTCCCCTAGCTGTTCTTTGTCAGCAAATACAATTTCTTAATGAAATCTTAATGCTTTTAATAAGAGATTGCACCTGGCTTGGGTCTAACTCCCCTCATTAGACTTACTTATAGATATATTTCACTCTTTAAACCCTAGCTAAGAGTGACTAGCTTCTCATTTCTCCTTACAATAATACTGCAAAATCATTAATTAAGATCATGAGAATAAAGGAAATGATCACCAACCCAAGCATTGATCGTTAAACAAATTCTCCTGCTCAGTTCTGATGGAAATGTATAGAGAAGAGTTTGGAGAATATAGATACTGACATTAGGGTGCAAAAGGTTAATACCTCACATGAGTGACATTTAAATGTCTAACATCTTGTTTTGTCATCTCTTTAGTTTGCCATGCTGAACTGAATGCCATTCTGAATAAGAATGCTGCAGACATTAAGGGCTGTAGCATCTATGTTGCCCTTTTTCCCTGCAATGAGTGCACCAAGTTGATCATTCAAGCTGGAATCAAGGAAGTCATATATTATTCTGATAAGTACCATGATCAACCAAACTGCAAGGCATCGAGGAGGCTACTCAATATGGCCAAGATAACTTACAGGTAACCATGGCAAGTGACCCACAGTTTACATTCATGATGAATGTTGTTATTGTTGATTGGTGTCGCTGTCTTGATTAAAAGTTGCCTTAAAGCAAAAAGCTTGTTCTTGTTGATACTATTTCATACCTACAAACTTAACAAAAACCACATCTCAGCCCTGATAGCTCTTGCTATCATGGTTAAACTCATTAATATTTGTTATGCACCAAAAAATAGGAAGCTTCAACATCCCTCCCTGGGCAACCTCCAGGTATTTTTACTATTGTCTATGCCTGGGGGTGGGGTATTTTGACCTTGCCTAGCTGGAAAGTGTCGGGTCTTTTTAGCAGACTACATGTGTTTTATATTTTAATATAGAGGTGTTTAAACATAATACATTGTTTCACTTTTGCAAGCAATTGACTCAGAAGGAAAGGTCTTCAAGGTCTATGATTTAAAGCTTGGTCAATGAGTAGAAAGTCACAGTCACTGACTGGACCTTTTCCAAAACATTTTTACAGTTAAATCTAGCACTTGGGTAGAGCATGTAGACACAGTTTTGATCCTGAGAATTTGACTGAACCAATCTTCAAAACCTGAAGTAAATTAACTTAGTAAAAGCTAGATCTGAATGTATCAATATTATTAGATACCTTTTGAGTGAAAAACACACATCAGACAACAGTATAACTCTGGATTACTCTCATCTGGACAACCAAGTGACAAAATCAACTTTCACTCCTGGGTTCAAACCACATCCTGTTTCAGTTTTAATTCTAAATACATCAAGGGAAACACAGTGGCCTAATGGTCAGTGCACTGGACTCTGAGTCAGGGGGTTCACATTCACTTGCTGGCTGGATCATTGTGTTGTGTTCTTGGGCAAAGCAATTTACTTTTGTACTGCCTCTCTCCCCCCAGGAGTATTAGCATAGGTGTAGCTGTACCCTCCCCCCACAAGGTGAAACAGAGGCATTTCATCTTGGGGAAAAGGGTATGGCTACAGGTAGGCTACAGGTAGGCTGTAGGAGTATAAATGTGTACAGGTGAATTGTCAAGGAAGCTTATCAGAGGGGTAACCTTGTGATGGACTGGCATCCCATCAAGGGGGGGGGGGGGAAGGGGAGGCAGTTGCAATATTACCAGTTGCTCCATGCTGAGGAAACTGGAATTAGCTGGATAGGTCTCTTAGCTGTATTCTCAATCTGAATACATTAACAATTTAAAACATCTTTTTGCTCTCTTCACAGACAATTCAAACCAAGGAAATGCCAGATTGTGATTGATTTTACTAGTATTGATGGTTTTCCATCAAAGCGAAGCTTGTCTGTTGCATCACCCTAATTACAGTTGTATTTATTTCAGATTAGAAGTTTTTCAACTCTTTAATTTTTTACACTTTTTTGATTCTTGTTAACATTGAGTTGTACTCAAACATTTTCTTGAAATTTTTACTTTGTAAAGTCTTAGTGAAACATAATAGACTATGAACAGTTGTTCCTACACACATTCTACACTTACATAATCCCATGTGGAAAAACAAACAGCATGTCTTTCTCAATAGGCTTTTAGGGGGTTTCTGTGACAAACTCTCTAAATTCTCAGCTTTATAGGATTTTCCATGTTGACAAGCTAAATCATTGACACCTGAAAAAGCATTTACAATGATCAGTGAGACCCTATGGCTCTCTGTGTACTCAAGTCATTGACATGCATGTGGTGAGTGATTAAATCTATCCACACTTAACTGGAAAAAAAGGATCATCTGAACACCAAAGGTTTTTCATGCATAGCGAGAAAAGTGAATCACTGATTAAGTATCAGTATTAGCAGTATTAGCTTTTTCTATGAAGCTGATGGGCCTCGTGGTTCATGGATCCTGCTTTTCAGGTGTCAACCTTTTGCATTTTGGGTGTAAGTACAATTTTCTGTCAGTTCCAACCAACATACAGAGATAAATAGGGATTTACCTCCAAACATTGGAAGACTATTTCTAAAAAATTGAGGGTACACAGACTAATTTCAGTCAAACTTTATTATAATATTGCAGTACCCAACATAATGCACTATCTGTAATATTACAAAAGGACACAGAACTCCAGGCTCAGCACCTTTCAAAGTCACCATTTTTTGACAAAAAAATTTTTGCCACCTGAGAAAAAAATTGTGAAATAGTGCTTGACATGCTGGACTGCTAGCCACACTGCTTGTCTTTGAAAACAGAAAGTTTAATGGAATTTTCTTTGAAACATTACGTTTAACATGGATTTATCTTACTTTAACTGAGAGCTACGATTACTACAATGTAGGGAAATCAGGTCTTCAAATTGGTAACTTTTGCAGAAAATCTACCCACCAACAATTTTTATGCTCTCCATGGTGACTTAAACCATCACACAGCTTGGAGAGCTGTGACATTGCAAAGACTACAAGGAGTTGCTTCAGTGTAAACTATCAGCTAAGAATGGCCTAGCACTGAATCTAAACTGAACAGTTCTTCTCTTTACCAACACTTTCAGTTGCACCACATAACATGGTGAACTCCCACAAACTATCTCCTCGCAAGCTTATCCCCTATTTCCAAACAGCATTTAACTTCTCCTTAGGATTTTAATAAGTTGCATTGAAAACAGATGATGAAAATCAACAACTTTATCTGCTGATGGGTTGTTTTTGTTTTGGCATTACCTTCAAGTTGATCACTACCAGATTCTCATCACAACTTTACATAGAAATTTTAATCAAAGTTTAAACTTTTACAATCCAAAAGTTCTATTTTACGAAGTTAATTAATATAGACTTTCTACACTGTAATGAAGGGGCAGTCAAGAGTGTGTTACATGAAGAGCACAATAAAAAATCTAAGCACTTGATGCTTCCAAATTTACAACTTGCTTAATCCCTGTGCTTTCTTCTCTTGCCATCCGAGTCTCCTTTCCTAAAAGACAATTGGTTAAGAATAGTTACAAATACTTATATGTTTCATTGAACCACTAGCTACAATTAATACATTCGCTGTGGCATGGCTGATTCATTAAATTATAAAATCTGGATAATTTTTCTTAGATTGGACACCAGTTCAGCATTAACCCTTTGACTCCCATGGGTGACCAAGGCAGACTTTCTCCTTACAATATCAATACAATATCAAGCAGACAAGTGATGAGAATAAAGAAAAATATTAATTAGGGGATTATTAGTAGATCCAATACCAAATTCTCAAAACTAACATCATGAGAATTGTCTGGCAGACAGTAAGGAGAATTACTAATGAGATCTAGGGAGTTAAGGGGTTAACAAATAGATTCCATGTTGCCATGTGTCTGTTTGGTAACAGATTACAGGTGATGTCAAAATGCAGTAAAAACAAAAATGGCACACAAGAAGCAGCCAGCAAAGTGTTGTTCATGGTGACATCCTCTATGATCATGTCTTCCAATTGATCATAAGTAAGAACTAATCATGGAGCCACAGTTTTATTGTTGTATAATTTAAAAAAGTAAAAAAAATTCACCATGACTGCAATTAAAGTTGGGCTTCTTTTATGCTAAAGCTGCTCTACATGTTTTCTTTATTAATAATAGAACGGTAATAGGTCATGATGGTAAAATTTCCATTTCATTCAATTAATATATGTAATTTGTGAGCCACATAAAAGTATGATTTGTTTGCTGTGTTCAGACTTCACCATATTTCATTTATCAATTTTGTTAATGTAAGTTACTTTTTTTGAAAAGACATGTCTTTTTCCAAGTTTTGGGCAACTTACCCTTCCTCTCCTTTCCTTTTACTCAACATCTAATGATGAAAAATAAAAATGAGAAAGAAAATATGATACCTATTATTCTGCTACATCAAGAAAAGTATCAGCTGTCTGTAACCCATGAGTCACTAATAATTACTACTGCTCAACAAAATTTTAAAAATCCTTTTGTGATTACTGATCATAGGGGAATAAACAAATTGTTGATTAATTTCTGTTATTAATGTGCATTCAAATGAAACTGTACAGAGAGTTGAGCTGTACCTGACTGATTTTTTGCCAGTCCCTGTCTAATTTAGCCTTCTCATCTTTGGGTCCAGCACGCCGTGTTTTGCGTCCTTCTGACATCTTAATTCCAAACTGAAAGGCAGCCCTGCAAGATAAAAGTTTTGTCCGGCAAAGTTAGTCTGGCAAGGTGAAGCATGCAGCCTCTAATTTCACAGCACCTCTTAATATATACCCTCTTCTTTGTCTCCATTAGTATACCTTTCATCAGTGAACATTTTGCAGACCCAAAATAAGTACTGGATTGAAAATTATAGCCATAAAGAACAGTTTCACCTCTTATTTTTATTATGATTATAGTTTGTCACAAGTAATTGTCTACTCAACAATTGGATGGAATTAATTTATCGCTATGATCAAAAGCTCGCAAGAAATGACATCTGTTCATTCAGTGAGAGTAGATTTAGCATGGACTCTTACACATGACAGCAACTAACATTTCCACAACCTGAGCAGACGTCATCATCAAAGTCTAGTGAGGAGTTGATTACCTGTTCAGTTAGTCAGTTTTGTGTGAACTGATTCATCAGTTCACCTTGTTGTTACTCAAGTAGCATTAAACAAAAAAGACTTAAGTCAATTTTGATTGGTCAATTGAAGTAGGGGGGATTAAGTTCAGAGCATTGTTAGGTTACTATTAAAACAACCAACAGAAAGATACATCTTTGACATCAACTAAAGCACAATAAGTACAACAAAAGATTCTTACTTTGGAAGAGCTTCCCTACTTTCCATATAGCTGTGATAATCCTCTTCTGTCTCAAAGTCCCATCTTTTAATAGGACCTTTCTTGTTACCCTGAAAGATGAGATTGTCACACCAATTAAAATAAATTTGCAATCTAGAGGCTCTAGCTTAAGTCCTAAACCATTTTAAAAACAACGTATTTGTTTCTCTCTTGCTTGTTGGGATTGTTAACCTCATTTTATTTCATTTTAACTATTTGTTTCATTACATAAATTTAGTTACTTCAGAGATTGTCATGCACTTTAACATGAAATTTTTGGCCAGAACCTTTAGTTATTTCTTTTTATTTTGCTTAAGTTTATTTTTCATCATCATTTTTACCATTAGTTATCATTAAATCAATGATTTGTGTTTTTTTGCAAGTTTAGTCAGTGAATTATTTCAATGTTCACTCTGACAAGGGGCTGACACTCAAATTGTCAGCTTTCAAAACTCTCTGCAGTGTCCAAATTTACATTATCAACTCAGCTGATAAAACCAATAAGAAATTATCTTATTTCAAAGTTGTTTGAGTACTCAGAAAGTTCAATGTGCTCAGTGTATCAAACTCGTGTCAAAATAAATTGCAACACCCATCACTGGGCTAAAAGTGGACAACTGAAAGTAAACATGTGCAAGCATTGAGGGAAAAAAAGACAGACAAACAAATAAACAAATTTAACAAAAAATAATCATACAAAATAAATTTCAATCAATGTAAAATCACTTCTGTAAATTAAAAGTGCATATTAAATTATTACAAAGAGAGTTATTGTAACAAACAACAAAATACCTAACAAAGAATGCAACTGAAAAGTACTAACAAATGGTGCAAAGTGTTTTCGGCCACACAAAGTTCCAGCCAGACAATCCTGTTACCATTTAAAGGGTTCATGAAGTTTGGTTTCAATTCGTATTTGTCCACTACAAATAGTTCTCAAAACCATTTTTGTCAACTTTTAAAATTACATCTTTAATTTTACATTAGTTAAAAAAACTCTGGAATTATTAACAGATCAAAAGTATTTCAGTATTTCTCTTTTATTTTTATCTAATGTATGTATATTAACTTTAATTAGACAGTTAAGTTTAGAGTAATTTCTGATACGGTGACAGTTGTTTTAATTAGTAGTGAACCAAAAGAGCTCAAAGCTATCGCAAACTAACTGATAGAAAAAGATAAAGGTTTGAAAATGAGCAAATCCAGATGTATGATGATCATAAATCTCCCAATATAAAGCTGTTTCTAAAGGATCAGTTTAAACTTTCTGTTCCCTTGCTCTGATTTTTTTTTTTTTAAATATTCAATCATTCTGACTCCATATTTTAATCACAAAATAAAATTCAAGGTTATGCTATTTTCCAAACTGATACAATGCAAATTAAATGTTACATGAAAAAAGAAAAAAAACTCAACAAAAGAGTTTTTTTCTAGGGTAACATAAGTGTGAATTGTGATTCCAGTCCTACTTAAAATAAATATAGATGTCAGGTGCTTGCTTTTGATAAATCAAGTTGATTTGGGGACAAAACAGGCATCCATTCCAAAGGCAAACCTCTTCCCCATTTGCATCTTATGTTAAAGGAAGAAACTGGAACTAGCACTAAGCTTATCACATACCAAATCCATTTTACTGTAATCTGCCTCCTCATCACTGTCATAGGGCACATCAACGGCACTAGACAAGAAAAAGAACATTATGTACCAAATAAATAGTTGTAAACACTGGGATCATCTAAAATAAATTTTTTCTGTTGTCCATGCTTTTAGACACATTTTTTTTTTCATCTAATTTCCCATGATACTACTTGTTGACCTTGTGCATGGTCAAAAACTTGAATTATTAGAGCAGGCAGCGCCTGTGGGCAAGATGAACCAAATCCTGTGTTCTGATTGGCTAGGCAAGCGGGCCTCATCTTGTCCACTTGGGATTGCCTGTTTTGATACTGCCTGCACTAATTAAAAATTCATAAATTTTGGACAATGTTGTCATGGAGTTGCACAAAGGGGCAGAGAACAGTCAAAACAAAGAAATCATGAACAAATTTCATGATTTTATTGTGCATCAAGAACCTGGCCTGAGCTCTAATATAGACCTTTCAAACACAAGTTTCATAGCGGTAGTCAACAGAATGTAACATAAAAGTAAGAACAAGACTGGCTCAGTGAACTCCTTAAAAATAAAATGACTTACCCCGGGTAACACTCTGAGTAGCTATCTGGAATGTAATTGGCATCTTTCACTTTACGTGCATGTTTGTCTCTTTTCTTTCGTCTTTGAAGGAGTTAAGTTCAACTATCACCAAGTGTTGGAAAAATGTACTATATTGCTAAATCCGCAAGAAATAACACTTTTAAAGTAAAAAGTCCCAGCTTTCAAATGAATGTGGCTTAGCTTCGTTAACCCTTTCACTCCCAAGATCTCAGTAATTGATTCTCCTTCCTGTCTATTAAACAATTCTTATGATGTTAGTTCAGAGAATTTGGTATTGGATCAACTAATAATCCTTAAGTGAAATTTTTCTTTATTCTTATCACTTGTCTCACAATTATTTTATTTGTAACTTCCAACTTCCTCATGAATTGATTATAAAGATGTGTACACTTAACCCTGAACTCCCAAGATCTGGTTGTTGTTTCTCCCCTCTAGCTGTACATTTCCTTGTAATTTAGTTATGAGAATTTGGTGTTAGATCAAGATAACTAACACCTGATAAGGTTGAGTATTCTCATTACCTGTTTGCTCAATAATGTATGGACATTATTGGAAGAAGTTACATGTTAATCTCATCAGGAAGTTAAAGGATTGAGTTAGTACAGTACTGCATCACATCTCTTAGTAACTGTCTCGTTAATAAAGAAATTATTTGTTTGACAGGATACTTTGGATCAACTGAATCCCAAGCAGCTCTTTGTTCCATTTCCTGCCAAAACAAGACCATGACAAGTTACAAAAATGATGAAAAGTGAAAAAGTTTTTTTTTGTCCTTTTGAAAAATACAGAAGTTACAGAAAACTCTTAAACATACCCTTTTGCCAAATGTCTGTGTGACTGACTTAGCAAAATCTTCAGCAGAAACATCTACATAGAAGGAGAGAAATGACTTGCTATCAAAACAGATTTGAAAAATTCTTATCATAAAAGTTCTGATTAGCAATACAACCCCAAGAACTGATGGATTTTGTAATTCTCCCTTTAAGCTCCTATGATAATTTTATATCAAGACAACAGCCACTAGCTGACAAGTGTTACATGCTTTGAAGATCATTTCAGTCTAGAAATTAACTGCTTTGGGTTTCTGTTGGCTGAAATTCAACAAAAGGTGTAAGACATAAACAATTTCATTTATAATATATAATAATATATTAATTTTTATAACAAGATTCTAAATTTGTGAAAGAAAAACAACAACAACAAAATATTCACATGGTAAGCTCCTACCTTTTTTACTAAACTGTTGCTGTAAAAAAAAAAGAAAAAAGAATGCATGGATAAAACATAATTGTAATCAATCATATGAAGGAAGCAATAAAAATAGTGATGATTATGGTCACCATGATGATTATTAAAATTCATCACAACACTGGCACTAACAGAAAACTACATGTAATTCAAAACAGAAGAAGGGTACTTTTTCAGAGTAAAATAATGTAACATACTGTATTAAAACTTCCTCTACTCAATAGTCTCTAACTAGTTTGAGTGGCCCTCTGAGATCTCCTAGCTAGTACACTGTTCTCCAAGCTCCATTCACCCTTAATTCTCCACTTCTAACCCCCCCCTTCCTTTCCAGCAGTGACATATCCAGCTCATGTTTTATGTTTATATACCTCATCTTGCTACATCATTACTCCCTGCTGCAAAATTACTGCAAAGATCAGTTTCACATTCATACCTCATCCTCTCCTGCTGCCGACTTCTCAAAGTAGCTGCTAGAGTTCCTGGATTTCTTTCTGTCTTTTTCTTTTGCCTTTTCTTTCTTTTCATATTCTTTTGTGCTTGCAGTAGGATCATACTCACCAATTTCTCCAAAGATGCTTCAATTAAGCAATGCAACCATGTTAAATGATAATATTATCATTGACTTCATGCAGATGGCTATTAGGTACAGCAGTCAAAACTTGACTTTAAGAAATTATAATGAGATAATAATACACTCTGTCCACAACTGACTATCACTGTTGCACCAATTAAGGCCACAGGAGTCAAGAAAATGATTGTTAACAGAAGTTGCTCTTGAATTCTGCATGCTAGTTCTATAGGGAATGCACAAAGACTAGTACACAGAATGTGCACACTGCCGTTAGGGTGTAAAGGGTTAATCAATGGGCACTGATTTGTTAGAGAAAAGGGAGTGAACAACTGAGCATAAAGCCTTCACAAAAAAAAAAAGGCATGATCAAAATTTTTCCTATGATATGGAAAATTTAAATGCAGTTAAATGCAATTTAACAGAGTTAACAACAAAGAGCATCAGCATTCTCTAGTAGTCAGCGGTTTTTTGCAAATGCGCATGCATCAGAATTCCATGTGCTCTTCATTTGAGGTGTTCTTGTGTGTGCTTTGAGCATGAACTTGCAGTGTCATGAGGAGTGGTAGCTCATTGTCCAGGCAGCTTTTCCTAGCCCTTCCCTCCCTCTTTCCACCGTTTATTCACTATGACAAATGCCTGTTTCCCTTTCTTGGGTCATGGCTGGGTTGCTAGGATTTGCCAGCCATCTAAGAGCTGGCTGCCAATAGTGGAAGCTCCTGGATGTTTCAGGCACCTAACCTCCACTTAGCAACACAGTTGTTAAGCTACATTATGTAATATTCTTAAAACATCCACTCATTATCAGCTCTCACCTATCATCAGCTTCAGGAGCGCGTATCCTCTGTCCTTGTTTGTCATTCTTGTCCTTCTCCTTTGCTACACATGGAATATATTAGAAACTTGTTACTAAAAGTATCTATCTCAGATCCTTTAAAAGATTCAAAATGTATATGGACTATTCAAAGTAACTGGTATTTACAAAATTTAAATATTAAATAGAAAAAATGCAGTGTTGATACAAGTTGAAAATTAATCTGCAAAGGTTTACCATATTTTGCTTTTTTAAAGGGTCACCTCTTCAGCATGACAGCATTTTAGAGGATATCATCATTCACCAAAACTTATAATGCTACCTGAGTTTGACAGCCCTGTATGTTTTCCAAAATAATAAAAGGCATGCAAGCCTTCATATGACAGTGCAAGTGTAACCCTTAAAGTCCCAAGAGTGATTGGCATAAAATTTCCCTTACAATATCCACCTTGAATCAAACATTGAGGTCATGAGACTAATGGAAATGAGAGGTGACATAAAGAGGACAGTGGGGAGAATATGAGTACCAATGTTTAACCCTTTAACTCCCATGAGTGACTAAGAGAGAATTTCTCCTTACAATATCAATACAATATCAACCAGACAAGTGATGAGAATAGAGAAAACTATCAATTTGGGGATAGTTAGTTGATCCAATACTAAATTCTCCAAACTAACATAATAAGAATTGTATGGTCAACAGTAAAGAGAATTATAAATTTGGTCTGGGAGTTAAAGGGTTGTGTGTGGAGGGAAAGATACCTTTATCTTTCTTCTTGATCTTTTTCCCTCCTCTGGTGCCTTGGCGTAAGTACAACAAAATCTGGGTCAATTTGTTGATGACAATGTCATTGGTAGTGAGTGTAGCTTGAGTCTAGAAAAAAATAATAATGGAAGCTTAACAGTGAAGACACAAGATATTTCATCCTGGTATGGCATATGATGTGTTTCTTTAAATACATTGGATCACAATAGCCTGTATTTTAGTTTTCAGGAGATTTTTTCAAGCTTCCTTCAATCATTTCAAATGGGTGTATAACACTGTATCCAAACTCCTTAAATTCCTTTACCGTAACATCACAAAATGAGAGGACAGGATTTCAATGATATGACTTACTTCAATTCCAGGGCAATCTGCTTTACTCCTAATAAGAGTTGTGGGTATATCACTTTCAGCATATTCATCTTCAATGTCAAACACATATGCCTAAATTGAAAAAAGGAAAATTATGTTTACAGTGACATCCCATTACACCTGTCCTCTAATGAGCCATTCCCTCCCCCTTCCCCTACAGAAAAACTAAAAAAACAGGCAAAATAAGAATGTTATACTGTACTTTTTCTATTAAATTTAACAAGCTACTGTAGGTTTCACTTCAAGGCAATTAGTGTAATTAGAGGCCTGCAGTAGTTCCATTTGAAATATTGTGCAGCAGGTTTTTCCAACCACTAAACTACAAGCTGTATAGACAAAGTTGAAAAGAAAACAATGGCTGACCTTGTGGTTATCAGTGAGCTTAAACTAGGCCTCGACCTTTCCCTAATGAGTATTCCTCTCCCATGATCACCCAGCTTAGAAGCCCAAAAACAATTAATCAATAAATTAATCAGTTAGCCCCCTTCCCTCCCCCACCAATGGGCCTTTTAGTCAAGTACATTTATAGCATTTGTATGGCCAGTCAGTGTGAAGTAATAACTGAAAATAAACCTTCTCATTGCTCTACTAACTAAGCTGTCCACAAAATTGAAACAAAGTCAATGAACTACAGTGACTAAATCAGTAGTTAAGTTATCAATACCATTCGCCCTGGCTGAAATAGTTCATTTCTATCTGCTGGGCGATTTCTGAACAGGGATTTGTAGATCTTTTGACCTGTGGACCAAAACAAATTGACAGAAGTTTTGTCAACAAAAATATAGGTTACTTTCTGCGAGAGGCTGTTTGGACACTTTCAGTAAAAAAAAAAGGACTGTTGATGGTTACAATATGATTGGTGTTTCCAAATCACGTCCTGAGCACAAGTAATCCAGACTTGCGACTTAAAAAAGAACTTCTTACAACTCTGATGATGACTTCTGATAAGTTGTTTAGGTGTACATCAACATCACTGACAACACTCCTCTCACTGGACATTCAGACTAAGGATCAACATCCCCATAACATGAAGCAATAATCAATAGTTTACCCAGTTTTGTAGTAAACTCAATCTCATTTGCATCATCTTCTTCTTCCCTGTAGACAAACAAAAAGAATCAGACCCAAGTATTTCTGAACAGATTTGAGCTTTTCTACCCAAATATAAGTAAAGATAACAATTTTTTGTTCATTCTGAAATGACCAAAGCCACAAACTAGTACATATGTACATACTTGTCCCTTTGTTTGTTTTTTGGTTTTTTAACACTCAGCTCCTCATTTTCCTCATCTTCCTCTGCAATTTCACTACGAACCTAAATAAACCAAAAAACACAGTAAGAAACAATGGTCATTGCAAGAAAAAATTTTAAACCCATCTTGCAGTAAGAACTTGGGTTCCCTGTGCCAACAGCCAAATGCTACAAAGGCCAAGCAGAATAAGCAAAGGCATAGGGATTGAATAACCTCCCTAGGAATACTTCTGATCAAGTGAACAACCACAAGTATTGAAATTTGGCAGGGATTTTAGGCTACTATGTTTAACAATTGGTTCATACGTCAGCGTGCATTCATCAAGATATGAAGTGTGCAGGAAGTTTGGAGAGCACCTAAGATGCATAAGAGTTGCTCGAGGCATAGCCGAGAGCAACTCTAGCTTCTTGAGTGCTCTCTAAACTTCCCAAGTGCTTTATATCTCAATGAACGTACAGCTGACATATGAACCAATTGTTTTATAACATTTTCAACCCGATGGAAAATTTTTTTCTCGAGGGATATGTTTGCTGACATCATGAGCGTGCACAATAGGAATATGAAGCAAGCCCACACAATTGAATTTGATGAGACAAATTTACTAGCTATGTTGAAAAGAATGTTGAGGAAAATTTTCATTGTCTGAGGTTTTCTTTATTTTTTCATATGTGGAGAATATTGTATTGTTATTTTACACTTAGTCTAAGACTATTCTCCTGCTAACTCTGACAAAGCTTGTAAACAAATATCCTAAACCAGCATAACTCCAGACTAGACTATCAGTAAATCAGTACATATAACTCCTTAAAATGCTAATGCCCAGCATAAAGCAAACTTGCTCCTTATCCAGAAATATGGTAAATAAGAGCTGACATTTTGAGTATCAACCCTTCCTCAAAGCAAGGGATAAAGGGCTTTTTCTCTAGCAAAGTGCTAACACTCAAAATTTCAGCTTTACAAACTCTATACATTGGCCAACTTACATTTTCAACTCAGTTGATTAAACCAAATTATCTTGTTATATCCCCTTTCCCTTTAGAAACTTAACCCCTTTATTCTTATTGTAAAATTTAGAGTAAATAGTGGACCCTATAAACTCACCTTCTGTAACAAGGCAAAGTCAAGGCCTTTCACAAGATGAGTGTGCTCCATGTCACCACCAAGAAACTTACTCTCCTGGATAGCTTGGCGACGGCGCTCTGCTGCAGTGTTCCTGTAGTGGGATATGTGAACAGTTAAAAATCTGACTCATCAGAGAACAACAAGCATTATGTCCGATAATCCCTACTGGCAGAGCACCAGCTCTGACCTTAAATATGATCTGGTTATGTTTTGTCTTTGATTTAATATATTTCTTTTTCTTCGCTCTAAATATACAGTACAGCAATGTATGATAATAAGGTTTGCACAAACAGATTTTTTTTTCTCTGTACAAATATAAATTACAAAAAATTTACCAGGAAAAAATCAAGCTGTAATATATGTCAATAAAAATTATCAAAACCTGCTATTTTGAAACGTTATAAAACAGGACTCATGAAACAGGATTCATGAAGTAGGACACACACTATCTGAAAAACATATATCAGAATTAAAAGCTTTCCAGTCTTACGTTGCCTCTGCTGTGGGACCAACTGCTCTGTAATTGGCTGTTGCACTTAGGGTGTCTGTTGATTGGTAGTCAGGATTAAGACCATCTCGTCGTTCCCTTGCCTTAAAAAAAACAACAACAACAAAAAGCAAAGTAAGATAAAACAAAATCCAGTCTCACTACCTTTTCTTAGCTCAGTAACTTACAATAATCCAGTTTTTATCTGTATTGATACAAGACCAAAAAGCATGGTAAGTCACCATAAACCAAAGGGGAAAAATGAGGATCTACTTTAAATTTACAAATTGGCTTAGGGTGACAAGAATAGTGAGACAAACCAGGTACAGTTCAGAAATACTGGCAATAGATCAAAACTTACAGCTTTTGGCAACAGATGCTGAAGTAGAGAAGGACCCTGTTACTTGACCAATCACAATTCCCATTGAAAATTATAAGATTTATAACAGGAGATCAAGCAAAACACAATTTTTTTTACATTATGGGATTAGACAGATGCTCCTTCTAAATGAGATTCACTGTTACTCACTCTATCTCTGTATTTACTTGCAAGCTCCTGCTCTCTTTCCTCCTCCATCTTCTTGAGTTTTGCATAATATCTAGACAAGAGGAGGATGTTAAAACACAAATTGAGACAATAATGAATTTCCTCTGACAAAGGGTTAACATTCTTAATGTCAGCTTTAGAATCTCTTTGTGCTGACCAACACAATTCACATTATAACCAACTTATTATATAACACCCCCTCCTCCCCCAAAAAGAAAACTGCATAGCACCAGAATTTCTTTAGAAACTTACCCCTTTTGCAATTTTGTCCTAGTTCATTACTAGGTACAAGGAGAACACTGTATTTAATTGACTCCACTTACTTCTTCTTTTTCCTCCTTCTTGACCAAGGATCATCATCATCTCCTTCAACGTCACCATCATCATCATCATCATCATCTCTGTTTAAGAAGGTAGGTGTGAAATTTAATCTTTTATTACCAACAAACTCCAAGGATCTAAATTGGAATTATTCTTTCTGGATACCATGTATTTCCTAACATGGTTTTGAAAGATGATTTGGTTTAAAATAAAACAAGGTTTGTAACCTCACTTATATAATATTTTTGTCCTTACTTCTTTTCCTATTTTCTTATAAATGCATTGGTATTGTTTGACAAAATACAGTAGAACCCCTTTAACTTGAATTTCCAAGGGAAACAAAAAATTGTTTGAGTAAGTAGGTGTTCATGTTAACTGAGACTGAATGACTGAAAAATGCATCAACGGAAATCGGATCTTGTTTGAGTTACCAGGGGATATCAATTTAGGGATAGTAAGTTGATCTAATACTTAATTCTCTGAAGTAACATTATAAGAACTGTATAGTTGACAGTAAGGAGAATTACAAATTTGACCTGGGAGTTTAAGGGTTGTTTCTATATTATTCTAAAAAATTGAACAAATACAAAAGTTCTGGTGGGATCCTAAAGACAAATTAAGAATGCATTGTTTTTGCTGTGTAAATATCTTCGGAATATCCTAAAACCAACTACTTACAGCAGCTGTTGCTTGCAGGCTTTTAATTAATCCTATGACTAGGACTTAATTTACATGTGACATCACACTTTACTTCCTCATCACTACATGTGGCATTAAAATTTTGCTGGTCAGTTTAACTTTTCAGATTGGCATTTTCTAAGTTTTCGTTTGAACAGCTTCCCACAGGTTAACTGAAAAAAGTTGAAAACCCTCAAAATTTAAATACCACAAGTTCATTTGTTTATATATATTAACACACCAAGTATAGACCGCTCACCTACTGCTACGATGTGAATAGATACTGCTTGGTACACTTTTACTGCTGTGACTTGATGACTTTGTCGACGGTGGAGCTACAGATGGCACCCCAGAACGAGGGGTCATCAAAAGTTTACGAAAATCTTCATTCGTCAAAGCAGCTGCAGACACCCTAAATATATACAAACAAATCGTTCTTCGCATAATTCCTCGATTCACTGATTCAGATCTTCATCTGGTAGAATTAACTATTCAAGAATTTCCTAAATCTATCGAGGCAAAAAGGGTGGTGAATACCTGAGAATTATTGGGTATTTATAAAAGTTTCGTTTAGCGTCCGTGATCCAAACCATGCACTGAGCTTTTCTTGATCGAAGATTTCCATAATTTTATAGATATCAAGAGGCAAAAATTCATAAGCTACCGTTGTACTTTGTGGTGTTGCTGCTAATATGTTATAGAAAACAGCCTATGGATAAATAATGATAATAGTTAAGCCACATAGAAAAAACTTAGTTCACGCCACGTACCCTCCGCCATGATGAGATGTGTAGGAGCCCGAAGAGGACGGAGGAGCCAGGGGATTCGAAAACACTTCAACACCTGGAGAATAGAGAGAAACTGTTTTTTAGGGCTTCTTTTGGTACTCTAGCAAAATAGCTGCTGATCAAGAATCGCTTGTGGCAAAATATCAGAGTTAAAGTGTAGGCACCTTCGGATGGCATCGCTTAGACTCTGTTGTGTTCAAAGGAAGCGGAGAGACTAAGTAAGAATGAGAATAAGGCTTGGCCACTCAAGCTTATGGTGATTCGAAAATGGCGGGCAAGGCCGTGTATTGTTGTATGGGTATATGTAACTACTTTCAGGTAACTTATGCTATTCTCTGAGTTGCTTTCTCCTAGCCCACGGGTATTTATTGCTAGTCTTAGCGAGCCAGTTTATGAAAATCAAAGGAAAGATTTCTGTATTACCCTATTATTCATAATCACATAAAAAATACATTACTATTTGGGAAAAGAAAAAAAGCAAGTTGCCCGTGAAGCAGCCCCAAAGACAGCTTGGCTCTGCTCATACGCTAAGAGTGTTATCTGAGATAATTTTCTACTCTTTCAGATATTGACAACTGCAAGTCAGCGTCTATAGTGACATGGAAAACTACATTCCTAAGTTGCCACTTAGAAAATCCTTGAGGCATATCACAGAAGACAGACTGAGTCAAATTGTACAAACTTTCCATGATGCAGATGAAGAGGGCAAAGGATTTTTGTCTAGTGAGGATCTCAAAGTGGCATTTGTGTCCCTTTTTGGGTACAAGCCATCCAAAAATGAAGTAGCACAACTCATGGGCAAAACACAAACTGCAGTTTCCAGAGTCAACACTTTATCACCTGGTGATCAACCCCTAGCTACAAAACCAAAGGCCTTTGGGGGTGAAAAAACCTCTGATCACAACCATATGTCTTTGGAACATTTCACAGAGATAGCAAAAAAGAAGATTTTGGCAGAAGATAACAATGACGAAATTCGTCAGATGTTTATTGCATTTGATGTCATGTGCTATGGTTTTATCACATTAGATATTGCTAAGAGGATATTTCAGCATGTTGCACCCTTTTTAGACTCTGTTACCATAGAGAAGCTGTTTCGTGAGGCAGATATGGACCGAGATGGGAGAGTGAGTTACAGAGATTTTGAATTCATCATGAACTTTGAGCTGGACGAGTGGCTGTAAAGGAAAAATCTTACCCTTATCCATGTTTTAAAAAACGTTGATTTGCTCTGATTTTGGTATTAAAAATATGTCACATACATATAATTTAACGACTGTGAATATATGAAATCATATACATGAAGTGTGGATTAAGAAATTAATATGAAAGCTATCTTAGTAGTGATGAACACTACTTAAGCAGTAGTTAAAAAAAAGCCTGAAAAGAATTCAGGCCTGTACAGGATTTGAATCCATGACCTCTGTGATACTGGTGCAGTGCTCTACCAACTGAGCTAACTAGCATGTTATTCTCAGTGAAATATAAAAATGAAACACTGTGAAACTATTAATCATTTGGAAGGAGTTAACTAAATACAAAAATGTTCAAAGAAAGAGACATTACCTATTATATTGGTGGAGATCAAATTCAGGGAAGTTGAGTCAAAACTAACACAGTGGTTTAAGACTTAATTACGATATCATAACATGGTGAAAAACTTGCAGAACTCTCAAACAAGCCTGAAGACTATGTGAATGAGTAAAATCAGTACGAATTAACAAATTTTGTTTACACACAATTGTTTTTCTTGACTCAGTTAATTCTTTAACTCCCAGAAGAGATTAACATGTAACTTCTCCCTTTAATATCCATATATTATCCAATAAAAAGGTAATGAGAATACACAAACTTATCGGTAAAATTTTTATCTTGATCTAGCACCAAATTCTCACAATTAATTTACATAGAAATGTGTAGTGGCCAAAGGAGAGAATCTATTATTACATCTTAAGAGTTGTAGGCTAGGGTTAAGTTGAACTGCCTTTTCTCAAGTTAATCTCAAATTGTAGGACTACCACTTTAGGAGGTTATGTCAACCTCTTATCCATGTTCCAATGTGTAAACTCTTTTTCTATAGAGAAAAGGTACACAGTGAAAAAAATCAAAGCACTATTTCGTTTAGTCTTCAAATAAGGAGAAGGGGAACGTTTTTTTTTTAATGATGGTGAAAAAGGAAAAATGTAGGAATTCAGGCTTTGAGATCTATTATTTCCTCAGCTACTGCCTGTTCACGCCCATAGGCCTCCATCTTCGTCACATACGCTTCATTGGATATCACGTACTGCGTTTCGCACCGGAAGTGGTGGACGAATTCTTGAATTTCCCCAGTACTCGCGCGAGATGAGGTCAAAGAGAGAGAACTGAGGAATTGTTTTGATCGAATGTTCCGGCCGGCCTGACCCCAAGTGACCCTTGATGATTAAAGAAACGAAGGAATTTTTGAAAGAAGGATATGTAACTATTTATATCATTTCCTGAGCGACGTTAACACTGTTGTTGTCACAAGAATCGTTGCAAGTATTCCTCCTGTTCATGAAACAGAACTGTTTTCAAGGTCTAAAGTTCCAAATGATATCATTAAATGCTTTCATGACTTTTCTCACTGGTGTAATGTTTCAAAACATGATCGGAACGTGCGGCTAAACTTTGAAGTTTATCATCAAGAGGTTTCTTTATCTTTTTTAGAGTACTAGGCTAAAGTGAGTGATACTCGATAGGTTCTGCACTTTTCAGTGGGACCAATATATCTCGTGCTTTCTAATTCTAAGAAAATAGTAATCACATGAAAAATTCCAGGGAAGTTTCTTATTTCCCTTGGGGGGTAAGTGATGCAAGCTCGTGCCACGATGGAAAGTTAGATAAAAGAATGAAAAAGACAAAGAATCTTACTTTTTTTGATAAAGTTCAATGTTTACGAGGACAGAAGAAATTGCATTGTAAAACGTCTTTCATTGCTGATGACACGCGAGATAAAGCTCTTAGAGTGCATTCCGGCATGACTTGTCAGCGCGAAATTTTCTGCACGCGCGGAATTTTTTGCAGATGGCACAAGAGAGCTGTCAAAATCTAAGACAATAATAGCGCGCAATCCAATAGACCAATCAAGCTTGTCTCGTAACAATTACCACACAACAGGGGCGGAGAATTACATAGGCAAAGTATTCCAAAGATTTTAACCGCATACAATATATCGAGCGCTATTATAAGAGCAAGCTTCTTATTGGTTTATTTGCTCAAACAATGCATATATCAAACACGTCGATCTGCAGGAAAATAAATTGTCCAAATACTAGACTGACTCGAAATAATTTAGAGGGCTCGCATGCATATGGAGGCGAAATCTTACGGGTTTTTATGAATTTGGCCCTCGTTTTAGCGGGATTTGTGGTTTAATGTGTGACACGGAATTTCAACTATGGGACAATGCTAATGAAACTGACATGGCCGCGAAATTGACGAATTCAAATCATCGAGAAACCGCTGTAGTGTGACCACAGTGAGCTAAACATGGACGCTGGTAGATGAGTAGGGTTGCAAAGTGTGGCTGAAACGCCATGCCAAAGAAGAAAACATGCGAAGTACCGCTTCCACTAGGTTGGGAAGAAGCGAAAGACTTCGATGGAAGAATTTATTACATCGATCACAACACTAAACGAACTTCATGGGTCGATCCGCGAGATAGGTAAGTAATAAATACAGCGGTTAGCGAACCGTAGCAAGTATGTAGGTCGAACCTAGTTTTCGATTGTATTTTCCCGAAGCGCAAGCGGTCATTTGCTCCATATGGCTTGCAGAATCATCATTCGAACATCTTACAGTTTCTTTTTAAGGCAAATGGCCGCTTCTTCGGCGAAAAGGGTTTCTGATCTCGCGGCGTTCTGCAATACTATGTGTATGTCTGTTATCCCCCAAGTATTAATGCTATTTTTTATGGAATTCACTCATTACTGGCGATGTACACGATTTAAACGGAGTAGATTGCCCATTAAAGTGCGTTCCAATATTTTATATGTGATTTCTACTTTCTATCTTCAAGCCAAAACTATCGCGATTGCTTTGAAGCTCAAGTAAAGGTTGTCTAGCGTGCATCGTTTCCAACCATACTCGCTCCATTCTTCCGTTTGAGCTTCATCCCAAATATTTAAGCTATGTAGAAACCTTTTTATGAGTAAAATGGATAAATCGACCGTTTTATCGGTTCCATTCGTTTAGAGACCAAGAATTTTGTCTCTGGTTCGGAAAAGTTGTGAGCCTTGCGTGAACTTATCAACGCAAAGTTCGTACTAGTCTTCGACAGTAAAGTGCTGGAAGAATACCTTGGTTCGTCAAAGTGAGCTTATATTTAATACCCGAAATGGCTTAATACGATAACTATTATTCGTTACTTTCAACGTCGTTTTTCGGGTAGTTTCGCATATTTAACGTCAGGTTTCAGGATTTTTGCGTGAGAAGATAGCTCTCTTTACTGGTGTCTTCTTGTGCATTTATAACTGTTTCTAGGGAAGCGACAGCCAGTGAAATAAAATCCCTCGCGACTTTGAGTTCTCACCCTATATCACTGGATTGCTCGCTATGTCTTTTTCAAGGTATAAATGGGATTTAGCCTATGAACCAAACTCTAGGCAAGGAATATTCCTTTTTGTTTTGGATATGTTCTAACGTTTTCATTGATTCTCTAAGAGACCCCTGATGTAAGTACGCATGGGACATAAGCCGTAACAACATATATTTTTAATGAAGGCTTATCATAACACGTTACCCACGTCTAAAAATAACAAATTGTGTCTCAAATTGTTTCGTATCGGCCACGTTTTACGCGAAGTTTTGCCACCGCTTCTCGGTTTTAGTTTTCAACTTTAGAGGAGCTCGCCAGATTTTACTTTTTTTTCTGAGTTTCTGCTTGTCGTAGCAATTGCTTGAGAGGGTATGTCTGTATAATTTTCGATAATGGCGAGGCGAAATTGCATATCGGCTGCATGCCATCGAAAAGAAAACAGAGAAATTTAAGTTCACATCAGTATTGAACCTGCAAAGTGTGTCTTATTTTATAAACTCGAAAACTATACCTACTGTTTACTAGTATTGTTTTAATGACAAATGAATTCAAACTCAGAAACTATGTTTCCTTTTTTATTCAACATGACATTTCTTATAGCTCAAATTATACTCCGGTTTGACTGTGACCTTGTTTGCGTCAGTGATTAGTATTTATTTTTTCCTTCTGTTGTAATTTTTTGAAGGAAATCATACAAGATGTGCTACTGAATAATTTTTTAACACAGGAATTTGACATGCCTCTTTAATTTGGGCACCATGCCAACAGATTTGAATTATTTAATCTGTTTCTCCCATATAAGATATATCTTGGTCAAGCATTGGGCATAATGTTTTAATGCATTGGCCAACAGTGTTATGGTGAGAATTCTGCCAAATTTCAAAACACTCAGACAATGTCTGTGGCTTTTGAGGTCCATTCCATGACTTCCAATGCCTGTAAAGCTGTTGTTTTGTTAAACAAAATAAGATTAATTAAAATCATTGACATTTATTTGATGGGATTTAAAAGATAGTTTAGGAGATTGTTTTCCAAGCTCCATCAAGGAGTAAAGTGTGAAATAAACAGGAACAAACTAAGCTATATTTTTGTCACATGTTACAATTCACTCTTTCAATGATGGAGGTGAACAAGAGATGTGGTTCACTAGTTAGGTCATGGCACCAGGTGGTATAAGCAATTTATTATGCTCATAATGTATTCAAGGTATGTGGATTTTATTTTGGTTCTTATTGGATTTAAAATTCCTGTTTACTTATTTTTGAGGACATTGTTTTTCCCAATTTTGTGCGAATCCCCATATGACACAAAACGTTATATGTGGAAGAAGTGTTGAATGGACAGTTCAATACCACGAGCGCAGAATTGTATTTGATGTCATTAGTCCAATTTCATCATTATTGATTGACTTCTTAGAGATAGTAAAAAGGGTAATTAATGACTCAATGGACTTTGTAACATTGTTAGTTTGAGACTAAAAGCCTAGTGAATGTACACACGTTACACTCTAAATGCAAGCAGATATTGTAGCTGTCTCTAATGGAACAGAAGTTTATGTAAACACAATCCAAGAAGATAATTCTGTATGTAACTTTGTTTTTTCCGTGTCTCACAGCGATTGTGTGTCTGTTATTTATTCAGAATAATAATGTTCATTTGGGTTTGTTGTCAGTTATTGCCCTTTTTTCCCAAGGATGAAATATTTGGGCTATATTGGACAAAATATTCCCTGTATGTGTTTCTATAATTCTTATCTGGACAGAAGTGAAAGATGTTAAGATTTTATCAGTGAACATGTGATTAGATGGTATACCTTGATCCTCAGAGAAAGCACCCCAGGCATGCATTGTTTGATTGAAACCCATTAATTTTGCGCTAACTGAGTTAAACTTCTAGAAGGTTCTTTAGTACCGCAAATACCTTTTAAAAAAATATTTGTGATATGAAGTGTGTACTGCTATATTATCATGGTATTTTTAGATATTTCAGAGTTCTTAAATGTGTACAGAATGTTGAGAGGATTTTTGTAAGCTCATAATCTAGCAGAAGAGTGTTGTTTTTTGCAACAGGTGGAAGCACATGAAAGATGAAAAGCATGGTGTTTATAATATATTCCTAATAATTAGCACAACATGTCTGGCATTCAGTGTGGTCTTAATTGCCCAAAGTCAGCTTCATTTCTCAAATAGGCATTTACCCCAAACCTCAGAAAGATAAATTTTTTTTTCCTTTTACTCACAACCAGCAGGAGTACTAGTCAAATGAGCAAGAAATTATTGAATACTTCTGATCACGGATTTGGATGCAGCATAATCTGATTGCTTAGTTTTGTTCTTTGCCCTTAGAAATCAATTGCTTATTATGCATTGAAAGGAAAATGACATATGTAAAATTCTTTGTTAGTTGTATCTTCCAGATGCACTCTTTTAGTGTTGGGCTTTTGATATTTATACAAGATTACTATTTTTTTACTAATTAATTTTAACTCACTATTTTTTTTTTACTAATTTAATTTTTCAATTAAAGCATTGTTCCATTTGCAAGTCTCTGCAGCTGTAAGATCATTGATCATTAACAGCAATATTTTTTTCTATACATAAAACTTCATATGTTTTTGATGCTGTCAGCTGGTCAGTGGCTTTTGATCTTTTTAAACTCATGAGTAATTTGGAGACACCAAAATTCTAGCTCCAAGAACGATATTTACAATTACATAATGAGAGTTAACAACAAAGAGGATCAGCAGTTTTTTCACATATGCGCATGCGTCTGAATTCCATGTGCTCTTCATTTGAGGCGTTTGTGGCTGTGCTTTGAGCATGAACTTGCAGAGTTGTGAGGAGTGGCAGCTCATTGTCCAGACAGTTCCCCCCTTCCCTCCCTCTTTCTGCTGTTTACTCAGTGTGATGGGTAACCTGTTTCCCTTTCAGTTGTTAAATGATTATTTAGCCATTGGGAATTAACTGGGAGGGAAGAACCCCAGCACTCTTGTAACTGTCTCAATCCTCATTTCTTTGTTTCAGGTTAACAAAGCCATTGACTTTTGCTGATTGTGTAGGAAATGGTAAGCTTTTGAACTTTTTTTTATGCACTCCCATTCCCCTGGATCAACAAAATCCTGGTCCCAGAGGCCAAATTTCAAACTAGTTGTTCAGAGTTTCCCAGATGTCATAAATATTGCATAGTTGTGATTACTCAGGTTTTGTTTTTAAGTAGACTTTGACCTTCTGGAACACACCGTTTTGTAGCTTCTCTCATATGCATAAATATTACTTCATAAAAACTGATTCATGATTCTAGCATACATGTATGTAGCATGGTGCCACCAAAAAAGGTAGTTATTATGCTAATTGGTCTTCTTCATATTGCAGAACTACCATTTGGCTGGGAAGAACTTGATGATAAAGTTCTTGGAAGTTACTTTATTGATCACAATACAGGTAAGAGTTTCATTAACATATTCTTTTTTTTATTAATAATGATGCCTAACAGAGTTTTTAATGATCATATTATGTCAGGATACACACAAGTTATTCAGGAACTGATTAATTCAATGGGGACTTTGTATTTTGGCAAGGGGAAAGGTTTTGGGATCATTCTGAAGACCAAAGGGGACATTCACTGGAAACTTAAATTTAGCCTCTTAAGATTTCAAATTCAGGTGTTGCTTGAGCTTTTTTCAATCCCCTCTTCACTTGCAACCACAGAGAAAGTTGACTCCAAGAAGCTTGGGTATTTTTGCTGGAACACCTTATGCAAGACTAAAATCTCTGATAAACATGGTCCTAAAAAGAGGGGTCTCCTTTTTATGTGTATTCTCTTGAGAAGGATCATATCCATAATTCATGATATTTAAGTAAAAGTATTGGCGTTAACAATTTCATATGCTTTTAGTACTATTACAAAAGAGTTTGACATCATGTTCCACTGGAAAATAAAAAGTGCCAAATATGACTCTGTTAAAAAGAATCGCAAAATGCTATACTTAGTAAGATGATTCCCTCTCCACAACATCTTATGTGAGAGTCTCCCCTGCTGAGTGCTGTGCTGCATATAGAAATTAGCATGGAAAGGCACCATGCTTCCTATTAAGGTGATCATATGATCAACTGTTCTAGAATTTTGGTTTTTATTTTTCATTTTTATGGATACAAATTTGTGTAAAGTTCTGATTTGTATTTTTGTTCCTACTTACTTGAAGGGCAAATAACTCTATCCAAAGAATAAATCGCTATCCAGTGGATAAGTGTTAGCAAAACATACTGCACTATCCAACAGATAGAGATTTATCCATTGGATCGCATTATCCCCCCTTCGAACATTCAAGGCCAGATCTAACATATACCAGTACATGTATACATAAATATGCCATACCAATAATTTCCAGTTTGGCAGATATTTTGTCTCCTTTTATCATGTAACCTGATCATTTTGTTTTTTGTCATCAATTGCCAGCATCTGCATCTCAATCATTCTTTAGCAAATTTGTTCTGGTTGAGTACTTGGTTTATCAATTCTTTGGATCTCATGTCTCCTCCACCTTCAGCTTTTAACATTTTTTATTATAAAAAAAATGGTTGTGACATTGAATATGAGTTCCTTTCAATACCTTGAACTTATCATGCTTTTGATATAGCCTAGATGTCTCTTACAAAGGATAACCTTTTTACTAATTAATTCTTGTTGCTTAATATTCTTGTTGAGTTTGTGTCAAACTTTGATGAAAAACTCAACAAAGTGGAGAAGAGTGGAGTGTTTTAACAAACAAACAAAGCATGCCATTTGATTAACAAGCTCTTTTAATGAAGTGCTCAATATATTTCTCAAGTTTTATTCATACCACAGGAATAGCCTCAGGCAAAATGAAATGGTGATCATAATTTGCCTGAGGCAATTTTTTAGTAACATAACGTTTTTACATCCTATAGTGTTATGTAATCTTTTAAGGTCCTGCCCTCACAGATTCAAGAGTGTTTACAAACTGGGCTGATTGCAGGAGGCATTCAGGACACACAAGAATGTTTTGAATCAATTTCATTCAAGTTGTTTACAAAGTGTGTGTCCATGATGTTCAATTTTTTTTTTATTCTTTGTTTGCTTGAGTAGGATCGCAACAGCATGAAGATCCAAGAGTACAGTGGCGGAAGAGGAGAGAAACCATGCTCTGTGATTATTTAGTAATGGTACAATCAGACTTGACGGTAAGGAAAAAAATCTGTTTTTCAAGGGTAAAAAATTACTGGTATGAAAGCTATTTACTTGTTTGTTCACAAAACTGAACATGACCCAACACATGAGCACACAAAGTAATTACATGTAATAAAAAGGATTAACTAAATAGAGAATTTGTTTTTCTTAGTTTCATTAACACAAAACGTTTTGAGTTTTTTCTACCCTTAAGTCAAGTAATGATTTGCTTGAGTGTCGTTTGAGTGATTATCACTTATCATTACCATTTTATGATGAGAATTCTCAAACCCTTAGTAAGAACAGGCTCCCATTGTTAAATGATAAGATGCTTCGTTTTTTCCTTATGAAAAGGGATAATTGATGAAAAATAGACAAATTTATTTGTTTCAAGGCTAGGGTGAAGGACTTATTTAAATTTCACATAAAGGCTGTTTTGCTTTTTAGAGAAAGCAAGAATTCTTGGTATGTGTAAAGAGAAGAAAACGCCTTTTGACATTAACAAACATTTTGTGAATTCCAATTTGTAGGCAAAGCAGCACATGAAAGACGTCAAGCAAAAAAGACTAGATTTGGCTTGCGAAGAGGTACAAAAAGATTCTTTGTTTGAGAGAGAATGCGTATCATGTATAAAACATTAAATATTGTGATAAATCTAAAGTTTCTGGAATAAATTAAAAAATTTTTTTTCACTCCATAATATTTCTTATTCGTTTTTTATTGCTTTAGTGCTACTTGTTTCCAGATGATGTAAGAGTTTTTAAAGTTTGTTTCGTTTTTTTTTTAATGACACTTAACAGCAGCACAGTTATGGGAGAGCAATTTTATCGCACAATTTACAACACAGACAGCTTGAATTGTAAAGTTGTTGCGAAAAATAGGCAAAAGTTCCGTTTAGATATGTGAATTTTTTCTGAAGCAATTTCCTGAGTGCTCTCGAGTATTTTTTCTGAGTATGCCTTTGTCATTCATCGAATAAAATCATCTTTCATTTTTCAACAGGTTCAATTTTGGACGTCAGAGCTTGAAAAGATGCAGAGACGAAATGATAAAGAAGGACAAACCAGCCAACATGTCAAGCAAGGAAGCTTTAGTTCTTCGTCATCAAATTCAACCGTCAGCTCGATAGCAAGCAAATACGACGTGAATCAGCTGAAGAAAGAGATTTCCCAAGCCAGATCGAGGGTATGTTTTTTTCTGTACAGGGACTTTTATTATCAACTTGAGAAGAAGTTGTTTTGAGACGTAAGAGACTCAGAAATGGTACTTACGCAGAGATGACAAACAACGAAAAGGAGCAAAATCGTAAACAACGCGATAAGTAGGCTGCCGTCTTTTCCGGTCTTCGCTGCACGGAGGACCACGGGTTCATTTCCTGAACAGCGGTTGGTAATCAAGCTTACCCAATAAGTCCATTGTGTTAAATACCATTCCTGTCCGATAACTTCCGTCCCCATCTCCCTTCTAGAGCTCAAAGTTTCTTATGAGTACTCTTCCACCTTTAAAACAAAACTCCAAGTTTTAAACACTGGGCATAGTAGTTATTGTCGTACATATAACTGGTTAGGCTGTAGTATTCCGTTTTACATGCAAATATCGTTAATAATTCTTTCACACAAAGCCCTTTTACTCCTATGGGTGACCAGGAGAGAATTTCTCCTCACAATATTAATACAATATCAAGCAGACAAATGACTGGAAGTGACTGAATATTATTAAGGGGGTTATAAGCTGATCTAGAACTAAATTATCCGAACTGACTTCATAAGAACTGTATGGCAGACAGGTAGGAGAATTACTCACGAGATCTTTGAAGTGAAAGGGTTAATTGTAAGACTTATGTAAACCCAGGTTGAAGTCCTCAAAGCCGAGATGGAGGCAGTTTCTGGAGAAGTCCAGGCGCGGGAAGAGGGATACGAAACGTTAAAGAAAATTGACAGGAAGTTGTCTTCCCGTCAAGGCTGCAAGAAAGAGGACGTTCAGGGTTTAGTGGAGGAGATAACAAGTGCAGAACGAATATTGTTTTCCAAGGAACAAGAGAAAAGTGAGCTAATTGAGGCATTATTGAGACTCAAGGATAAACTTTCACAGTCTGAATCTGCGAACACGGTAAGATCATACAGCCATCTTGGGATACATTAAGCTTAATGAAACCGTGGTAAGGTTATTAAATGCCTTTACTTCGTGAGAATTGAGCCAAGGGAGAGTGAAATCAATTATTTCATGTATTAATCAGCAACTTTGTGCGTAACTAAGTTTGTTGCAAGCTTTGCTCTATGACAAGGGCTTATTTTGATAGAGTTTTGAAGTGTAAGACCAGAAACAAAGAAATCAAAACGAACATTTTGGTCAATCAGAGAAGGGGAAGGTATCATGAAAAGCAGTTGGGAACCTCACGAAAAGATTTGGAAAATGCTTACCTCTTTGATCCTTGAGAGTGACAAACGTCGAATTTTTTCCTACAATATCACTGAATCACTCATCTAGGTCACAAGTGTTATGGAAATGATCCCCGGCTCCAACAAAAGACGATCTTGATTGTTAAAAAATTCTCCTTGTCAGTAGTAGAGGAAATGTAAAGGGAAAAGTTTGGAGAATGTGAATACCAATCAGTGTTAGAGTGTAAAAGGTTAAGACGCGGTGATCAGGTTGCGTGTGGGTGATAGGTTGAAAATAGTGAAATAGCCGTTCTAATTTTGGAAACCCTTCGTCTGTGTAGGGCAAAGATGATTCAGCTGAAGTGGAAATGAGAGTTGGATCCCATTTGGACCTTGGCTCAGATGCGGCCATTGGACATCTCCCTGTGCGAGATAAACAAGAATTGAAGGCAGAATATAAAGAGGCATTGAAAAATGAATCAAAATTGCAAAGTGAAATCACTTGTCTGGACGAACGAATTACACAAGTAATGACGGACGATAATAATTCGAGGCCAATGCTTCTGCAAGAAAAGGAAACTCTCCTTGACGAAATTCGTCGCCTAAACTCTCTTGTCAAAAGCGAAGGAGAAAAAGTAAGTTGACCATGAAGGCTTCATAGAATATTGTACACGTATCTTTTACACAGAAGTGTTTTGACAGAAATGTGCGAAGGCAGTCAAGCACTCCTACTTGCAATCCCATTGAGGTTTAGACCGTTTTCCTTACGATAAGTTTTTCAGGTTTTGTGAGCACTTTTCTTTGAGTTCATATTTGAGAGTGCTCACATTGATGTGCTGCTTTTTATTTCAGAAAAAGCTGGAGGACGAGAAAGACAGACTGGCTGCTGACCTCAGCCACGCAAGAGAAGTCTCTAATCGAGCCACAGCTGATAGAATTCAACTTCAAGCAGAGAAATCTCTGTTAGTTCGACGGCTTGATGAGCAATCCAAGATAACGAACCTTCTGAACATGCGGCTTAAAAAGTGAGATTTGTGTTAGGTTTCTACTGTAGATAAATCACATTAAGTTTATGATTTCCACCTAGATCTAACACAGGTATGTTGAATATTGCGGTTTGTTTTGCAGTATCTCTGGAAGCACCCCATCTGTTTCTTCGTGTTCAAGCCGTGGCTCCCTCTCCTTGTCCGGAAGCAGAGGATCCTTATCTGCTTCCAGCCGAGGCTCCTTGAACTCGCTCAACTATCCCGATCTGAGTCATAGCGGTGACATGCCCAACCTCCGAGAGCTCCACCAACGTGTGACGGATTTACTTCAAGGAATTTCTACTTACCCGGCATGTCAACCGATCTACGAAGTACGGACAACAGGTGCAGCCACAAGTTACACGCCGACATCCGGGAGAGCAAATCACCCCAGCGCCAGCAACTCGTCGCAGGTCTCGCTATCGTCTCGTGACTCGATTTCGTCTACGCAATCGCCGCCGATTTCTCCGAGTACGAGCGATCTTTCTCCGACGAATTCGCCGGCCACCGTTCGTGTCATAGCCACGGAGGGAGAGAGTACATGTCTGGATGGAACAGAGCTCGACAGGAGCTGTTTACCCCAGGTTTGTTTTATTCGTTCATTTTTCAAGCGGAGTCATCTGGTAGTAGTCAGTTCATAAGTCCGCGGAGAAAACGCCCAACTTCATTCCAAGTGAATGTGTAAGTTGCAAAAATATCCTAACCTTTCCTTACTTTGCTAGCCCCTTTGACATAGGTGAAGCCACACTTTGACGCATGCAATTTTGCCCACTAAATAAACTTGGGAATGAAAACTTTTTTCTTAAATTCATCAGCAAAGAAAACTTGTGTACGACCATTTATAAGAAAAACTTGCCAAAGTAAATTTTCGCTCCCTTTTGGTGCTTACCTCGGCAGATTAAATTCAGTCAAATTTTGTTACAAACACGTTTTCCTTTGGCAAGAGTTCGGAACCTCGTATATCAGGTTATAGCCAAAGAGAATCGTAAATGCTTACTGGTTATGAATTTTTTTTTCGGTCAACGTGACAATGGAAATAAACCCTTTTTAAGTCAAAACTTGACAAGGAAAACTTTGTAGCGCACTAGTGCCCTAAGTATTTATCACTGACTTTCTTATCTTCTGTCATTTCAGGCCGACGGAATCCCAGTTCAGCAGCGACTTCGTCTGTTGACCGCAGACTCTAAGTCTAACGAATCGATTAACAATTTTCCTTTTACGCCTATGTCTCCAATCACGGAAGGCATTCCGTCGCTTCCGCTGAGACGATGCGAGGTCCATCTTCCACCAACTGGGACAAGGCCCGTAACTGCAGCGCCTTCGGACGAATCCGTGGCGGCTGATAGCGGAGTCTTTGACGCATCCCAAGAAAACCTGAAAGCTACCCAGAGAGGAGACTTCGACGAAGACAGTGTGGACACGGCGCAAATGAAACTAGGACTCTCATACGATGTTGATCGCGAAGCTCTGATCGTGTGTATCGATCAAGCAAAGGGTTTGAAGGCTCTTGGCAACACCACACAGAATAAAGAAGTGTTCGCAAAAGCCGTCTTGTTGCCGAGTTCGCCTAGTGAAAGCTGCGTTTTGGAAACGAAGCGTTGTGATTACCAAGACAATCCTGTGTTTGAGGAACAGTTTCATATTCCGGTTCCCGAGGTAAGAAGACAGATCTGACCGACTGATCACTGATTGATTAACTGGCTGCCTGATGATTTGAATGACCGCTTCTTGAGTGACTGACCCCTGACTGACTGACTGACTACTGACTGACTAACTGACTGTTTCACTCACTGACTTTCTGACTGACTTTCTGAATTTCTGATTGACTTTCTGACTTGCGGATTGACAGACTGTAGAAATCCCTGACTTATCGCTTGCCTGGCAGAATGACTCACTGACTTGCTGACTCCGTAATTGATTAATTGAATAGCGAGTAACAAATTTCTCTCCCTGCTCTCTCTGTATTTCCTGGGTTTTTTTTTATGTTATAGAGGTGTTCTCATTTCCTGCCCTAGCCTGTTGTATCCTGCATTTGTGATGGTAGAGTTGTGCTCTAGAAGGAAATTAATTCAACATATCACTATTTTTTTTCCTTGAGCAGAGCAAACTGACAAGCAAGACTCTCCAGGTGAACCTCCTCGTTAGATCCAGCTTTCAAACGGAAGAGCTTCTGGTGAGTTTAACTTTCTTGATCAAAAAATGCAAAAAAATTCAGTATTTGTGCATAAAAATATGTCAACGCTGTAAACTTTAACTTCCAGGATCTGATTTAGTTAGTAATTCTTCTTCCTTGCTGCTGGTCAGTTCCTTGTTAATTAGTTTTGAGAAATTGGTGTGACTCTGATACCATGGGAACATTCTCTCGCTGAAAGGTTTTTCTGACAATTTCTTCCTATTGAATTTCAGGGTGGGACACAGATCAGCCTTGCGGATTTCAATAGCCAGACTCCTGTCAAATTTCGATGGTATAACTTATTGAGTTTTGCGGTAAGTTGACACATAAGTCACATTCATGAGTCATGAGTTTGACTAATTAGTTGGTTTTATCGCCTCAGATGATAAAACCAATTTCTCTACTTTTAAAGAGGATGAATACGACAAAATAGCATCCAACACTAGCCACGCTCGTAGTCATAAGGGTAATACTTTAATTCTTTGTCAACAGTTCTTCCAGTCGGCAGCTGCGAAGTATCAACATGGCAAGATAAATACCATGACGCCTGCGATTGGTTCGCTCTCGATGGACTGCGTTTGTGAGCCAAAGAGAGGCAACTTACGACCCAACTCATGGGTGAGTATAGACGAATAAATCTGAATGAAGAATTTAGATATATGAAAATTCACATATTTGAGAGAGCGCTGCACCGGTATCGCAGAGGTCATGGGTTCAAATCCCGTACGGGCCTGAATTTTTTTCAGGTCCTATTTACAACTACTAGTTTCAGTAGTGTTCTTAGCTGCGAGGATCTTCTAATTTCAAATCTGAATGATTTTGTGTGCATAGACGAAGTCCAGACAAAAACTGAAAAAGTTGGTTAATCTGATTAATTAATCCATTAATTAACCTGAGTGAATTGTGGCTTTGTGGAGAATATTTTTTTGAAAATATTTCCGTGCAGAAGCAAGTCGTTAATATACTACTTTCCATGCGGAATTTAGAGATGAAACACTTTTTCAGAGATAGCCAGATCTCTTTTGATCATTTTTACGGCTTGATGTCAAGGCCTTAGTCGTAAAACCATCTGTAGAGCTAATCAGGCAAAAACTGTAGAAAATAATTTGTACATCCAATAATGGTGACACGTTTCTTCAAGTCAGACATGTATTGCTAATGCATCTTCCTTTCTTTCTATTTTTCAGTGCGAAGGCTCAACATTAAGCCTGGAATCAGCGGTTGGATTCGAGCGTATCCCTTGTAGATCAGTGAGTCAAGAAGTACTTAACGAGGGTGTGGAAAGTCTACCCGTTCGAAAGCGCACCGCTGGAAGGCCGGTAGAAAGAGCGCAGTCTCAAGGTGATAGTGTCATCAGTGGAGGCTCTCTACAGGACAGAGACAGTGACTTCGATAGATCACCTGTAGCTCGGCCCAGACCCAACATGCTGAAGTCGAAGTATTCGAGAAAGTTTTCTGATCCTCAACCGCTGTCGTTCCAAGGCCACGTAAGTTCAAATATTGTGGTTATTGTTGAAATCAAACATGTGACACAAGACGAGTCTGGAGCTGCACTGTGGTTAAACTAAACCTGGGCCTTTACAGCGGCTAGTTGAAACTGCGAACTGCTGAGCTTACTTGGCGTGGGCTATTCGTCTATAAAACGCACGAAAACAAAGAATGCCAACATGCCAGCGCAGGCAAGTCGTGTCACCCATTTACCAGAGCTGAAGGCTGCGTAAAAAAAGAACGCCATTTAAGACGGGAAAGCTTGCGTGATGGTCAAAGAAAACAGCTCATAGTTGTTGTACAGTGCATTTGAATAGGAGGCGATTGCGATTGTCTTTGCATCTAACTGGTCTTTGGTTCCTTCTTCTAATACTCAATTTAAAACCGACATTATATTACTTTTTTTTAGGGAGAATTCGATGAGCTTCACATGATGCCTTTGAGTCGGCTGGTTGGTGACATAACTCTTAATCGCAGTAACTCGGACTGTACCACGCGGAAAACGGAGGCCAGCCCATTTGTGAGAATGTCTGTGGAAAGGACCAGCATGAGAAGGAAAAAGGTGATTATAAGTTAATATCAACGAAAGCTAACGAAAGGATGTAATAAGTGGTGATTAAGGTGGTGAAAGGCGCAAGGCGTGGTGCATCTACCAGTATTGGTGCTGAACTTGATAGGCTCTGCAACAGGCTTGTGGCTATAGCAGACTTACACTTTGCTTAACTAAGCCCTCAAGGGGGTTGCCATTTGCCGTGAGTTATAACTTAGAATTTGTTTTCCACCAGCAGCGCCCAATGTCATGGCAAGGAATACAACAGTATCAACAGTTAAATCATCTTGATGCTCGGGCGGCTGTGGACCTTGAATTCCAGCTAGAAGCCTCTAAAGCCAAACAGGTAGGTGTATTTCAAATGCGTTTTTAAAACTTTCTGATTACATGCATGACAAGCACTTTTTACTCGTAGATATGCGAAGCATAGGAACGAGTTATCTAGGGAGTCGATTTGCAAATTTCGCAGCGGTTGCACGACCTTAGGAGTGTGAGGAGATTATTGTGTCTCACATCGGAGAGACTAACGTGGCTTAATAACGTGTGTTTAGCTGCAGGTAAACGATGATATTCGAAGGTTGTCGCAGCTGAAGAAACGAATCGAGGAGGCAATTGACGGAGGATGCACCGAAATTCCAAAATCAATGGAGGAGAGCGAAGAATTTCAGGCTCTCCTCAGAGATGTAGAGGTGAGTCGATAGAATCACCTAGTTTTTACACAGACTGACTCACATTTATTCCTTTGAAAACGTTTACCTTGGAAAAACCGTAAACAAAAGCACAAAAAACGAGTTCTATTACACAGCGTGACTCCACAGAATTTCGATCCACCGTCTTCACTTTGTAAACCACGATGTATTTTGAATAGACTTAAACAAATTCTTAAGAGCGCGCCGCGCCACTTGGAAGTTCTCATCGTTTGGTGTCACCGAAATCATTAGGTAACTTTTCAATTTCACACTCGGACGATAGTCGCGTCAAGCAGGATCTGAAACACCAAAACACTCGTTTTGACCTTGTCTCCGTTGTTTGCAGGCCTTCAGAAGTCTCACCATGCCTGGACATCGAGGTAGAAGTCCTTACTCGAGAAGAAGCCACAAGGCCTTTAGGTAAGAGGGTTTCTTGGTTCGAAGCGACGTTTTAGCCAATCAGAATCAAGCTCAAATCTCTGGGGTTTCTGAGCCAACTCGTTTTCAAAACTGCACAAAGAACTTTAAGGTCTTTGAAAATTTGTCTCAAGACTATTGTTCAACAAGAAAGAATATCTTAAAATTTTCATGTCCAGAGGCAAAACATAGTTTAGTTTGTAGTGGCCTTGAGATCTGGGGTATGGGACCTTGAAATCCTCAGAAATGTCACTCTGTCAAGCTCTGATGTTTACCTTTACCACTGGGTTCAAACTGTGATTGTTACTCATTAGTTTGTTGTTGTTGATTTTTTTTTGTAGAGACAGATTCAGCCCTTTGCATAATAAGCAAGCTAAGTCGCCCGGGAATTCAAACGCTAATGACACTCATTGGGTGTAAAGCGCTCATTGCAATGAGGAAAGAAGAAACATTCAAGCTTCAGAAATATTGAATTTATCTTCACTGGAGTTATTTGAATGAAATTGACGTGCAGCAAACGACAGGAGAACCAAATGAAAGTGGTACCTTCCAAAGAATTCGACAAAAGTATGCAAAGGCGAACAAAAACAAGACTAAAACAGCTCTGGAACACATCCTGGCACACATCGACGACCATTTCAGCTGGTGATTAGTTGCAAATCTTCTAGGTAGTTCTTTTTGTTAGTATTAAAACTAACGATTTTTGTATAAACTGACCAAGAACTTTCAAAAAGTAGCTTAAATTATACCTGTTGCTGTGAAAGAGGAAAACTCTCTAATAGAAGAAACCTTAATCTTTTAGCCCCTAAGAGTGACCAGCATCTAATTTCTCCTTACCATATCATCCCTGAATCAAACATGAAAGTTATGAGAACAGAGGAGATGATCACCAACAAAAGCAGCTCTTGACTGTTACACAAATTCTCCTTGTCAGCCTCTTTGGAAATATATGAAGAACAGTAAGGAGAATATGCCTACTGATGTCAGGGGGTAAAGGGTTAGGCTAAAGTTCGTATTTTTATAACTTTGCTACCTCCAGTTGCAACGCGCGTTTTCTAACAATTTGTAATATAATATTCAAACGTCTTTTTTTAACTTGACCGCAGAGTTAGCTTTGTACTATATGTTTGTAATATTGCGTCAGCCGAAAGCCTTTTTCTGGTTAAGCTCTGGCCTCGTTGTCAAAACGAGTCTTGCTACCTATGTCTATTAGCTCTTTTTCGAATGAACGACCCTGCTGTGGCCTCGCCCTGATGATGAGGCTGAGAATAACTCCGTCAAGGGCTAAACCCTTTCGATTCCATTGGCCTAAATACTTAATTTTCGGGGGAAAAAAAGGGGGAATATTTTCGAATGTCAAACTGGTAGGATCTTTTACCTTTTTCTTGGTAAGAGCTGTGCTGAGGCGGTGAAGGTTCCATGTCGCTGATGCAGAATGTCGTGGTTAAAAAGTTTTAAGTCAAAATCACTGACAATATATCTTTTCACAGAGAAGCTCTCAATATTATGCAACCCAAAACTAAGACATATTAACAAAATAACTAAAGGAAACTAAAAAATAATTAATGTGACGCCATAAAATCATATACAGATAGACCCCGACCCGGTAATTTCGTGAAAAAAATAATTGTATACCAAAATTTGTTCATACATGGGCTGTATATACTTATTTATTACCTTCATACACTTATATATTCCATTTTTGAAGAATAATATTTTAATATATAAGGCATTATATTCTGTGGAGTACCCTCATAGTTAAATGACCAGCTTAGGTCGTGTTGTTTGGTATATAAAATCGTTCGTTTCTCTAGAAAACGACATAGGTTAATAAAGGAGAAAGCATTATTTTACGTACGATCGTTTACCGTTTTGTTATTCTAACACCATTCTTTCGATCACCTGGAGTGAAGGCTGTAATTGAGTTAAATGGCCCACCCAGCTGGAGCTTATCGCAATTTCTTTGCGTGAAGCGACGAGGAGTAACACTTCCTCCCCCCCCCCCTCCCCCCCTCTTTTTTAGGACATAATACTGAGCGTAAGACGACAGAATTGTGTACCCCACGAAAAATCGTGACCCAGATTTTGGGATTCCGCGCTCCAATGCTCTATCATTGAACTTAAAGAACTCTGTCATTAGGCTATAGCTAGTTTCGTATGTGATATGTGCTGCTTTCTGCGGTATTTAGAGGGATATACAGTGGGCACATCAACAAAACATGCCACGGTTATCGTGGAGACTAACTTTGAAATCTTGGAACCTTGGAACCTTGGAACCTTGGAACCTTGGAACCTTGGAACCAACAGCCATAATTAGAATAGCAGTAAGTTCTCAAAGCATTTACTTAGAAAAGTGGCCTGGACCACCAGCAAGGGGAGTGCTGACTCAGAAGGTTTTTTCGCAACAGAGTGTTCAGTAAAGGATATATTAGTGTGACTGTTTATCATTTTGAGTCCGATCGTCCGCATGGAGAAGTCCTGGAAACGACTTTTGTCGGTTACAGCTGGGCGCGGACAGTTTAAGCGTAATTGTCATTATTTTCAATTCAGAAGTCGGTTGTCAGTCTGGTGGCTCAAACTTCTGGTTCATTAAACTTCGCAGTATCTCTGACAAAAAAGAAAATTGTGCACGTAAAGGTAAGTGTTCCTTTTAAGTATTTGTAATGTTTATCGATGTGCTTAAGGAAGTAAAGGTTAGGCAAAGGAAAGGAAATGGCATAACGTCTTCTGCAGATTGTCCGATAGCTTTCGTAAAGCCGAAGTGGTGGACTTGAACCAAGTGTCATCGAGGAACGCGCAATTACATCTTGCCGACAAACGATACCGCTATGTTTAAGTTTCGTTCACGCTACATTTACCGCCATATCCAAAGACAAAATACATGCATTTAACGACCTCTTAATCGAACATATCTCCAAAATTTGGTTTATCAGAGAACCAAAAGAGGACGGAAAGCTTCCTCTACTAAATTACTTGACAGGTTACAGGAAAACAAAAGCAATTAGACGAGTCGTCCTACAATCCGACATCGCAAAAAAAGAAAAACTGCCACCACTATAACCCAATCAACATGATCGCAAGTTGTTTACTAAAACGCAAAACAACCCATGCGACGAAAGGAAATAACAAGGGTGTGTCTTTGTCAAGAAAAACAACGATGACGATTACATTCGACGAAACACTCACCGACTTCTAACGACCTACCGATCATTAGGAACGACAATATGTAGAAATGTCTCAAATGTAGAATTGTTTCAAACTCCTTTTATGCGTTTGTACTTTTCAAAGAACAAATATTCAACAGTCAGATAAGCTTACTAGATATCTACCATTTACAAACTAAGCAATTGGTACACCTGTGGTCTAAGGATAAACACAAGCTGCGATGATAACAGTTTTCTGACTGAGAAGTCGTGTTCAAAAGCATATTACAAATATCTTTTGAAAGGAAAACTCCAATCGCGGAGGTAAACGAAAAGAGAAAAACACTAAGCCAGATATCCATATTTTATCATTATGCGATTTTGCGGGAATTTTTATGATATCGCGAAATTAAAGTCCTGCAAAAAAAGAATAAAATTCGCGAAAATTAACGACACAAATTTGCACTTCATTTCATATCCTTACGTTTAATTTTGACATGAACGTAAATCTACAATTCAAATACATTGAACTTTGGTAAAAAAAATCGGCCATGTCGTTAATTTGGTTGTTAACCACTTAAATTCCATGCAAACGATACTGTAAAATAAAAACCTTTTCACTTTTCAAAAGCGTTTCAGATGTTCTGATACCCCAGAAGTACAGTTAATACTGCATATAAAACAATATTTTAGTGGGGCAAAATAAGCCATCTGGCCAGTACCTGAGACCGATGTCTAGAATTGTTCCCATTGTTAAATAAAACGCTGTAGTGAAAAAAAAAATTATTTGCGAATTAAATTCCCTTAACTGGAAACCGTAAGCTTCCTTCAAAATCGCCAAAATAAAATCTTTAGACGCGTGCCAATTCTTATATTTTGCGAAACTAACTGTCTTCGAAAAAAAAGGGGCCATAGGAAACGTTTTTTTCAGGACCTTAAACTGAACCTGCAGTTGCGTCTATGTAAAATGTCAGTGTAAGCCAATTGCATCCTTTATAATACTTTAAAAAATAATAAGGATTTAAAATTCTACCAAGGCAAATGTCACGACTTGCTTCGACGTGATTTTGATTTATAGCGCCTATTGACCGCAAATTTCCCTTGCGCGTAGTGTGTTTCATTTTATGTTCCTAATGCAGGGAATTGATGCTTAAAAGATATATGCATTGTCGTCTTGCTTTTCGTCATAATTCGTTTACCGTCGGCCGGTATTAATTAATAATAATATGTGAAAAAGTCGCAGATGGACTGTCTGATAAGCAAAGTTTCATTGTGGGCGAAAACAAAACAAAATCCTACGAAAAAGCCTTTGAACTGGAAAAAGAGCTTGTGTGAAGGTATTTAAGAAGACCTTATCAACGCCACAAACTTAAGGAACATAAGCGACGATAGGCTTAAAAAAAATTGCTTCCCACCAAACTCCCCCGCTCCACCTTCAAGCTATCAACCACCTTGGTCGGTTTTCACTTTTCTTTTCTTATCATTTCTTTTTTCGCTTTGATTTTTTGTTTGTTTGTTTCTGTTTTTTACCCAGCCAACCGGTATCCTTTCACATACGGGAAAGCGGCGGGAAAAAATGGGCTCTAGGAAAACGAGAAGATATAACACCTCTCAATTTCCCTTTTCTTATTTTTTTAATTGTCGGTGTTTTCTTAGATAGGTTCCAGCGGAAGGATTTAGTTTTCTTTTCCCGTTAGTACATGCGTGGGCGTGAGTCTAGTGAACTTGTAGACTTCCTGCTTGCATCTCTGACTTTATTCATCTGTCTCGCGAGGTTATTATTTTACTCAGATGAGACTCGTATACCTCAAATTAAAAGTAAAAAAGAAAACACAACGCACCAGGCTAAGAAAATTATCGCTAATATGGTTGCCAGATTGTTTCCATCAAAAACATACTCAATTTCACCTCTCGAGACATTAGAATCATTTTGAAGTAATTGACAGGCAAAAACCTTTTAACGTAGCCCCTAAAACTGATATTCAATAACCCTGAGTGAAGAGTTCTAAAACTGCACCAACTGGGGCGCCGATTTTAACCTTAGTTCATTCTATTATTTTGTTTTGTTTTGTTCTGTTTTTGTTCTTTTTTTTTTGTAATGAAATGGGAGACGACTACGTGGGATTTGATAATTTACAGACTGAGCAACGTAAGAGTCCATAACCTTGAAATTTGACCTCTTCCCCCACAAATGGCTTGGAAAGTGAAGTTGTGCGGAAGACGATTTGATTTTCCTGAGTAAAAAGCAGAAATGAGTCGGCAAAATGGTCGGTGAAGGTTGTGAACAACCAAACTAGTCTCATGACATTTTTTATCATTCTGTGGCGCAGAAACCAATCGGGAATAGGACAAACGTGATGTACGCGTCAATGATCGTTATTTCTAGACAAGTTAAAGTCAAACTTGAAATATTTTGTAGTTTGAAACTGTTCTTGATGCCAACTAATCCAGATTACAAGTGGTTAAGCAATTACCACGCCTGATCTTTCTTGCTGTCACGCACAATAGCGGAGGAAGAGATCCTTCGGTCGTCAACACCCCCGCCCTCTTTGAATGAATCGAGGCAGCTGTATTAGACTAGAGTTCACGATAGGTGGGATAAAACCTTGAAATAACACACATTTTCTAAGTTTTTGTAACGGTTTAATGTTTATTTTTAAGGCGGTCGCCGCTGAACCGTTCATGTCAGGAAGTATTTTGGAACGTATTTTTGTAGACATAGCATTGCCGTGAACTTTTATGCTAATATGCGAACGAGTAAAAATAGGTTTCAGTTAATTACGAAATAAATGACCAGGTTTTTTGGGCAGCTGAATGACTAAATGAACACAGTACTTCTACATGTGATTATTAGAACGATCTGCCTTCTTTCGTTTTCTTCATACATTTAACCAAACCGATTTTATAAATTGGGTTTGTTTTGACGAACGGAATTAAGATCGTCGTAATTTCTCTCGGGAGCGACCTGCCGTGAGGTGGGCAAATTGGCCATGTTAGGGGTTGAGTGAAATTGCTACTTAATTCAGAGGAAAAGAGGCATTAAGGACATTAAGTTAACATATGCGAGTTAATCAAATAGCACAAAATAAATTGCACGTACGTACGCATTCAAGCATAATTACATGACAAAGCGTGGTTAAGTGTTTTTTCCAAAAGCTGCCATTAACTGCGGTAAAATACTCCATAAATAATTGTGGCGACACTTTACAAAGATCTATTTCCCAGCAGATGGTGCTCTTCTTGTCAAGAACTGACATAAATTAATCCTGCAGCTATAAAACAAACGGTTGTCTGATAACAATTCATTCAGCAGATCGAGGCGAGCGAAGTAATTAAAGATAAAGAAGTTCCGTTCTTGACAAAACACGGTAATCGGTAAGTAACCAGCTATTTTAGAAATTAGTACCAAGTGATGTCGTTCTTCAACCTGATGTAAGCGAAAGCAAGCCGATCTGGTGCTTGTTTAGTTTATTTTAACCAGTCGTGGAGTATCTAATGTAGACTCTATTGTTCTGGCCGCTGTTCTGGCCATTTGTTTTATCCAATGCTTGATGATCATTCGTGGCTCGGACTTGATATCAGACTTTGGAAAAGGAGAAAAAATTCTTTTTAATTTGGGAGCTTGAAATCGGGATGAAAGTAAAGCTGGTATTTTTGGCACTTGCGCTGGCATTTGCTTTGTTTTGTTATTTTCCGCGTTTTCAAACTCGCCAAGGTAATTATGATAATTTATTTTATTTCTGCGTGAATGCGCCTGAGGTTTTATCTTTTGCTTTCACTTGTTATTTAATGCTTTGTTTGTTATGCCTTTTATCTTTGAATTAAATCAAACGTGGAGGCGAGTTTTAGGTTTTTTAACATACCTGTATAATCTACTCTTATCCAATGTTACATCATCTGCTTAGCGCGGAAAATGGACGTCAGTTTTTGTGAAGAGTTTAAGGACCTGCTTGGCGATTCAAATGAAAATGTCCATAAAATGTGTTTCTCTGAGGGTTTTAAGATATTGTTAATTTGGCTTCCTTTGAATTGGTCGCCGCTAAAGGAGGAGCGGACATCATCGGCCAACAATAAGCTTATCATTTCGTATTTAAACATGTGAATTGTGGCGGAACTAAAAAGATAATCACTCAAACTGTGCTTCCAACCTGATCACCTGACCATGATCTGAACGCCGATAATCGGTGATCAGTCGATCAATTGATATCAACTGATGTCTGTGGATAAAGTCTCCTCGAGTAAATTGATGGATTTCTATCGATTGTAATCGGCTGCTGGTGAATTTCGCCTTATCCAACTCGAACGTCCTTGAATGTGGGACAAAAATAAGAACACTTTCAGACACAATTCGTACGTCTATTTATTTCGGGGGAGTACGAAGATACTTATAAAAGATACTGAGCAGCAGATACTGATAAAAACTCTAATAAATTGTCATGCATAATCTCAAAATAAACACCGACATGATCTTTCTACCAGGATGCATTGCGCCTCGAGTAGAGTGAACTGACGCTTTTACCAGAATGCATTTCGCTTGGATCTAAACGCAGTGGGCTTGTCAGATTTTATAGTGCGTAGAGATTCAAGTTCGCGGTTAAGATCCAAATCACGGCAGCTGCACCAAATTCTGCCTAGATTTTGATTTTGGATTTATCATATCCAACCTTCCATTATAATAAGCTTAGAAGAGAGACAAAATTTACAGATTGAATACACGTACCCTCAAAGTTTACACGTATCATTTAAAAATACATGCGTGATTGAAAATGGGAGAATCGCATGGTTTTCAGGGAGAACGGAGTGGGGATCAGTCGTCGCCAACAAATTAAAACGGGGCTTAATAATAAACGGCGCGATATTAGCGGCGGGCGAAAAGGCATGAGATGGGAGGTTTGGGTGGCGTCGTCGCGCCGTTCAATATTTCGCCCTGTTTTACTAAATGAAAGCCTGGAACAAGCGAAGTGAAGCTCGAACAGTTATGCTAATCTGTGAAGTGTTGTTTCAGATCATGGCGAATTGTAAACTTACAGTCTTTATTGCCGCGATTTGCATCATACATTTTGTGTCCTCCAAGTCATCTCAGTGTGTGACTGACTGTACCAGCGTATCAAAACAATGTCTGGACGACTGTGATGATCAACTGTGCGCTAATAATTGTACTGAGACAAGGGAAAACTGTTACAAAGAGTGTAACACACTTAGAAGAGAATTTTTCTCTCGTTTTTTCGACGATCGTTTCAACCCTAAAGATGATGTTAAAGACAACGACGAGGGATTCAAGAAGGACTTTGTAAAGTAACTTCATCTAAATACACGGAATCTCGAAGTATTCTGGACGTTAAAAGAAGTGGCTAGGGTATATTGTAAATTGTTAAAGAATATTCATCCACAAATGAAAAATAAATTGTGACACTCTGGTAAATAAGGAATTCGACGAGGAAGCTTAAGTTTTAGATGGTTGACTGTAAGTTGACAGTCCATAACATATTTAGAGTAAAGTGACGCGTGCAAAATACTAGGCCATGTAATATCGAAAGCAATTGTTAATATTCAATGTAAAAAAATGCAATTGTTTAACTGTCAAATGAAATAAAAAAAACACTTAAACAATTTCCTCCGAGATTACTGTGTATCAATAAACAGTTTCCATTATTATTTGTCTCTCACTGCATGATTTATTCATTTCCAACGGAGTTCATTCCACTCAGCCCTAATTGCGTTCTTCAGGGAGGCTCGAAAGGGTTTTTCATTGTTGCAGTGTTTGTGAAACGATGGAAGATTACAAAGAAGGATATTTAATGGGGTCGGCAAACTATATGTCTCCTTGCAACTCTATTGTTGGGCTATACTTTGAGGGTACTTGTGACGTCATATCAGTTACCATGGCAACGCACATGGTCCACAAAAACGTCCACTAAATTTTAGTTTTTGTAAATTATCTGAAAAACTAATTCGGTGACCTACTATATTTATTTCTTTGTTGGAAAGTTCCCTAAATTCTTTAAATTTTCAGACAGTATGGAAAAAATTAATCCAGTAGAATTAAATATATTTAAAGAAAATGCGATTTATGGCTTACAGAAAATTCTACTAGATAATTTTTCCCGAAACTTTTATATTTGAAGTGCCATCGTGAATGGTGCGTGCATGCAAAAAATCAAGATTGGTCACCGAACAAAATTTCGAGCTAGAAACAAATGTATTTCGCAGATTTTATTTCCGGTTCGCGCAATTTCAAGCAACATTTAACTTCCGGTGTGCTGATTTTGATTCATTCAGTTGACGCGTGCATCTTAGTTGTGGCGCGTGTAGATTGCGCGCGCGCGTGGATCTAAAAACCCTTTCCATCCTCCTTAATTTTAAAGGCAAATTTTCAAAGCCTCCCTAAGGGGGTAAGGGATCGGTGGATTTTGGTCGTTTCACAATTAAATTACCCTAATCCCCTCCATAAGGCTGTGTAGTATTCTAGTGATACCCCCTCAACAGCAGTCAATCCTTAATCGTTATGTGTTAACTGTGTTAGGGACGAATGACCCTTCCTCCTCTGTTCCCCCTGAAAAAAACTAAGTGATACACTCCAAAAATCCCCCCTACCCCCCCCCGTGATGAATGAGACTGTCCCTGATAGATCATGTCTTGCCGTCCCTACATAGAGCATCATAGGAGTAAACCAAATTCAACTGTCGCTTCCCAAGTTTAAATCGTCTAAATCGTTGTTAGAGAAATGCTTCGAAGAGGCTGTAAAGAGCGCGAAAATAAGCCATCGGATATCATAGATTGATGGATGAGTAATGATTCATCAAACTTTTTATACCGAAAATGAGGGTCCTATGCACCAGTTCTTTTTTTCCCCCATTTTTTCCCAGTTTTTCGGTAGAAATCTCTTGATTGCTTTTACGTCTATGAATATCTGGCCAATTCATAAATAAAGAAGCTATGGAAGAGAAAAGAAAAGGGAACAGAAGGATCGCAATCCCGGCAGATCCTAATATAAGGCTGTAAACGAACGATAGGAAAACTTTTCCTACTGATATATTTGATTACGGCCACGACACTTTCTTGAAAAGAGGAACAGTTCTTAATAATTGTAACAATTCAAAAGACAAAACCGAGTTTACAGAGTTGAAGTAGGTTCAAGATATAATGTCCTGACCTGTCAACAGCATTCACTTCCTGGTTGAAAGCTTCGGTCTAGGTCGCATAGAACGCTCTGCTTCGTCGTTTGATGTTAAAGCGTCTCTCTTTCGTAATCAAAAACGGCCTCTGTTTTTGTTTTGAATGACTTTCTAGCTAAGCTCAGCGACTCCTTAAAACATCTGTTCTTCCGTTCAATTGTTCGTTTTCCAGAGAAGAGCTCACTATACAACGTTTGTGATCTGACATCCAGCCAAGTAAAGCTCTAGACTACCGCAAGTGTCTCGTTCGTTAATCCTCTCTCACTCTCCAGGAAGGTCTTGACTTCTTTTGTACCTAACAAATTTTTCGACCTGTTTTTTTTTCTCCCAAGTTACAATGCTGTTTATATGATCTCTACTTTTTTCCTCACGCCCTTCCCTTCTGTAGAAATCTATGCATTTTGATGCACCATCGCCAATATTTCTGCCTTTTTGCTCGATCCTCCTTGCGTCACTCGTTACCATTCCTACTTGATGACGTCGTGATCTGCCACGACATTTGCCGCGAAAAAAGTGAGGTGCAAATCCTGAAAACACGTTGTACTTAGTCGTCCTCTGAACAAGAGTAATGCAAAGGCACGTATACGGATTACGCACCACCCTCTAAGACGAGCTAAGCAAGCGAAATCGGGCACATCCTTCGAGCTTAAAGTTTGTCGGTGAATAAATAAAGTCACGAGAAGGAAATAAAACAAACACCGATAGGAAACTCCATAGATTATCAATCAGAAATATCTGATTCGATTTCAAAAGGGGCTTTCAATTCTGCAATCCTCAAAAAATGACGGCTTGAGGTCATTTGCGGCAATTTGTAGTCTACAGAATAGGTTAGGTAGTTTTTTATGTTCTTATGATGTAGTGGTTGCGTGCATTCAGATTGCAAGTGAAATGATTCCTTTCTTGGGGTCTTAAGAGAGGCTCGGAACATTTCGTGATATTTACGGGCTCAGTTGTAATTTTTGCACGAAAGTTAACGGTGATTTGAAGATAATCTATGTACCTCGAGCTCGTTAATTACCCTTTATTTCCGAAATTTTCATATGGTCTTTTAAGAACAAAATTTGGCCGCAGATCATGCACGTTTTCAATCCTGGGCCTTTATCTTACATACGAAACAAATATACCTGACTATTTAATTGTTTCATTTGTTTCATGACTAAATTTTGTTTGTTGTCTCACTGCCAAGGGAATCTTTCGATCAACGATGATAAGATAAAAGGGGTCAGCGCCAGACTGATCGGGGATTCAACAATCTCATCCTTTAATTTAAAAACTTGGATCAAAGCAGAATTCATATAAACTTGCTATCTAACACTTTGTTGACGTGCGAAAATATGTAAACATTAAAAGATATTTATCGAGGAAGACTTCCTCTTATTTTTTCTGTCTCATTTATTTTATGCAAATCAAAGGTAAAATGACTGATTTGTGGTTTTTAATCTGAAGAACATCGCTGATTGGGTTTAATGCCCTTCTAGTTGCTATTTGTTAACAATCACTCGTTGTAATGTTACATTTGTGGCGGTTCATGAAAAGTACATTTAGGACTGATAACTTGAGATTGTCGAAGAAGTCAATAACCGCCAGACAAAGAAGAGTGACTATTTTCTCTCGTTTGTGATAAGCTAGATCGCCAAATGTTACTGAACAACAGACTAAACAAAAAGGACATTGAAAGTGTCAAAGCTGTTAAAATTCTATTAGCAGGTGTACTGTATGAGCAGAATTTACACAGTGCTATAAAGTTACATCGCAACATATGTTAAATTTTCGAAAAATTCAACAGCAACATCATTTGTGATTTAACAAGGTTAAATTCCTTTTTTAGGCTTAGCCAACACTGTCGAAACCCTCTTTCGAATAATTCAACAGCAAAACCAGTGATTTCACAAGGTTAAATTCCTTTTTTAGGCTTAGCCAAAATTGTCGAAACCTTCTGAGGAAAAATGGCTGCGGAAGAGGACACAAGAGGCACGGTGGCAGTTGTCATTCACACTGTTATTCTAGTTCATGCAACGATCTTTTCACTCACCGGGAACATGTTCATTATTTACGCGTTGTACAGAAACAGGAGACTGCGCACTATTACGAATTTCTATGTGGTATCGCTCGCATTAGCCGACATGATGATGGCTATATTAAGCTTTCCTTTCCAAGCGACCGCTTCAGGACTGCGAAAATGGTTTTTCGGACACCACTTCTGTCAACTAACCGGTTTTGTCGTACAATATTGGGTTCAAGTGTCACTCTCCATTCTGACTTTAGCCTCGCTAAATCGATACTTCTGCGTCGTGAAACCAAATAAATACTCGTTGTTATTCACTCACAGGAAAACTGTAACTTCATTACTTGGGGTCTGGATTATCCTCTGTATTGAATTACTGATTTTCGTTTTTACCGCACCAATAAAATTTCGATGGATCCCTAACAGTTTATATTGCCGAACAACTTTTGACAGTGAAAGTTCAGAGAGGATTTCTTTCGTCTTCTTTGCTTGTTTTTCCGCTGTTTTAATGTCCGTGGTCGTCTTTTGTTATTACAGCATTTATCGAGTTGTCAAACAACACAACAACGTGGTTGTCCCATCCTTGCAGAGAGCGAACAACCATGGAAGAATTAATGCGCAAGACGTGAAATCCTCTCGGGCAATCTTTGCTGCCGTACTTGGATTTTCGATCGCCTGGTGTCCTTTTATTTTCATGTCGATGCTGGAGTTTGGTTTTCAGGTATCAATTCCTTCCTCAGCAAAGTCAGTTTACCCTTTATTTTCATCCCTCTCTGCCTGGATTAATCCAGTAATTTATGGTATCATGAACCGTGCCATGCGAAACGAGTTTCGGAACATACTATTTTGTAGAAAGGATTGATACAAACTTATCTTTTTTTTAATGATGGCTGTCATCAATTCATTGCCGAGTTAAAGTGACTGGGTTCTAAATTATTTTTTGACCTTATTCCTGAGATGATGTGTTATCTTTGGACCCGAAGAATCTGAGTTGACAACTGACAGAGTTGATAATGTAAATAGGCCACCGTAAAGAGTTTCGAAGCTGACGTTTCGAGCGAATGAGGTTAATCTAAAAGTATCCCGCAATCTAATGCCAAGAAGTTTGGTATGATTGACTTCCCATGCGCCGCCCATTTAGACTTCCTATCTGGCTCTCAAGCAACACGCGAGGTAGAATTAACATTATACTTCAGAGAACAGGAACCTTAGCTTACACATAGCTTAAGTTTGAAATGGGGCTGTGAACAACGCAAAAGACACGAGGAGCGGTTCAGTGAACAGATCAAGTGGTCAGACTGTCTACCATCCTAGATCGGAGAAACCTAAAAGATTCTCAGTACAGGACTGAAACACCAAAGAATGTTAGGAAATGATGATTTACCGATTCCCGCACAAAGCATCATTTAGTAACGAGCCACGCTATTGATTGGAACTCTGCTCGTCGCAGTTTTGCGTGCAAAACCAACTACTTCCACCGATTGGCTTTGGAAAGCTGGCTTAATATATTACCAGCGAACAGACTCCTCTCAACAAATTTCGACACTTCTGGCAACCTACTGATATTTTATTAATAATGTTCATGGCAAAATTACGCGCGTCTCAATGTCTGAAATCAAATGCATTTTTCATGTAACACGAGTGCAAATTTTAACATGAGTGCAAATTACAAATAGCGCGCGTGCCCGCCAAAATTTAGTCCGTCCTGATTTTCTGTGATGCGTTTTTCATCTAAATTATTAAATAGTAACAACATGATTTCTCGTGAAATTTGGTGTAAATAAGCTCTTGTAAATTTTTCAAAGACCACAAATTGCGCTCGCCCAACTGGATCGTTCTATTTTTGTTAAAATCAAATTGCACTCGAAATCATACAGTTACCTATACTGATCATATAGATGAAAAAAATTACGCGCGTTTGATTGGCTCAAAACGAGTTCATTCTCATGTAACACGAGTGCAAGGTTGTAACACATCTGCAAAATTACAAATAGCGTGCGATGTTAAAATTTACGTCTTTCTTGACTCTGTACATTAGTAACAAGTAACAACAGAGAAAAGAATTGAATAAGTGATAGATTTTAGGTTACGGTTACAGCTTTATTCCAAGAACTGGCCGCCGAAGAAACGTACCGCTTTCAGTTGGGAGAAGAAATTGAAGATCCTGCAAGTTAAGAAATAAACTTTTGACAAAGGCGTGATGATGGATAACACTGAAACATGAGTATATGTTGGTTCAACCTTTATTATCACTCGGTATTACATATCATTTTCTTGCATTTGCATCTTTATTATGCCAGGGAGGTATCCCCCCTCCCCTCCCCCCCCTGTTGCCGCATTACTTTCTTCTCTTCTTCTTGTTGACATAGGGATAGTATTTCTGGTATTTCCCACTCCACCCTTTGTGGAATCGTCCATCCCCATTTCCGCCGTTGGTGGTAAATCGAACCCAAAGGTAGTGATTTGATTCGTCGTAAAAAGAACCCGACGGAAGGGCATGCCCTCCCCATCCGTTCGTCAACGTCTTTTCGGCAAACCTGTTTAATAAAAAAACAAATTGAGAGTTATAGTTCCTTCGTAGCTTGCTTGAGATTACATCATAGTTTTTGAGAGCGCTACAAAAAAATTCATTGGAATTCAAGAAACAAAACATACTATTCAGCGTTCTCCAAGAGGAAGATTCAGTTATTGATGCACATCAGAAAATCACAAACGTGAAAAGTAAGAGGTAATGTGATATGTGAGATGATTATTGAAATGAATATCTAAAGTAAATGCTTCCATTTTTTCCTTCGTTTTACATTTTATAAACTATTCGTTATTTGTGTTTCTTTTTCCTCTTGTTGTATTGTACTGTTTGTAATTAGATTTTTATAGACTGGCCTGCTAAGACTAACATTGGCTACCCGTGGGCCAGAAAAAGTTGCAAATGACTCCAAAAGAAAAGTATATTAGATATTGTTGTAATTGTCGTTGTACTGATCTGGCATTACTCTATTTATTTATTCAGACAAGTTTTCATTACAGCACGAAGTGCAAGGTACTAAGCGAATATATCGGTAGGTAATTTAGTGTTAACAACTGGGTTGAAAACGTAAATTAGCCACCGTAAAGGGTAAAAAAGCTGACGTTTCGAGCGTTAGCCCTTCGTCAGAGCGATTAGGGTAACTGAGGTATGAGGTATGATAACTGCAACTCACCTCCCGCTGGAGATAGACACTAGATCATAGTTACTTTCCGTTTCGAATTCAGTGAAGATAAACTCAGGATATTCCACGGCGCGATAAAGCAGCCACATACAATCAAGATTGTCGGCGTAACCGCCAGGGAAGCCTGGGGACAAGATGGTGCCACTTCCCTCCTCATATGTGCCTCCGCAATTTGTGTCTAGTGCAATAAGGGAATTAAGTAAGAGAAGAACGCATCGTCTGATGACAATGTTCCCTTGAAGCAAGCTAAAATTAATTCAGCTCCTTATCAATCGTTCACAGCACATTAAGGAAGGTCTCAAAGGGGTCAACCTTTAGCCATCTGGCGTAAAAGATTGACCAATTTTTTGCCTACGTTTTAACCGTTAGCTGTAAAAGCCGTCACCCCATTAAGACCCTTATAAAGGAATGATTTTCATAATTCATTTTCATACTCCAACATTTTAATATCTCTTACTTTCTAAAGGCTGATTTTTCCTTAATTCAGAGTCAGATTCGAAATCGTGTTCGAAGACCTAAAAGCGCTTCCAGCTTTGTGAAAGATGAGAATTGGAGTCTCATGCCGAGTAATGAAGCTTGACGGAATAGAAGTCAGAAGACTTCACCATTTCTTTTGGTGAAAACTAGATTGTCGGAGTCGCAAGCAGACGCAGAATAATCAACCAGTCACAATGCAAGTTCTCAGGCCAACCGATCGCCTACGCCTCCAGCAATTCAATTTTCGCAGATTCACAATCGGCATCTGCACTCGCCTTCCGATTCCGTTGGTTTAATTTTCACCGCATCGAATCTCTATCCGCCTCTTATTACTCCTGCGACTCCGGTCACGATGTAAGTTAAATTCAGCTTCAAATGCATAAACCATAAGATAAATAAGAGGAAGTAGGGAGTTAGCATCTAAATAAACTGTTGTGCTACGTCAGTTGGTTTTATCACCTGTGTTGATAACGTAAACTGGCTGCCGTAGGGGATTTCTAAAGTCGACGTTTCGAGCGTTAGCCCTTCGTGAAAGCGATCAGAATAAGAAGAATAGTTAATCGGCTAATTAAAGTTAACTGAACATTGTGTACTTACCGACTTGCTTGTAGTTGAAACTAAATCCTTTCCTATTGGTGGCTCCATCACTGATGAATCGAACTCGTAAGACATTTCCAGATGAGGTGAACGGCGGTGGTTTGTAAGTGGTTCCGTCAAATGCGATAATCGGACTATCATAGCGACTTGTATCGTAGATCATCAACAAATCTTTCCCAGTCTCCGTCTTAAATTCAGTGAAGTCGAGTCTAATTTTCTTGTTCACCGGAACTTGAATCTGCCATGTGCAGTATTCGTTGTCGTTGTAATTTCCAGGATAGTTTGTCGATGTGACAGTCCCGCTTGGTCCGGTTAAAAATGTGCCGCAGCTCGTTGCTATGAGCAGATTACGGAGATGGTCAATAAATGGTTCTCTTTCTATCTAATAAAGGTCAGGTGGCAGATTCAGAGGGGGTGGGTAGTTTGGGGGCTTACAGTTTTTTTGTTACTTGAGCAACAAATATCTTTTAAGCGAAAGGATTGACTGTTACCTCTCACGCATGTTAAAACCCTGTTTCACCTCTTCTTGTCCTGACCGGTCTCTCTCTTACCGTCCAAGAGACTGTAAGGCTAAGTCTGGTTCTATTACGCGCGTGCCCAACCCAAGAATATTCCAAAAAGAATGTCGTATCACACACAGAATAAGGAACATCAATGATCTACTTACATTGGCATGTGGGTTGGGATTTGGACCACTGTCCATTCGCTTGGCAAGTCCTAGTGAGGTCTCCAACAAGTTTGTACTTAGGGTCACATTCAAGAATTACAACGCTCTGATAGGTAAATGTGTCTCCGTACCTGACGCCATTGGCCGGCGCGCCAGGATCACCGCAGCTAACGACTGCAAATAAAACAAATATTTGTTTTTTTAGATATGTACATACCCCGGCTGGATACATCTGTAGATATAGACACCCCCCCCCCTACTGTTAATTCTTTTTTCTCATCTCTCTCTTCTATAAGAACCACCCTAAATTTAACGAGGGGCTGTAAGGAGAGTACAAGAAGCTAACTGATTGATACGTTCATCATCTCGTATGACAATCGCGTCTTAATGTCCCAAAATCCCTTTCACGCAGTTTCGCGCGACCTACACGCAGACTCGCAGGAATTAAGAGAGTGTTTCCACGGCCTCAGCACGTTTGAGCACCAAGAAATAATTTGTGCTACAGTGTTAATCTTATTTCAAAGTTTGTCATTACCGCACACGTTCTATTTTGAACCAATGTTTTTTAAAAGCTGCTATTGGGAAAGGGTTGACTCAAGAAGCAAATGGAAACACGGGAGCGTAGCCGGGATTTTTTAAAGGGGGGTCACACCAGGTGTTCACCAGATTCTCGTGTCGACCTCCACGCTGTGTTTTACTCGATGTCACAAAGAAAGGCTCACAATGGGAGAGGGTTGTCACGAGCACCCCAGGACCCCCTGGCCACACCCTTGAAACAAAACTTCCTATTCCTAAGCTCTTGCAAAAAATGAATATAAAAAGGGTCAGTTCGTTTACTTGGGCATGTAGGCTGTGTTCCAGTCCATTTTCCATTTGTCTGACACGTCCGAGTTTGAGATCCCACCAAATTGTAACCGACATCACAGCTGAAACTGATGACAGACCCATACTTGTAATTGGTGGAATCCTTCTTTCCATTTGTAGGAGTACCAGGGTTACCACAGGATCGCTCTTTGAGTTTTTAATGTAAAAAATGTGTTGTTAGTGTATTTATCAAGCCTAAGGAATACATCATTCATAAAAAAAAATTAAACACGTTTTTAATGTCGTTTGTTAAACACTCTTTAAACACTTGTTTTAAACACTGTTTTTAAAACTTTTTCAAGTTTTTCGACTTCAAATATAGCACATTGAGAGTACGAGCTAGTGACCGCTTGAATCTTATGAAAAATTCAGTCTCATTCAGTCAAAAATTCAGTCCACTGTCTCTGACTTTCATTCAGTTCAACCTGGTTTATCTAAACATGTTTTGTTGGTGTGAAAGTGGAATAAGTTCTTTTAGTCAAACGATTCACCATTGATCCACCATAATCGTCCATTTTACCGTTGTGTGCTTGGTTGCCAAGCCTTTGAACAGGAGTAAGGCTAAGGGTGACCTTTTTATGATACAAACCTTGCTTCTTTTCAAATGTAAATCTCTCTGTTATCATGCTAACTAGACACTGGTCTCTATCACAACAAGGTCACCTTCAGCCTCACTCCAAATCAAAGGCTTGGCAGCTAAGTACACGTCTGTCAGTTGGCCTATTGGCCTTGTTATTACAACAGGAAGACCAAGGTAATTTGTGGATTCTTTTGTAGTACCCGTCATCATACAGAATTGTTGCTCATTCATTTTTTAAGTTGTTCACACAAAAATATGTCTTTAGCTGGACGGCACTATAGTTGGAATATGTGGTAATCTTTTCGAGGAGATTCCACGGAGGAAATCAGAAATGCTTTTTTCGGCACAAAACGAAACGTCCCGAGTAGGAAATCAATATTTTTTTTTGTTTGGTACTGAGAAAAAGTTGCCCATCGCAAACTTGTCATGAGAAATATTTTATTAAGTCAACTGTGCATACCTAAGCAAACAGGTTTTGTTCCACTCCATTGTCCGTCAGCCTGACATGTTTGGCTTTCATCTCCCTCCAAATGATGGTCTGCTTTGCAGGTGTATGTCACTTTGGCCTGGTACTTAGTGTCAGTTGCTAGATGACGGTATCCACCGTAAGGGTCGCCCGGGTCACCACAGTCTACCACTAGATTTGGAAGAGAGAGCAAAAGATAATTTGAATTACACCCTTTTATTATACTGTACCATAGAAATGATGCATGTAAATGCATATGCACTCGGTTCTTCTGCAAAAATAAAACTGGACGTACATCAAGCTGATAAAAGTAGGCTTTTTGAAAGTCCGCTTTCTGATTGGCCGACTACTCCCATTCAGCTCATAAAATATGATACGAAACTTGTCGCAAGAGTACACTGAGAATATTATCTAACAATCAGAATGTTCCACATCAATTTTTATTGGCGTTCGTGTTTTTCTTGTACTGTTCCATACAAATGTTATATGTAGATGTACTCGGTTCCTACGCAGAAGATTTTGGACATTTATCATGGTGATAGATTTACGGGTTACATATAACCGTGCGGAATTCGCATATAAGTCCGACAAGGCTGCAAACAGCCAATTAAGTCCCACGCGCGTTTTCAATTAAAGAAAAAAAATACAAAATTAAAGTTCCACGTCTGAGGGCTGAGCACGACGGCGTGTGCAGGGCTGGAAAAAGCCGCACGGCCCAGAAGATGCGAGCAAAAAGGAACGAGAAAGAAAGAGAGTGGCAGTGGTCAGATGATAAAATATATGTTGACTGACTGAGAGGAGCGGAAAGGAAAATTTTTGGTACTCGGTCAATACGTCATCACCTCGAGCCAAAAATTTTCCCGTCCGGCCCTCCTTTTCAGTCAATAGGTACTTATCATAGAGCCCTTACATTCGCAGACAGGATCTGTCTCTGACCATTTTCCTCCTCCTTTGCCATCTGCAATGCAAGTCCTGAATGCAGAGCTTGCTGGAACCATATTGTAGCCCTCGTTGCAAGTGATGCGAAGAGTAGCCCCCAGTTCATACCGATAACCTTGAACCGCGCCATTAGCAGGGACTGGTACTGGACTACAGAAAGCAGCTGTGATAGAGAGATTAGCGTAAGTAACCCTTCTTATTCAGTTGCGCAAATATTATATATATCAACTGAGTGCGGCATCCGTTTGATATAAATCATCGAGGAGTTTTAAGAAGTTAGTTCACAACGATTACTTAATGTAAAAAGACATGGAAGGAAAGATAAACGAGTGCGTCTCGAAGAAGAAAACTAAAACAAGGCACACTGGACGGAAGCAAAAATTGCCGACGAATTTGTAATCGAAGTGAACTCAACATCTTTTTGGCAGAGTCTGCTGTGTACTCTAAAATTCTTTTCCTTCCTTTCCTTTTTCAAGACATCTATTGCATGAAATCTATTTCTTACTTGCCCTAAGGCCAGGTTCTAAATCGAATTGGAATTTGGAATGTTGAATTCCGGAGAACCCGGAGAAAAATCCTTCGATGAAGGACGAAAATAGCCAGCAACAAACTCAGGCTACATGTGACGCCAGGTCCGGGAATAGCACCCGGAGCACAATGGTGGGAAGCGAGCACTCTGCTCACTGCACTCCTTTCCAAACTAAGAATTTTTACATTAGCTAAAAGAGCGCGAGTGCAACCTACCGATACATCTGGGTTGAGTTCCACTCCATGTTCCGTCTTGCTGACACGTCCTGACTGCATCACCCACCATAGCGTAGTTTGCTTTACAAGAGAAGGTTGCCTTGGTATTAAGAACATTTTTTCCGCCATCTTGCCCAGTTAAAGCAACTGGATTGGCGTTTTCTACTTCTCCGATTTCTGCACACTGGACACCTTTAGTGACAAAAAGAAATTCATTTGTTTTGGTACAACTCTTTCAGTCTTTGTGGGATTGAATAAAAAGATGTTTACAAGAAACTTGAATTAAGCATTATTGTTCAAGCCATGATGGTTTCCATGAAGCAAGTCGTGAGTGTGGCTACTCTCCCTGTACATATGGGAGACAGACCCAAGAGGAAGGTTCAGGGAATCCAGAACCAAACTCTCCCCCCCTCCATTAAACGTAACGGCCACAATTCCTGCATGACCGTATTACAAGAAACTACTTAATTTGAAGTATCTAAAATTATTTTCCTAGAAAGATGTCTCAGCTTATCTAGGCTTTATTTTATAAAAGATTCTGAATCACCCTCCGATCAATAAATCCTGGATCCTCTACTGCATATATTTTTGCAATCCTCTGTTAATGCCGCTCTATCGGTATCAAGAGCCATAATTAAGAGGCAATGTCATGCACGTGATTCTGATCAGGTTGGCAATGTAATGCACGTGGTTTTGGTCAGGTTGGCAATGTCGTGCACGTGCTTCTGGTCAAGTTGAAATGTTGGGTTCTTGATCAGCGCATAATTAGTTATATATTTTTGGAAAAAAGTTTGGCATCAATTGTAACATTTTAAAACTTTGTCACCTTTCAATTTTACAGTGTCTGATACACTTACGTGTGCAGGTAGGTATTTTACCCGACCATTGCCCATCTGCCTGGCAGTAGTATTTTGAGCTTCCGTATGAGCCTCGGTAGCCATTATTGCAAGTGTACGTTGCGGTGCTTCCCAAAACAAGCCCCGAACTCAGTGCCACGTTTCCGTTGCCAGGGTTGCTTAAACTGGGACATGAAATTGCTGCAAAGATGAAAGAACAACATGCAAAATGATGATTATATGATTGGTAGATGGTGATCCGAACTGAAGGCTGAATAAGATTAATGCAATCACATCATGATGGTGATTTTACTGCAACCGTTTTGAAAGTGAGCAAGCTTTTAATTTTAAAACGTGTGTTATCATCATATTAAATGTCATATTCAGGTTCCAAGTGTTCCCAAACGGGAGTTTTGCGTAGGAAAATGGACAACACGTTTCAAAGTGACAGTAATTGATTTTCTCGTTTTCTATAAAACTGTTCAATCAGTTTTTAATCCTCCAACTTCTAAGGGTGACTAGCATCTAATTTCTCCTTATAATCAATCATAAGTTGAGGTCATGAGAATACAGGAAATGATCACCGACCAAAAAGGCTTGTGAATGTTGAATGAATTCTCACTGTTGGCACCATAAGAAATGTATAGAAAATATTGCTGATGTGAGTGTGTGAATAATGTACTTGAAAAAAATTACTCCCGTCTGATTGGCTGAAAACGTATGCGAGTGCAAATTACAAATAGCGCGCACGCTTTCAAAATTTCGTCTTTCTTGACTTTCTCGTTGCAATTTTTTTGTCTTAAAAAATATACTCGAGCTTATTAACACCAAATTGCACTCACCCGAAATCATGTTATTACCTATACGGAGAGTTTACTCAAGCGTTTCACTGAAAGCTCGCATTACCGAATCATACCCGCATTCAGTTACCTTGGCAGGTCTTTTTATCCCCGCCCAAAGTGTATCCCTGTCTGCAAACACAGGTGAAGGACTGGTATGTGTTGACGCAAGAATGTTCACAGCCACCATTGTTAGTAGCACACTCGTCGACATCTGAAAGCGAAAAATGAGATGGCGTGAGGACCACGACTACTGTAATTGGTATCAGAGGTATTAATGGCGTCATGGTTATTGTTCTCTTTCTCTTGACTCATGAATGTTACTCACCATGATTTACTTACTTCTAAGTCGTAGTTGCCAAGGTCATTTTCACTACTTAGGTCTTTTGATATCGAAAAAATATCGATAAATCAATTAAAATGTAAACTATTTTTATACTGCAAAAAAATCCAGGAAACAACGGCAATAAAGGTTGCGGACGCAGGATACAGGAGAGATAGTGCGAGAGTAAAGTGTCTTGCCCCAATACCACAACACAATGAGCCAGACTAAGCCCAAATCTGGATCTCTCGAACCGAAGTCCAGCGCGTTAGCCAATCGACTACCTCTTCCATCGTTAAAACAACAGAACAGTGAATTTTTCAAGGAATGCGAGGATTGACCACTGAAAGTCAACGTGCTTAGTTGTAATATTGATTAGAAAATTTATGGCCTTCTCTCTTTCTCTCGTCTCTTAGTTAACTTGAATACAGTTAGTATGCAGAAAGAAGCATATCAGTTATCCTTTCGTCAAATTAATCATAGCATATATTTATAAAATCTTACCCTGACAGCTTCTTTTACCAGAATCCAATGCGAGCCCGGTTGGACAGGAACATGAGAATGCACCAGCAGAGTTGTGACAAGAGTGGGAACAGCCTCCGTTCTCAGTTGAGCATTCGTTAATATCTGGAAAACGAACATAACGAGAACATAAACAATCACAAAATGAAAAGTTCTTAGCCCTGAATTGGTTCTGTCAGTTTCGTGTTTTTTAATGTTTACTTGTCAAACTCGCTCAGAAAAATTCATGCAATTCATCTTCATTGACAGTCTTGAGTAATCTCTCTACTGACAAGTCGAAGTAGCTGAGATCGAAGTAATAGTTGTTGCTGCTTTTTCTTTCCACGCCCAAGCAGCTGATGATTAGACTTGTAAATTTGAGAGCTCTGTGGTTTCTAAAACTCAAAGCTAAGTTGTGTCGTTGTTTGAATATCCGGTTAAAGAAAATATAAAGAGAAATGCATATTTAAGGATGCGATAAATGTCATCTCTTATCCTACCAACACAGTTGGTATTTCCTTGAAGCTCATATCCTTTATGACAATGGCAGACGTATCCACCGTTAGTGTTTGTGCAAAACTGGTTACAAGGATTATTGGCACACTCATCCGTATCTGAGAAGGAAGAAATTAAGTCAGTTACATCAATAAAATTTGAAATGATCAGGGAGAGATTTGTGAAAAGGTTATTATATTTTGCGTCATTACATTTAGCGTGGCTTTTATCAGTACATGTTGTGTAACCACTAATCACATTGTCCAATAGGAAAGTAGTTACATTTTTCGTTACCATTATATTTTGTGTCACTTTTTAAGTTTTGTGCTATTTCGAAGGTTATACATGGGTATTAAAAAGAAAAATTTTTATCCAAGTCACAAAATGTGTTCATTCATTTGTGATATTTAACAGAGTGACTCTACGTTCCCCTTTTTACGAGAAGTGAGTGGGATCTCACACGTCCCTTGCGAACCGGCACAGAGAAGATGCAGGAGATGGGACCTACAGTTTAACGTCCTATCTATCCAAGAGGAGAGAATGCCGAACCATTTGCGGATAACAGACCAAAGGCAGCACATTCTCCTAACTTATTTTATGACCCTGAGTAAAAGGTACCTGAAAAATGGCGGGAAAATGTCGAAACCGATCATGCTCAAAAAGCTGATGATACATACCCGGACATCTTGGGTGGGACCCAGTCCATCCTCCTCCCTGGCACGTTCTGGACGAAGATCCCCGCATGGTATAACCAGCGTTACAAGTAAATGTGATTGTGCTTCCTGCGTTGTAACTGGAACCAGACTTTGAGCCGTAAAGTGGTGCACCGATTGGTCTACAGTTGGTCGCTAAACAGAAATAAATTCAAGGTAAGCTCTCATTATTAAAATAAGTAACATCTTTACGACACTGGTGATTCCTTTGCTAGGCTGTCCCACGTGTCAACAACTCACAGTTTTATTCCATTGGTTATTTATTTGCTCTATTCTTCTTCATCTTTCATTCAATTGCGTGTCTATACGTGTAAGGAAGTCTGTCTTTTTTTTCTACCCTGATTGCATGTAAGCTTTGTTTTGTTGCCCATCTGAGTGAATCTATCTGTATGTCGTCTGTATGACTCTCGGTTTGTCTATGTGCCTCTTCGTTCCCTGAATTTTCGCTTTACCAATCATATATCTGCAGAACGGCTTCTTGTCTTGTTTGCCTTACTTTCTTTAGCTGCCTATGTGTTTCCTTTGTCCCTCCTCTATTTTATGATGCATATCCAACCCGAGTGTTGTCAGTCTGTATTTCTCGGTATGCCTGAGTATCTGTTAAGCTGGTCTCGTTTATTAAGCCGATTATCAGTGGTTAACTCTATCGTCCTTTCCCCAGACTGTATATCAGCGGTTGCTCACCTGTATCGCAGTTCTTTCCGGTAAAGCCACCGGGGCACATACAGAGGTAGTCATTATATCTGTTAACACACACTGCTCCATTCCTACAAGGTGAGTTGCTGCATTCATCCGTGTTATCTGCTGGTTTGGCGACAGCTTTGGAGAAAAAAATGTACAATTCTTGTCTTAAAGTTTTTTCTCTGATTCACAAGCGATCACGTTTATGATCCTGCAATGTTGTTCTAAAATGCCATACAAGCATCTTTTTTATAATTTTCTTCTTCCACTGAGCGTTTTTTCTACTTTGTAGCGAATCATCACTCTTGTAATGTTAAAGTAATCGCCTCGCTCGAGTAAATAATATATTTTTGTTTTTGATAGATTATATAATAACACTTATTATTATCGTTAAGATAATCATCATAAGCATCATCATTATTATGATCATTAACATTAGTATTAGTATTTTTATTCTTAGCATCATCCAAATATGACAGGTGACATGATAGACCGTTTATTTCCGTAGTAAGTCGGTAGTGAACTATGAATAAAATTGGAGTGACCCCGAGTTATGCCGCAAAGTAAGCCTCCCCCCCGTCCCACAAATATTTCATCAGATATGATATAAATCATAGAGGAATTCACATTGAATAGAAAGTGGAAAACCTGTACATAGAGAAATAATTATTCCACAACACAACAAGGTTATATTAAAGTTATATCTATGTTAAATCTAGCTGTTTGTTTCACGTTATTGGCAGAAGGTTGTTTTTTTCTAAAGTTAAGACGTGGGCTCCATATTCCCGTTGACACATTTGGTAAGAATGATGTAATGAACACCTCAGTAACGAAAAAAATTCAAATATTTGCACTTACGCAATGGACAACCATTCACATCAACTCTCATCGTTATATGGCCATACCATTCTTGGGGTCTGAATCGAAGATACATGGCTTGAAACAATCTGACTTCATTGCGGACCTCAGTATTGCGGTCACTGTTGCCATTAAGAGTCTGAAAGATTTCAATGTGTTCATATTTAAGAGGAAGAACAGATAATGCTCAATGTCTTAACTATTTCTTCTTAATTTTTCAATATGGTTTATTTATTTGTTTCTATTTTTTTCTTATATTTTTGCTGTTGTTGTTGTTGTTTTGCCAAGTGTGTTTTGTTTATGTTTTAACTAAAAATTGACTTGATCTTTCCCTCCCAGTTTAGCACTGGTGGAAACTGCTCGCCTCCTCGGTTTTCTTTTTTCAAATTTTTTGTCTTTTCCTCCTCGTTTTCTAGTAATTTGTGGGTAACGGCTGGAAAACCTTCGTAGCTTGAATATTTTCAACCTACTTTTTTTTCCTGCAATTGCTTAAAAAATTTCAGCTCGCTATCGAGGATTACTTTTTCATTTAATTTACATCCCTCTTGAATGACACGATTTTCAATCTTGTTTCAACTTTTGCAATCCCGTAGTTCTTGAGGTCCTCTTTGAAAGTCTCAACCAGACTGCCATGAATTTCTTTATAAAACACACGAAATGAATTGGTGTGTTATGATATTAACACCCATTGTTGTTATCACCCGTTTGATGGTCAATATATTGAAATCATAAGGAGAAACTGCGTAAGCACCACCTCTGTTAATTACTTCTCTATAAGGTGATGGCTTATACGGCTAACGGTTAATATCGTTCCATTGTTATCACTAGAACTTTGGTCAATTTTGGTCAATTTTTACGTCTTACGGCTGAATTTTTTGGCCGTTTTACGGCTATCGATTAGCCCCTTCATAATCGAATAAAGATTTGATTCCTTGTCGCCAAACGAGTCATTCTTACTTACATCAGGATAGTAAGTCCAAGATGCTCCGTCGCTGCTGTACTCAAGTCTATACTTCGTCACCCACTGGTCAGCGTCGCTTGCTCCCTGAGTTATCACCCCAGAAATCTGGAAGACCTCGCTAAACTTGATTTGGAGATACTGGTTAGCATTGTTGGTTGAAGCAGCCCAGCCTCCGTTCTCCTCTACCTGTCCTGCTGAATTTTGCTGAGTTTGCGCATTTAGGCGACCAAATTTCGCGGCGTGGGTTGCGGCATACTGCGATGATGCTGACATATCAGAGTCAGGGATGCGACTTTTAGCTCCTACACCAAGACTCTTAAGGCAATCTGCAAGAAGAAAGAAAGACTGTTAAGGCAGTCTACAAGGGGAAGGAAGATTTCTTAGGAAGTCTGCAAAAGGAAGAGACAAATATTAAGGACTAACAGCACTCTCTCCTTCCTTGAGGTGTTTCGTACGAAAGGTTGCCCCTGCAACATCATAGTAAAACTCAGTGATGTTATTAATACTGTTTGCCGTATTACTTCAGACTACGAGTTGATTAAATTGCATTCATAACAAATGCTCTAGTTATCCCTAAAAGTATTCAGATACTAGCAATGATAAATTGTGAGTAAAGGATGCCCCAATGATAATAGTGTCTATATTCTGTTTGATGATACGATCAAAAAACTGAATGGTACAAAGTAATTTGGTTAAATCAAATGAGTTGACAATGTAAATTTGCCGCTATAAAGAGTTTCTAAAGCTAAAGTTTCGAGCGTTAGCCCTTCGTCAGAGTGAATTGAGGAATTACAGGTTGTGCGTGCCTTTGTTATATGCAGAAAATGGAGCTACGCTATTGGTGGGGACATGGCAACAAGAAAAACAGAAATATATTAGTTGAGTGAAAAGCGTTCGTTAAAACTCTGGGGATAAAGGGCCGATTTGAAAGATAATTTTCATTTTCCTTTAGAAACTTACCCCCTTTACTCATGAATGGTAAAAAAGACTGCTACCTGATAAAGCCCACAGCATAACACAAAAAGCTACCCAGCAATACTATTGGTGACACTAACAGAAAGCCTCAAAATACACACCACTATTGAATCATAAAGAATATATAAGAGCTGCTAGTGATGTGCACTTACTTAGCTCAAAGAATCGATAATTTGATGCACTCGCCAGTCCAGTGTTATAAGACGACTTGCTGCTCATGGCACATCGGTTGGTTGAGTTGTCAAACTCAAAGGATCGACAGATGAACGAAGCTTCCGACCGACAAGACGAAGCGCAGGCTTCCGGGGAGGTGTTCTGCACCACTTTATCGTCGCTTCCAGATATATATGAGTTGTACGTCAGGAAGAATTGTCTCTGAGCAGCGTTGACTGAAAGAGATTGAGAAGACAATTTCTCAGTAAGCCGTTTAGCAATGAATCATTTTTCATAAGACTTGCATAAAATCACAGCCTGCTCGTTTTCAACTCATGAACAACGCATGGTAAGTACAACTACCCTCGAGCCCTCTGCCTACGTCGTCAGAGATTATCCCAGTTTTCGTAACACGAAGCAACAATGAAAGTTATTATTTCCTCATCTCCTTGACAATTTGCAGCTACTCATTCATACTCCTGGTTGGAGTGAGGCATTGTGGGAGTCAAGCTCCTTGCCCCCACCTGAGAATACAACACAGTGACCTAATCAGGGCTTGAACCTAAACTTCCTGACTAGGATTTCACCGCGCAAACCATTGGGTCAGTGAAAGTATGTAACTGAATAATCTTAAGCCTCTCAAGCCACAGTCGTCATTGGACTGACTAAGGTTTGACACAAGCAAATTTTGCACTCGTTAAACTGTCCCTCGACGGCATCATAGGTTTTTCTAAATTATAGTCGTGGACCACAGATATTGAAAGAAAGGATATAGGCCAACATAATACTCACAGTCACAAGCGTATGACTTGTCAGTCACATGATACTCTCCATCTAGCTGTTCTCTGAAGTCACCCCAAGATGCAACATTTCCTTTGACATGATCACAACTGTATGCCAGATTATAAATGTCTGTAGCAGACAGGACGTTGTCAAATATGTGCATCTGACTTACATCGCCGATGAAGTTTTCTTCGGTATTAAAGCCACCCCCCAGTTCATCTTGTTCTTGACCAAGAATCAAGACGCCTCCGCCCTTTATTATTTCACCTTGCTGAAAGGCTTCAGTAGAGCTCTTCACTTTAACGCCGTCTTTGTATGAGTGCCACGTGCCTCCAGAGCTTTCCCATGTGACTGCTACATGATGCCACTGTCCGTCAATTGCCTTCACGCCCGTGAAAACAGTTTTGTTATTAACAAATAGATTAAACCCAGCGTAGTCTTGTAGGGTAAGTGCATTGTCCTGTAAGACGTTGTTCACTGTTGTGGCATAGGAAAGTACTGTACCCGGGTTTGTGTCTTTGGTACGCATCCAAAATGCGATGGTTAGAGCGCTAATGTCTGAAACTTGCTTTTTGAGCCGAGAATAGGACTTGGCTTGTCGCACTTGAAAAGACAAGTCGTAGTCGGTGGAGAGCACTGTGGAAACAAAACAACAGGATTAGTTACAATGGAGTGCTTTTCGATTGAGTGTCGTAAAACGCAAGACCAAAGTAGGGTAAGTAGTCACATCGGCGAAAAAAAATTCCTCTATATGCAAGGGCCAATGTGAAATAAAAATAAAAAAACAATCTAACTTCCAAAAGCGCGGGAAACGCAGGCGATTAAGTCGTGATTAGTTGTATTTTTGTATCTGATTGGTTGAGAAAGTGGTGCGACCATTCTTGACCAATCACAGAGCAAAGTAAAGCGTTCAAATGGTAACTCTGAAGGAACTGTTCGTTCCTCGAGTGGAGTATCAATGGACAGCTATTTATCAGTGCCTTTGCTTATGGAAAAAAATTTGCGCCCTACCTTTAGTGCAGCGACATCCGTAATATGAGGGCATACAGCTACATTTGTAACCTGTTGGCGTATTCGTGCACGTGCCACCATTAGCACAGGGCTGTCCAACGCAATGATCGATGGCTACTTCGCAGTTTTTCCCAGAGTACCCAGCTGGGCATGTACAGCTGTATGATTGAATGCCATCCACGCAGACCCCGTTATTCTGGCAGGGATCGCCGGCGCAGTCATCAATATTTATCTGGCAGTTCTTACCACTGTATCCTTGTTGGCACTTGCACATGTATTTGTCTAAACCACTAATGCACACACCGTTGTTTTGGCACGGATTTGACGCGCATTCATCGATATTCACCTCACAGTATCTTCCACTGTACCCTTGTTGACACTGGCAATCGAATGTTCCCGCTTTATCGATACACTTTGCTCCGTTTTGACAGTATCCTCGTGTGCAGAGGAGAAACGGTAGTTCACATTCTATTCCGGTGTATTCCGGAGGACAAAGACATGCAAATGCACCAATCTATGAAAATTGAACAATGCAACTTGTTTGATATATGATTCACGATCATGCATGTATTGCACAATGCATATAAATGATCAGGTAGATTGTTTATTACGTGTAGAGGAAGGCAGCGATTACCGTTGTCACAAAAGAAAATACATTTATTTGTTAAAAAATACGACCATAAGAACCTCTTCGCTCCCGAAAAACTGCTCACTTTTCGAAACAGATCGTGTCCGCGAACAAAAATCCGCGCCTATTTTCGCCCCTAGTTGGTGCTTCTGTTTAAAAAGGTGATGACTAAGTTTTCGTTCTAAAGCATACCTTGTCGACGCAAGTAGAGGAGGCGTAACATGGTGTCGAGAGACACTCATTAATTTCTGTCTCGCAGTTCTTCCCTTGGTAGCCAGGTAGACATTCACATCGATATGATTCTTTCGTGTTCACACACTTTCCACCATTGCTGCAGGGACTCGAAATACAAGTGTTAACCTCTGAAAAAGAATTACACGTTGAATTTATAAAGTTGACCAACAAACATTTTGAATATCCTCATGACTGAACCGGTATACAGGGGGAAAAGTTTCTAATTGAAATATATTCTTTAATAAAAGCCATTTCGACAAATACCCGGTAATAACTGTAATCGAAGCCTCGTGATGAGGCTTTGATTACAGTTATCATTATCAGTATCACTTAGTCAGTATTACTTAAGATAGAAGAACATGCTGAGGAAATAAATTAGGCTGATGGTCAGTTAAAAATGTTTTCGTTTTGCTCACGTAGTTTGGTTTGTTTCCTGGCTTATTGCATTGTTTTCTGTTTTTTAATGAGCAACTTCATATCACGTGGTAAACCCCTTTTTTTCCACTGTTTTTCGAATAGACAAATCTAGAAACAGTTGATCAACGCGACATCTTGTTCGCGCTATAAAAGTAAATCTCGTGACTTCGTGACAAGAAACGTGATCCCACACTTAACATTTAGAGAGGTCCTTTGATCACGTGCACATGACACCAAGAAACTTTCTGCTCAATTGATTCATTTATTTATTCATAATATTCGGGGCCCTGCTTAAAAATATTTAAGGATAACAATATGTGCATATATACATATATATAAAAACATGATAAAAGAGCGAATTCGATCATTTAAAACACCAATAACAAGGGTTACCCAAAGTAATAACAATGATAAATAAAACATTTTCATACCTCCACAGTACGCTTGAGAGCTCGCCCCAGTTCCATGTGTAGATTCTTGTCCAGGACAAGGCAGGCATGTCGTTTGGCCAGAATTTGGTTGATAGGTACCCTGTGGACAAGGTAAACAAGGCTCTACACCATTGTCTGAGTAGGTTCCTGGAGCACATTCCACTGTGTGAAAATAAATATTAAAGTATCCGTTAAGGATATTGTTTTGAAATTTTTTTTTTGCAAATTAACTGAGATATAATGGACTTCTGATTATCCAAGCCTTCGAAGGGCAATGGATCTTGTAAAATGGTAGAGTTTTTTAGGAGTTGAGAACAAATAGTAAGGCTTTGCCATTTCCAATTTTTTTTCCACACTCACTGCAGCTCCCTTTTGCGTATTTATTGGGAGGTGAAGAAGACAATCGATAAACCTACAAAGATTTATTATTTACAGCCTTGACTTTGCGTGAGGAAGGTTTTCAATTAAACAGTTAAAACGCTCTTACTGGCAATATGCAATTGAGAGAGGAATATACTAACTTCCACAGTCATGAATTCCTTTAGCAGCAGCCTTGACAGTCGTTGTACCTAAAGGACACTGTGTACAAACTTTGTTACGTTGATCTGATGAGTACGTTCCAGTGGGACATTCGAAACATTTGGCTACGCCAGTTGAAGAAAAGAATCCTGGGCCACATTCATCTGTAATGTTAAAATACAGATAAATAAATCAAAAGTAAATGCTGAATTCTCGAGGAAGTAAAACTTTAGAAAAAAGGGCATTGAAAAATATTTTGGAACCACCTAAATTTTTCCTAACCTGACCTCAGCAATTTTATAAAATTTTGTAGAAATATGAAACTTGATTTTGTGGTTGCAATTGAACAATAAATAAAGTCGTCTTACCAAAATCCCTTTTTTTCAGTTATAGACGGGCACATGAAGCTAAAATTAAGAGGGTGTTCAGGAGGATGTAGCTATGCCATATCATTATCGTCGAGAAATGACATTTAAGTAAACCAGCGCTGATTTAGGAATTGCATGATGCAAAGAACCATCCAAGAACACATTAAAAAGAAAGAGAAAGCTTTGTGAGCATCTCTAAGCTGTCGATTTGTTATTTCTCTATTCCTCAACACAGAGACTCTTTCACTCACAAGGAAGAAACAAGAAACAATGTGCATTACCTGTGCAAGCTGTAAAGTTTTCTTTCCTGGTACCCTGTGTCCAAGTCCCCTCAGGGCATTTTTCGCATGCCAGGGCACCCTCATTAGGGCTGTATTGACCCTCAGGGCACAAAAGACAATCATCTTTGTTAACATTGTAGTATGTTCCAATGGGACAACGTGCTGTTAGAAGAAAACATAATCACTTAGCATTTCCAAATTATCTTAGGTTTAAGACTGGAGAGAAACTGAGAATTTATGATTGAATTTATGTATACAGCGATTGACTAGAGTACAAGCATTCTGTCTTCTTCAACTAAGTCCATCTTGCGGGGCAATAAAAAATTCAGTGAAGAAAAAAATTAAATTAACACGCCAGCGGGACTCTTGGAGTAAGGCGCACTAAAAGTAAGATTCCGCGTAGCACATTAACATCACTAGTTCTTCGCTAATTTTTTCACCGCGAGGTGGACAACGCGAAGAAGGAGGTACTGCTCGTTGCTTAACGGTTGACTTTAGGTGCTACTCGCTAAAGTCTTTTCTTGATCCTTTTTAATTGCGAAAATTTGAGGGATATTCACTATCTGCGAAGATTGCTGGAAAAATACTCCCATATTGCTATTTTAAATGGATCTGAGGCAGAGAGTCCTCCCAAGAAACCCCGTTGACACCTCGATAGTGTCTAAGTTTCGAGCAGTTTGCAAATTAACAATTTAACAAAAGTTGACCAGTGTTCTTACTAAAAAACCATGTGTCTGTGATCATCCCCAAGAGTCCTTCGAACCTCGTTCCCCTCCCCCCTCCCCTGGTAGATGAATGATCCCTAAATCCCGGGATAAATGGCCTCCAATTACTCAAGAATTGTTCTTTTGCTGAACAGGAACAGCCGAGCTGGATTGTTCTGGTAGCACCATGATGTTATCAAAGAACTTCTCGTACTCAAAAACGTATTAGTTTACTTACTGCACTTCGTGACATCTCCCGTGTCTTCGGCACATTTACAAGGTGGAGCAAAACAGCTGGCTGCGGTACACTTCTTTACCACAGCACCGTCTTCTGAGCAAAAAGCTTCCGGATGTCCGAGATTAAAGTTATCGACGTTGTAGTCGATCAACTCTAAACCAGAGTTTGCCTTGTATTCCACCCAGTTGACTTGCTTGATCCCGTCCAGAACTTGAGTCCTGTCCCCCTCAGTCTTAGTTTTCTGTGCATTGAAATCATCCTGACCTTTTTGGTCATTAGTCCCTGGTGTAAGCCCAGTATTCTTGTCAACGTATATATATTTGATATTTACCTTGAGTAGACAAAAATAATAGAATTACTTTCAAGTGTGAGACTCAGAATAGCCGCGTGGGGGCGGGAGTTGGATTTAAAAATCTGGAGGACACGGATTCAAATTGACCAGTCTTCCAATTTTTGTATAGCACTAGAGAACCCCTATACAATAAAGCATGAATGTGCATACGTGTGTACGTAAGTATTACGAATGTACGTACGTACGTATGTATGTTTAAGAAATGGTTAGCGTGCAGCGCGCAATCATTGAGTTATGGATGCACTTGGGAGTTTCGATGATTGCAAACTGCACATTTCTTTTTAACATTTAGACTTTCAAACATCTTTCGTTTCGTGATGAAAAATAAAAACTGGCATCAGCATGCAACCCACGGGCAAATGGATCGAGTGTTTTAGCCAATCAGAAGACGCGCTTTTGTAAAGCTTTGTTATAAATAGCTATGTGCACATGTTTCTTTAACAAGTAGATTCCATGTTGCCCGGCGTCTTTCCAGTAATAGACCAAAGATGACTTCAAAATATCGCACAAAAAACTAAACGTAGCACACGAGACGCAGCCGAGTGTGTCACCGATGTTCTAACTACATCTGACTTATTTGGTGATCTTTTACTTTACAAACCAGAGCAACATAGAATCTATTTATTTTACATGATAAAAAACAACAACAACAACATTCAGTCAACGTAACGTCATCTTTTCGTCTTTCCTTCAATAGATCACAAGTAAGGGCCAATGATATTGCGTGTATAATTCAGATTATTATGCATTAGAGAGCATAATCAATATACAGTAGCGAGTGAAGTTGACTTGTATATATCTGCAGCAGATATTGGTTTATTATGCCGAGTTCAAAATCTGCCTAATAAACCCCTCGTCCGTGAAGAGTTCTCAAACTCAGGGAGAAGTGTCTTCTTTTGCAGATTGTTTAAGAAATATATGATAAAACAATAAATTAATTAATTAGTTATTCGCATGATATCAGGAATTATCAGACCTCTGCTTTAATAATTCAGGATATCGTGCTCAGCTTCACCTAATAATTGCATATCACCATATAAATTCATGTTTGTTTGTATTTATCTTGCTCGGAGAAGGACAGTTGAGGCAAAACTCAAAACCACAACTGGAGCAAGCCCTCAGCTTTGACCAATTAGATAAGGGAGAAGCTTGTCGATGTCCCATGCACCACTTGGCGTCTGAAAGGCTTAAATATTTTTTTAAAGAAACACGGGGGTAAGTTTTCTTTAGGGTTTGTCAAATGATAGAGGATGTTGGACAAACTATCACCCCCTTAAACTCTCCTAATCAGGGGCCCGTTTCTCGAACGCCCCGGTAACTTATCGGGGCTGTAAAGCTGTTCTCTTTTCATTCAATATAAGGGTTGAAAAAGTTTTGAAAATTGTACAATAAAACTTTCAGCTAAAGAAACAAAATTTACTGGTTAGGGTGTCAGAACCTGCTTTTCTATTCTTTAAAGTTTGATTCCAAAATACAGTTTTGGGCCCGTTAATTCGCCAGGACTTTCGAGAAACAGGCTACAGAACCCCTCTGATACTTACCACCTTTTCCGAATTTCGTCTTCGCCTTCTCTGCGCAGCTGTTTTTTCGCCACATGAGACTTCAATAGTATTGACATTACACTCGTCAGGTTTCTCCTCGCAGAAGAATGGTGGAACAAATGGGGAATTAAGAAGTGTAAGGTAGTTTTGTTTTATTTGATCTTGCACATTAGGGTCATTGCAGTCCCCATCGTAATAGAACCCGGCTATACCAAACATTTTTATAAATGAAGGATTCGCAGTCGCTGCAAATATAAAGAAACCAATTTGTTAAGAGAACAGCTATTGATTATTTAATTAGGCTTTTGTTTATATTATCTAACTAGGCTTTTGTTTATATTATCTAACTAGGCTTTTGTTTATATTATCTAACTAGGCTTTTGTTTATATTATCTAACTAGGCTTTTGTTTATATTATCTAACTAGGCTTTTGTTTATATTATCTAACTAGGCTTTTGTTTATATTATCTAACTAGGCTTTTGTTTATATTATCTAACTAGGCTTTTGTTTATATTATCTAACTAGGCTTTTGTTTATATTATCTAACTAGGCTTTTGTTTATATTATCTAACTAGGCTTTTGTTTATATTATCTAACTAGGCTTTTGTTTATATTATCTAACTAGGCTTTTGTTTATATTATCTAACTAGGCTTTTGTTAATCTAAACGATAAAAAGGAAATTTATATCTAGACAGTGGTTGATCATGAAAAAATTCAAAACTCGGTTCCACCAAGGAGAAATGTTACTGGGATACAACATTGGAAGAAGTTAACTTCTCTAACACTATTTTTTACCACTCACAGGCACCTAGTTTGCAGTGAAACCGAAATTCCCTAAGTATTTAGGGCGAAAAAATCAGCTTCCAGGCTAGCCTTATACCGTAGCCTAAGGCGTGCTTGAGAAGTTTTACAGTTTGGTGAAACACTTTCCAAAGGTATCCATTGATTAATCTTCTCCATCAAAACCGAAATCAATTATCCCCAAGCATATTGTTTTGGTTTATGTCTTTTATTAGCGATTCGCACTCTTTGCTATTTCGAAATTTCTATAGTTTCCCCTAAAAGCTGGAATTTGCCGGGTTCCACGGAAAATTAAATTAAATTTACCATTCATATAGCGCTGATCTAAGCGCTTTAAAATATAAAAGAGAGAGGGGGAGAGAGGAACAAATATTTCAAACAGACATAAAGGGCTTGAAAATCCCAACTGGCAGGAAGCAGACCAGTTGGCTATTTACACAGCGCAGCCAAGAAGTTGAACTCGGGGCGATCGAGAACAAATCCAGAGAATGGCAGGGTGGAGGACTTGAACCCGGAACCACAAGATTACAAGTCCAGCGTCCTAATCACTCGACCACGCGGCTTCCTAACTGTAATTGTAATTGTATCAACAATTTAACCGATGATCACAGTTATGTCAACCTAAATACCTGAACAATCGGGCCAGGGCAATTCTGTTGAATATGGAATATTTGGCAAACCATAAAACTTCCACTCTCCAGATGAACAGTAATAAAGGAAAGGAGGATTGAAAACAAAATCGAAGCCTGATTGACACTGCACGCTGCACGTGGGATCTTGTCCAATGGTGTGACAGCTCAAAGCACCATTCTTCGGAGGCGCATACAAAGGGCAGGTCTTTTCTTAAAGATGAAATATACCATGGAAATGAGTCTAGTTTAACAACAGAACCGTATAACATATGCAGTCAGCACTCGAGCTAACTGGCCCTCACCGGCGAAGCTTCTCCCCATTTTCCACTACCCCTGAATGAGATGCTCATCCGTGGCAGGTTACCCTTCTCCCCTCTCTCAGCCTTACCTCATGATTTCCCAACTGTTCACCGTTGCTCATTTGCATCTCTAGCTCTGGGTGGAGAGAGGTAGCGTAAAAAATGTCCTGTCGAAGAACACAGCACAATGACCTGGCCAGGTCTTCAGTGCAGCTCAACTATTGTTTCCCACTGAACAAGTTTATAATTCAAAGTAATGATTTTCTCGGATGAAACACTACGAGGCCAAATTAAGACACCAAATAAAGGGTATTCCTTGGAGTGCTGGTGTAAAATTTGACTTTCCTAGGAACTTTTATCATAATGATATGAGTTTGGTAAACTGGGATCGACAAGTAAGGTGAATCGTGTATAATTTGCTCCTATGCATACAGTCTGGATTTTTTATAGAAAGAGAGAACGTTGGAACCAAAAAAAGATGCCTTTGATAGAAATCACAATTATCTTTTTAGTTGCCCTCAGAGAACATTTGTCTGATAAAACAAAAAAAGGTATGGAGGTAAGGGTGATATGGAGCCGTGCAATATGCAGGCTGCACCGTGAATATCGGTGCAGCCTGCAAAGGTAAACGTCTAGGCTTTAGACCTTAATTGGAAGTAATCTACTCAGGCTCGCATAGGACTCCCAGAAATGAAAAAAACCCTTTGTGCCAGAAAGATTTTATGATGGAGGCACTGTTACCCCGTAAGGAGGTATTCATTCAAACATTCGTTTAACTTTTAAGCAAGATACTCACTCTTGAGGGTTATTCTGAATGAACAGTTTTTGTTCACGTTTTTGCCATCGTCTACAGTATAGACAACTTCGCTAGAACTTGGCACACTGAACAGGTCACCAGATTGTCTGTTAGAATTGATGTTTGGTGGATTGCCAGAGTTATCCGTACAATTGGGCCTGTCCCAATTGACTCTGATTTCAATTTCGGTAGCGTTGTCTATGGTGATGTCGGTCGGACAGTAGCCGCAAGTTGGTGGCTCGGTATCTACAAAAACGAGAGCAGTGCAATGATATTGGATAGACTCGATTTTAGTGCGGGATCTTGACATGCAAATTAAGATTAAAGGAGAAGTAAGCTCCGCTCCAAAGAAACGGTGGAATATCTTTTTTCGCCATTCAAAAGTATGAATGGCAATTAACTACTCACACTGTTTTAAATTGGCGTAAGTTGTGCTTAAAATCCGACAATGGAAGCCTGCATTATGAAAACTGAGGAACCTAGACCCATAACGTCCCAGAAATGAACTTAAATGGCAGGGACCACCAAATAAACAGCTGCTTTTCTGGTAAATTTTTTCACCTGTTCGTCCATGCAGTGATATTCTGTAAGGTTACTCCACACGTATAACAATAAATTTAAGGTCTCTTCTTTCCGTGCAAGCAACATCTTTATCTGTCCCGTCCGACTTGTATATGGAAAAATCGTGGTCACATCAATACCTGCTGGTTGTTGAACACAGCCCTGGGCGGCAGGTACAACTTATAGCGAATCTTTAATTCTATATAATTTAATACTTTCGTGTTCCCTCTGGCTGTCAACGGTACACTTAGTCTTTTTATTTGCAAATTTATTGCGCCACGTACACAACTCTTTTTATTCTCTTGTGCATACTCTTACCAGTCATGAAAAAGCTAGCACTCACCTGCAACAGCAACGGTAAAGGAGCACGAACCAGAATTCCCTGCGGCATCTGTGATGACATACTTCACACTGTTTGTACCGATACCAATCAGCTTAGGAAGACTTGTGTCTACGTTCTTGTCATTTATTGTCAAGACGACCGAGAACGAGTCAACGGTTATTCCTGGCTCGTCCGCTATTAAAGAATTGTCGGTCCAACTTACATTCCAGCTTACTGTCGCTACGCTTTTTCCTGGGTCGTTGTTTACCTCCAAAAGTGTCGGGCAGCTGTTGCCAAATGAAGGTGGTTGAAAATCTGAGAAAGAAGGGGAAATGTTGATTTTACAATGTAACTTCAATGGCGTAACCAGGATTTTTCAAAGAGGGGGTGGGGGGAGGGGGTCGCACAAAGTCAACCATAGGGTACTCACCAAATTGTTAAGTCAACCTCCACGCTATGTTCTATTAAATGTGAAAAAAAAAGCTAACTAAAAGGGGAGGGGAGTCACGGGCACTCCTGAACCCCCTCCCCCAGCTACACCCTTAAACTTAGAGGAAACACTACACGATGTTTTGCACCAATTTGAGCGCCGTAGGTAATCACTTCACAACAGGCAGATTGAAGATTGAAGAGGAAAAAAATCATCGAGGAAAGAAGATGGACATGGATAATAAAGATTGCTCCTTCAATCGCCTAAAGGGAATGATCATTAATTTAAAGAACTCCTGATTTTCAGACAAATTCTCCCTATAAACGCCATTAGCAACTTAAAAGAACCGTTGTGGAGAATATGGATACTATTGCTATGTGTGAAGAGGGCTAACACGGATTCTAAATAAAGAACTTGGAAGATTACGTTACATGCATAATAATTCAAAAATAGGTAGCATATTTTCTTTGTAGAGTACAAAAAAATATACCTAAGCATGCCGGGCTAGTTTCCCTGTACGTCCAAGTCCCATTTACCAAGCAGGATCTTGAGTCAGACCCAACTGCTGTTGGTAGATAATTAATGTGGTAACCAGATGGACATATCAGCTCACAGCTCGATGGGTAAGTCATGGTACCATTGTCACAGCTTGATGGGTTGTACGTACCAACCGGCACTTTGGGTAACGCAGGACATGTAATCGCTTGAAAAAGTAAACTTACAGTCATACGCCTGGTTACATAAATAATAAAGGTTTATAACAATGATAATAAAAATAACAACTGTTACGATAACATTTCGCAGGATGCATTTCACTATTCTCTATGCGTTGACAAATTTAGAAATAATTCATTCAAACAAATAAACATAGGGAATGAACATAGTGTCTTAGAACCCCAATTGGCAGGAGGCAGACTGGTTAGCTGTACATCCATACAAATAGCAGCCAAGGAGTTGAACTCAGGGCAACTGAAAACAAATCTGGCGAGTAGCGGGGCGGAGGGCGAGAACCTGAGACTACCAAACAAGACCAGCGCCCCAACAAGTCGGCCACTCCGGCCGTCTCCACAGAGGCAGAGTGGCCGATAATGTACTAAGCTGAAAATCTATGTACTTGATAATCTCTCATTGGGTTAAGATTGTTTCTACAGCGTCTCAATCAAGTAACTGTTTGAATCTCTTACGTTCGCAACTGGGAGCTGTTGGTGACCATGTCTTGTCCAGCTGACATGTGTTGAATTCATTTCCTACGCGGTAGCGGTCACTTCTGCATGTGAAACTGCATTTTGTTCCATATACTAAGTCTGCCACTTCGTTTCCGTGTTCATCGGTGCATGTACCCGATGGAGGCTCTCCATAGTCCACTTTTTGCGCTGGGCACCTAATAACTATTGACGAATCAGCGACAACAACGGTCTAGGTTAGACATGTTTTCACTGTTTTAGAAGTCTTATTTGTACAAAACTTAGCGTCGTTGGCTTGTCTTCTACGTTGTTTATGTTTCCGCTACATCATAATCATAGGCGGAATGGCCGTCATACACGAGCATGCTGTCTTTGATTAGCTCTCTTTTTGATAGTTATCTTTGGAGAGAATGATAGAAATATCTTGTTGTTTCCTTAGGATACGTCCTATTCCAAAACATGCCAATTTTGAAGAAAAAAAAAGGAAATGCCCGCTAAGGACGAAATTTCATATTTTAGGCTGTTAATAGTCCACCCTCCCTTCCTTAAGGAACACGCCCTTGAGACCAAAGGGAAAAAATGCTACTGTATAGCGAAAATCCGAGTTTAAAAAAAAATTATCTGCGTTCTATTACCTATGCTGCAAACTGACTGGCTTCGCTACCCGCCATCCAATCCGTGCGGTGATAAGGAATGAATAAAGAGTGCAGTTTTTCATTGCGTGCGGTTACAAAAGAAGGAAGAAAAAAAACGTGGGCCCATCTTTTCGTTAAGTTCTGGATGACTATTAGATTATTCGCTCTCAATTTTACTTGTGTGATGGTGCACTCGAACTTCTTCCTCATCGACGACAACATGGTTGAAATCTGGAGCTCTTAGCGTAATTGTGATTAACCTTTTGATATATGTGATATTTCATTTTACCTGTGCATGTCCAAGGAGTCCCACTATAGAAAATTTTATTTTCATTGTCGACAGTGCATGTTCTTGTGGGTGTTCCTCCTAGTTCAAATCCCTCATTGCACGCAAACGTGCAGTTTGATCCGTACGTGCGATAGCAGTTTCCTTGTAGGGCGCCGTTTGCGGGAATTGTCAGTGCATCACAACTGCGGACTGTCAAAAGAAAATAACTTTATTGGACAGGAGCCGAAAGACCGGAACGCCTTACTTCCATAGCGCACTAATATGTAGTTTTTCTTTTTGTTATTAACTGACTTTTTATTATTATTATTATTATTTTTTTTTTTTTTTTACTTCTGCGAAGAGCAAGGACTGCTCGTAGTCTATCACGATAGCATGGATCACACATGACTTACGTGTACAATCGTTTCCGTTTTCAGGTGTTCCTTCATATCCAACAAAGCACTTGCAATCACCCCTTGTAATGCTGCCGTTTTTCGAATGACCTGAGTTGACAGGGCAGGCTGTACAAGAGAGTGCGTAGCCAAGGAATGTCTTGTAGGTGGAGGCTGGACATTCTAGTTTACAATGAAAAATGGAAAGAATTCACGGTCAGACTTATCGTTTGAAGAATTCTGGGATTAAGCCTTTTAAAGGCTTTTAACCTGGCTCAAGGCTAGAGGAAATATTTACGCTTCCATCTAAGAATATAAAGCATCGCTTCTACATTATGAGGGCAGTCACAGTCATTGCAAAAGTAAGGTTTGATTTGATCAATTGTGCGTCCTGCGGGATATCATTGTATTTCAGCTTCGTGGTAAACGTAGAGTTTGAGGGGTTTTTTTAGCATAGCCAGGTGTATCTAGAGAAGTATGAGGAAAATTCTCATTAACGGACATTTATTATTCTGGCTGATGACATTTCTTTTTCTCAGCTAATAATTCGACGACCAGGCTAAAACTTTTACCATCTTTCATAAGTGTGTTCATCTATCGAAACTTCCTCCAATTTGGCCACCCGTTCCATTTTTAAAGCTAATTTTGTTTTCTTTGCTTTCAAAATGACCCAATTAGTCCAAAATAGCTGCACATTACTTGAGACTTATCACACAGAAAGGGGGGCGCAGTATCTTTTTAAACTACTCAGTAAGTACCTTTACACTGGCCCACGTATCCAGATCCCGCGAATCCCGCGGGACATGAGCACTTGTAGTCGCCATACACCAACCCGCAGGAGCAATAAGCGAGGGGATCACAATTGCCGTTGCATTTTGACGTGTCCACATTTTCAGTTTGCCATAAGTATTCATAAGGGTCTAAAAGACAAGGGAAACGTTTTAGTTCATATCTGATGTCTGATTAACAAACAAATAAAATAACGTAACATTATATATTGCGTATTTATTCATCTTTATGTAAAATGTTTTTCATATCATGATCGCTGTAAATCCATCATGACATGGATTCAAAACTTTTGTACATATGATGAAGTGCTATGACTTTAATCTTTAAAGCGTATGAAGAGATTTGCTCTTTGACTGTAAATCATGGTAATATAGGATTGGAGTCCAATACTCGTGATTAACAAATCAGACTCCCAATTCGCGTTCGTCTGATTTTGTTTATTACTCGTATGATTACTGACAGAATTAAATGACAAGATGTCCTGTTACAAGTTAATCATAACTGTTAAAATTTCCGAAAAAAAAAGTCAAATACATTTAGGACAAACATCTCCGGTAGAGAAATGTCTAACGTAAAAATGTCTTCAATTTGGAAATTCCCTAATGCTTTTTTTTTTTTCTTTTTTTTTTTCTTTTTTTAATAGGTGGTTGTTGCTATGGTTATTGTGATCAATTCTATTATTGGTGGCCATGGATTTAGCTGAGTGAACCTAGTATGATTGGCTGCTTTAACTGTCCGATTACAGCCAACTGTCAGATTACAACTGTTCAGAATGATCAGTGAAAAAAAGCGGCTAATGTATTAATCACATTTGAGGAAATTGTAATGGTTACGATAAAGGTTTAAATCGTATGAAATGTTCGGCTCGATCATTTAATTTCGTAAATCCAGGTCACAGATGTGCATCACTAGTTTTTTTTCCTATGTTTTGGTTAAAATTGCGCAAGACTAAACTTACCTCCTCTAATGTAGGTTGCGAGTTCCGCAAATTCGTTGAAGTCGTGCAAGAAAAAGGCGTGCTTGTCTATGCTATTCTGATCAACAAGGCTCCTAAGGTTTGCCTGATTAACCCCATTTCCAACTCCTATAGCAAAAATCTCAACAGTGCCTGTCACCAATTCCCGTGCTCTTTGCAAAGGACTGGGATCATTGTAAGGATAATTCCAGTAACCATCGGTGAGGAGAATAACGACAGTTTTGATCTCAGTCAGGGGCGTTCTCTTATACGCGTTGTTGAGGCAAACCTGCCATGCTAGCTCAAAAGCATCTCTCATGTTCGTCATATACCCATTAATACTCTGCTGCATTGGGTTGAATATTTCGTTAAATGTACACTTGTTCTTCGTTGGCTTAGGGTCTGAAATCTGGGTGATGAACTTGCTAGCTGAGGTTCCAAACGGAATCACCTCCACGCGGTTGGCTTGCATACCTACGCTCATCTCGTTGAGCAAATTCATGACAAATTTTTTTTCTTCGTCGAACTCGCTTCGGTATAAACTGCCCGAAGTGTCAACCAAGAACACAATGTCGGATTTCTTACTCTCAAAAGCATTGACTGAATTCCTGAGATTCAAAAGCTCATCCTTAGAGACTTTCAGCCAATCTTGAGCAGTGATAAATTGTAGAAACGCCAAAAATAAAAGTACGATGGGGAAGTTCATTTTCCCCATATCGAAATCCACGTTTGGTCAAACGGACAGTATGACCTAGAGTAGAACTGCGCGCTCCATTAACTCTGAGAGTAGTTCGTTAAAACTCAGCTGGGTACACTAATTACAGAGGAATTCTATCCCAATCAGGTCTTCAGCAGCTATGCAAACAATGCTCAATCAACCTAAACAACACCAGTTGTGAATTTCTCAGGGATGTTTCTTCGTTCGTGACATTTAGCTTATTTAATGACTAAGGCCGATACTCAATTTTTGTAATGAATTGCGCGAGATCACGTTTAACAGTTGGAAAACGCGAGTAAATTATGCTCTAGTAAAAATGTAAGTGAAATATTATAGTTCACATATATTATTTTTCATCATCGACGCACTGTCTTCACATTAAAATCTAACTATTTTCCAGTGTTTCTAAATAAAAAAGGAACTCGTTTTAAAGCAAATAGTGCTATAAATTTTCTGCAACTATCAGAGAAATTAAGCGGAGACGTTTCTGAAAAAAGACGGCAACCTAAAGATGAATAAAATTACTTCTGTTACGCTTTGACGTCAATGCATCGACTATCATTTTATCTTATTCATCATTTTAGCATTTCAACCAAATTTTGCAGACCAAAAAGTTGTAGGGAACACTAGAAATAAGAACTTTTATCCTCCGGATGCCGTCCGCGACTCAAAATCGTTTGTCACTAGGCTCCCAATGACGTCAACTTTTTCGTGACAAAATCATTGGATGAAAAATCATTGGAAAAACTTTGAAAACCGTCTGCTTAATACAGGGTGACTGCTTACTACGGTGCCGCTTAATGCAAGTTCGACTGTATTTTTTTGGATCCATGCAAATAAGACTTTGGTTGCATGCGTTCCTGACATGTAAACTGGGATTTATTTCGTTCGTATTCTCTTCGTTATGAAAGGTTAATCCTCTATATTCCAGCCATGAAGCTGGCAACAACCTTTTCATTTTCTGCTCATAGCAAACTGATGTTAAACGATAGCAGGGCTGTCAGGTAACTTAAAAAAACATTCTTACAAATAAAACTGTTTCAGAATTCAACACAAACTTAAAACATCTTAGCTCCACTGCGGATGACTTTGATGTCAGAAATACTATTGACTATCCAAAGAAAAACTCTCTTTTCACGTCAGATGAGCAGATTTTTTACTACTGCTTGTGTGAAATGCAGCCTTAGATATCTGGCTGACTTTACGATAAGATGAATTCTAAAAAGATTTTAAATAGCTTGACTGTATGTAAAAAGCGAATGAAGTGGATTCGTGTTTAAGAAGCCTTCCTTGCGTTACTTAATCAAGATTTTAATTGATTCCTTCCTCTCTTTGTAATTATTTATTATTTTGATAAACGTCATTTTACCAATTTGAATTTTCAGTTGACACTGATATTAACTGAGGCTTTTTTGTTTCGGTGTTATTTTTTCAGTGTCTAAAACTTAGGGGTTAAAACAACGAGTGTTTAGGATCGTTTTCGCCAGGTTTGGCGCACGGTATGATTGCGGACAAAGCATGAAAAGTCTACGTATATTGACGCAGGAAAATATCATACAAATACCAATTGAAAATTCCGAAGATAATGGCAGTTTGTGTAACGTTCGGCACGTTTGTGAGACTGCGTCCGGGGGACTGCGGCATAAAATTTGTTCATTCATAACGAGATAGTTGGTTTGTTTGGCAAACATTTTTCAGGTGCACAAACAGGAAGAAGTGAATAACGTAATTTTATAGTATAGTTTCATATTTACCTTCCATAAAGCCGTTAATGAAAATACAGCTGAGTGTATGCTTAATCAGCACAATGAATTTGAATAGTCCATTTTTAACGAAAAAAAATACCAGTGATCTGACAATTGTGGAAGTTATGATTATGAAAAAGCAGTGCTTGTAAAAGATGAATAACGCTCAGCCAACAACTTTTGCATATCTCCATATTATTAATGAGAAAGAGGAAAAGGAGTTGGTTTTCCATTTGTTGACTTTTATACATCCATAAAGCCATAAATTAGCCTTAACGAGAAGCTGGAAGTCCAGATTCGTGCGAGAAAAATCTTTTTTCTTTCGTCGGCATTGTGTGAAGAATTCAGCTGAACAAAGCCGGTACTGCTCTTTCGCATTTTCGCTTACCAAGTGAGCGGTTATGCAAACTGAATTAAGCAAAATCTAGATTCTTCATAGTCTCTGTGGTACATTTATATGGCTGCTATGACGTCAAGCAAAAACGAGAGATCAACTTGCTAAACGGAAATATTTAATGAGACTTCAGAACTGTTAGAAATTGATACATATCACAACTCTTGGCTACTGTTTCTGACAATCAATCGCCAATATCACGAACATATCTTGATCACTGAATGGATATCCAATTTTTGTGAAACATCAACGCTTGAAGCTTTTCCTTGACTTAACAAATTTTTACAGTGACTTGCTCTTTTAAACAAAAATCAATCTTTGTTTCAATACTGGAGAAATTTCAAAATGGAAGGCGCTTTCCTCTTAAAGTTTTGACCCACATAATTTTGAAACATGAAAAAACCAAGTTTTAAAGCGACTGCGCTGGAGTCCTACAAGATACTCAGCCCTTACTATCTGATATGGCAGTAAACATAGTAACATAGATGTCCTGAATCGTGCAAAGGAAGAATTTTCATGAGCGCAAAAAGAAGGAATATGCAGCGAGACGCGACATGATGTGAAATTGACCAATCAAAGCCTTTGTATTATCGACAAGATGAAACAATATCATGCAACAGCTGCCTAAATCTCCTCCATCTGAAGTCGAGAAGCAGCTGCTTCTTTCACACATTGAAAATTTTAAACTTTTTTTCAAGATAAATTACTCAAAATTATATCTCATCCACAGTGTTTTAAATGAAAAATATCCGCAGCTTTTCCACTTTCATCCTTGGTCCTATGACACTTGAAATGTTTTTCGACTTATAAATCTTTTGGTAAAAGATAGTGCGTTAACATCCTCATGAGTAATTAAGATGTGATGTATAGTGAGTAAGTCAATACATTGAAGGACATAACTGATGAAAAATTAGACAAAAAAAAAATCTAATGCCCTCAAGGTCACAGAAAGAAACAGTGCGTTTTTTCAATTTCAAACAGCACATACCATGGAATCAGTAAAGTAAACTCATGCTATAAAATTAAAACTAGTCCATTCAAATGCCCAACACTCTATTTTGTTACAGTAAGACTAATATCATTTCTATTGAAATTAGGACACGTTTTGAAGTCAACTAAGTTGAAACCTTGACAAACACATAGGGAATGTATGGAAGTTTGGTTTTGTTCATTTTCTTGTGAATCCAAACATCATTACAGTTAGGCTTAATAGGAATATCTTATAAAGGAAATACATTTTTTTTACTGTTAATTTCAATAAAGAAACAAAATTTATGGTAATGAGCATACCCCATGGCAAGCTGAGTACACAAAAGTTTTCCAAGTCGATCCATTACCCATGCCTCACTCTTGCGAGACAGCAGAATCTGCACTCTCTTCAAGAATTGCACCGGACATCAGCTAAACAAGGTTCACTGGAGTGCATTAAATTTCACGACCTTAAGCGACACAAGATGAAAATCAGCCTCGTGAGTTGTCTTTTACTCTTTGCTTCTGTAGCGTTTGTGAAGGGAAGGTATCTCACGGAAGAAGACTTGTCGGAGGGCTTGGAAGATGAACTCAATGAACTTGAGCCATGGCAGCTTGAAGACCCACACATGAGACATAGGCCAAAGCCAGTAAAATCTCTGAATGTGAGTGATCTATGTTTCATTTCATTTTATTTCACATTGTCTTGATTCGGGGTTTATCTTATTTGAAAGAGCTTTTGCTACCAGTTACCTTCGACTAATGCTGATACTGTTCGAAAATGTGTAAGTAATGTTAATACTTTATGTTATGGTTAGTGCTGTGGGCATTGCTGCTTTTCTAAGAAAATTAAATATTGTAAGTAATACCGCCATTGCAAGTAATGTTAATACTGGGCACATGTGTTAAGACCATATTATAACAATCCTTCGACTGCACTGTGTTTACTTAAAGTAGGCTTCTGGCCGACATTTAGGAGAGCAATTCTCTAGGATAAAATCAAAGGCGTTTGTAATCTTCTCCTTTTATCTCGAACTGTCTCCATTAACACTTACTTTTCTAAGCATTTTAAAGTGTTTTCTTTTCTCTATTAAATGAATCTTGCTAATCTGCCTTATAATGTATATTCTCGGTGATCTCACTTAAATCAGAATAGATTTATGAAGACCTGCAAGTTTTTTTTTTTTATAAAATTTTGGGTTTCTCGTATACCTGATGTAACCTCCATTTCATTCTAACAACAGACAATAGGTACGATACCAAAGAGAAATGCTGTTTTCTCGATCGCCATTTTAAAGGAAGGTTTATTATCCTGTTCTCACGTCAAAGTAAATATTCAGAGAAGGACTAAGGCGAGGTTAATCATGCACTATTCCATTTTCCATAGGGTGCCGTAGAACTTTTGTTGGGTTGTTTCCGAGAAGAAGATGGTCAGATGAAAGAGAAATGTAAAAGGAAATTTAGAGAAGCACTGCCTAACAATCTCCCCGATGTAGAGAGAGTGGTAAGTAATTTTATTTAAAGTAAACTTATTTCTCAGACATGACACCGTCTCTTCAAGAATCACTCGATTTCTGCTGCTCTTCGACCTACTTGACATCTATCAAAGTTTATATGATAAGCTGATTCCTACTCGTGATCTATTGGAGAACAGACCCCTAGCTGAGGTCACCATAATAAACCATTTTTATTTCTTTATTATATAAGCATGGGCTGCCCCCCTCCCCCCCCTCGTGTGCTAATTATTGAACGGACGTACCACTAGATGGTATCTATTTGTTAAACTTTTGGCAATACTTAAAACCTCAGTGATCCAAGTCAGAAATCCTATATATATATATATATATAACAAATTATACCATACCATAAACTACACTTCTCAAGACTGAACTCAACTATTCCACTACATAATTTGGTTTTTTCAATTGAGTTGATCGATAATGTAAATTGGTCACCGTAAAGAGGTTTAACGCTGACGTTTCTGACGTTAATCCTTCGTCAGAGCGAATGGCGAAAAGCCCACGCTTGAAAGGTCAGCTTCGAACCTCTAGTGGTAAGTCTGATAAAACTAACTTATCTTGTCAATACTCCACCACCCACACAGCACTACAGTTTCCTTAAAAACTTACCCCATTTATTCCACTCTATAATTCATAATTTCTGGTCTGTTCTTTTCTTTTCTTTCATTCCTTTTCTTTTTCCGTTTCATTTCTTCTTTTCCTTCTTTTCCTTATTTCCATCCTTTACTTTTCCTTTTTTTCTTTGGGTTACCTTACTCAGTTATGTTCGTTTCTTTCCCAGGTTGAATGTGCCGAACAAAGTTTTCAGGAATGTATAGGAGCACCAAAGGGGCACAAACCTATGAAATGCATGCGGGATTTCAGAGACTGCATGAAAAACGAAGCAGATGGCTCTGGAAAGTAGTTGAAATTTCCTTTGTAGCCATCGTGTACACTATGTGTCACATACACCATCGGGGAATAGCAAGTTATAAGTTGTGTTTATAGTGTAGATGAAGACAATTGTCTACAGTTAAATAAATCTTCAAAACAGAAACTCCTGCGTAATATTTTTGCGTCAATCAGGGCTTTAATTGCTCTCAATGTACAATATATCGCCTAGAAAGAAAAGATTCATTTGAAGTAAAGTTTTTAAATCTTCTAAAGTTGCTGCTTAGCGGGGGCTTTTGGCAGCTCTCGAGACGACAAACATGAGCTGGGCTGATAGCCTTGTGGCTAGTAGTTTTTTACTTTTAGTAAATTTTTTAAATGTTCTATAGTTGCTAGTTATCAGGGGGCTACTGCCAGTTCTAGAGACGATGAAAGCGAGCTCGGCTTATGGCCTTGTTGCTATCAAGTTAGACTCACAAAGTATTTACACAAGTCACGTACCTCTCACATTTAGTCCCTTTAGTAAAGAGCATAATGATGGATACTGGCTTTTTAACGGGAAAGCCTTGCTCTATTACGGAGAGTTCTCATGTGACGGGCCATTAGCCCTTGCAGGAAGATCAGTATGCTGCAAAAACCGCGGGTAACCTTTGGCAGTGTGTGCCAATGTGGCCATTAAAGCATAATAACACGGGATAAATGTCTCCCGGAACTAAAGGCTTTGTGAACCGTTCAAAAGAGTTCAACGTGGCACAATACTATATGCGGGATGCCCCAATTTTCATGAATAACCTTCAACACCGCAATTCTTATTAATTTGCATTCTCTCTAAAAGTGCTTGAACAAATTCATTCCATACTCTCTCTCTCTCTCTCTCTCTCTCTCTCTCTCTCTCTCTCTCTCTCTCTCTCTCTCTCTCTCTCTCTCTCTCTCTCTCTCTCTCTATATATATATATATATATATATATATATATATATACATATACATATACATACAGGCTCCACTGTATGTGGAAAACATAGAGAAGTTCAAAGAGTAAAACCGGCGTAACGTAAAATTAGTCTTAGTATCTCTCATGAGTGAGCGAAGCTCACTCGTGAGAGATACTTTCAGCACGAGAAGATAAGATTCGTATCCCCAAGCGGCCATGTGATGTTCTGTTTATTCATTTTCGAAACAGCAAAAGAACCGGCCGCGCGCCTGAGCGGGAAGCTCTCTTGTAATTGGCTAATCTTGTTAGTAACCATGGCGACACCAATATCCTCACACGTGAAAGATAAAAATAGTATCTTCACTGCGCGCGATGAAGATATGATTTTTAAGTAAAAAGAAAAATCCTGGTATTTCATCACTATCTATGTAACAAATTGCTTTTCTTCGAAAAAAAATTAAAACTGGCTATCACCAAAAGCTCCTCTCACAGACTATAACAGCTGGATAAACAATTTCAGACTCCTGTAAAACACACAGCTGTTGTCTTTCTTATGGACTCGATCGTTCAAAAACGAATAATCATTTACAGTTACAAATATCTGAAATAAAAAATTTAATAGGTTTGGCACTTATTTTCACTGAAATATTCCTTGGTGTTAAACTCAGCATGCCTTGATTCGTGATAGTTTCTTTAAAGATAAACTAATTCTACAAAGCACTCTTGGATTGATCTTATTAACATTCCATCTGTGACGAAATTTTGAACCCTTGCGCGGTTGCTTTCTTCTTTATAGCCCAGCACAGCGAACGACTTTCGATTATTTGGCCTTTCCGTCTAAAAGGAGCCAATTTCAAGGCATTTTAGACATTGTGACGAATTCAGCTATTCCGAAATATGTAAGCCTTTTTTTCCTTAGATACTATCTACAAATAAATAGCTCCAAAAAGTGACGATTATGTGCATTATAACTAACAGGTGATCAAATAATCTAATAGGTGCATGAATATTCCAAAAGTTTGCGCTTTTACGGTTAAGATAACATTTTCGTGAATGTTCAACTTACTAACTACAAAATCGTAACCTAGCTGCTCGGAACTGCAATGAAGTTAATGTTGGTTATTTTATCCTTTGCCGTTATTGGCATCACGACAGCCATGCACATGGTAGATATAAAGAGAGATGCACCGCTGAAAGATCCAGAGATGAAAAGAAAGATCGAGGACTTGATAGCCGTAAGTATTACAAACAAGGACAAGAGTGATTAAGAAAACGAGTGCGTAAAGTTCGTGGCTTCCTGAGGTGAAAATATCCACTTTTACCACGAAAAAGGAATCTTTTTTTTGTTTTTATAAAGGGTTTATTAAGTATTACTGAAATAGTGAGTGAAATCTGAGTTCGTTTTTAATGAATGCCGTTCCTAATAGCTTTATGTTTAAACTCGCTACTGTCGTAATTTAAAAAAAATTAGCTTCTGAAAGGAGAGAGGTCATCCTATTAGGGAAAAATTATCGTTTTCAATTGAATTGAGAACTCCTCGTTACAAACAAGGTGCAATTGTGATTATTGTAAGAATAATACACTGCAACAAATTAGGATTATTATCTCGGGCCGACCGCATTTCACATTTTTTAAGCTTATCCATTTTCAGATTTCTTCGATTTTTCCCTTTGAATGGCCTTTTCAACCTTCTGATCTTTTTTTTTTTTTTTTTTAAGAGGAACTAGGCCTGAGATTGCCCATTATTGGTTTGGTTGTATTATACTTACTAGCTTTTGAAATACACGAACAGTTATGAAATTCAGTATATATTATCTGAATGTGGTGTTTCAGTTTACTCTTATTCCCTTAAAACTGCACGTATTCATAAAATTTTTTTCATATCTTGGCTTTAGTCGCTGATTTCGCAGCGAAGTAGTCGTTTTGTAGTTTTCAGTGTGACGAGTCCAGGGAAGAACGAGGCGAACGCGAAAGACGCGGATGACAAGCGAGAGGAACAATACTGATATATGCCTTCGATCACTTGAAAGCGCAAAATTGATCGCGCCAGTTTTGCATGCCAACGCAGCGCCCCTTTTGGCATCAACTTACGGCTTAGTGAGCTGAGTTTATTCAATAGAACAGTTTTCAATTGTCAGTCGAAAATAATCGGAACATGCATCTGGTTTTTCTTTACTCGGCGCGGAGATTAGTCTCAAAAACCCGCGCCTCCTTCTCAAACCAACCCGAATCAAAACTGAAACCAATCGCGATTTGGTCACTCCTAGTTTCCTGCGCTTTAGGCAGTTAACCTGTTTTACTTTGATTTTCCATCAGCGTATTTCGATATCTTCATTTACTTTGATTGGCTGTTGTACACGACTGATGCGGTTTCAGCTTTACGACGCGCAATCGAAAAAGGCGATCTTAGATCAAAAGTCAACATCAATTGAGGTCAATCCAATGTGTTCATTGTTGATGTTTGTATTGCAGGAAAGTCTAACGAAGCTGCATAAATGTCTATCGGACACAAAAAAACTGAAACAGTGCTTCAAAGACTTCCACACAGACCTGAATCCTCCTCCCGCGGCCGTAAGTACCTCATCCTATAATTTGATAAACTTTCCGCTTCAAAGTCATAACGACATCAACTCAAGACCTCATAATTACATCAATTTATCCAAGTTCCCTTGACATGAAACTGCAACTGAGGATATCCTCTCCTTCCACTAGCTCATGTGCTAGTCCATAGCTACAACTTCCCCTCCCCTCCCCCTCCCCCACCTCTTTCCCCTACCCCCTCCTTACACTAATCAGGTACCGAGCCAAGATCAGGGGTAAAGGTCGTCGACCATTTAAAAACAGGTTCTCGAAGAAGTCAGACCTCTGAATGGTGACCAAGAAGAGATGAGGACAAAGCAAGTTAAAAACAAATGTTCCCCATCCCCTCCGCTCCCCTACCTTTTGACCGTCGCCCACTGACCGCCTTGATACAATTTCTTTTCTCTCCTGAGCCTTCCGCTGCAGTAAAAATCTCTGCTGGCCGCTATAATTTTCACTAAGACTGAATACTGAGTACTCGCTCGCTAAAATTACGTCTGCTGTGCAGGTTTAATAGCAGAGCTCGCAGAGCGTAGCCCCATAATTATACAAAATAACAGTAACCCATCAAGCCGAAAAAATTTGGACTTACGACCGTACGACCGACCGTACAAGATGCTACTTTTACCATGCGTGGTCAACTGTACCGCGGGAACACCAACGCCACGGCTTTGTCCAGTAATCTAGTGGTCAGTGCACTGAGCTCCGAGTCGGACGACCCGTGTTCTAGTCCTGGCCGAGGCAAGGCGTTGTGCCCTTAAGACGTGCGGGAAAAAAAAATGCGAGCTCCGCTTTTAGGCTTGGCTAAATCTATATATTAACTGTAAGATTCTGTATTATTTTAATGTACAGAGCTCCTGTACATTAAAATTACATTTGCTGCGCAGGCTAATAACTGTTAGATTCTGTATTCTTTCAATGTACAGAGCTCCTGTGAGAACAAGTTTGAGGGATGCTACACCAAAGCGATCCAGCATCATAATGGAATGACATGCCTTAAAACTTTTCTCAGATGCCTGGAAGAAAAACGTGTCATTTGAGTAAGATGACCCGGCGTTTTCTTGTTGACGGCAGATATGGAGAATGAAAGATTCAGTGAACATGAATAAAGCTATTTTTAAAGTGTCGTTCGCCATGTTCTTACTTTCGATTGAGTTTCACCTCAGTCAATTTGTAGATAACTAAATTTAACCCCATCCCTGTTGAAGAGCTAATTTTCGTTCGAGACGATGGCAACTTTGGAAAGAAACCATTGCATCATGACTTATTGAGACGTCAGTTTTGGAGGAGCGCGATCTAAGCCTCGCACGTCGCGAGTTACTGTGTGACTCTCAAAACTGTAAACACTTTGATTTCATTTCAGCAAGTTAAAAGTGTTCTGGCACATCACAACAAAGATAAGAACACGTGAGAAAACTTCAAACCACAAACCACTGAACCGTTTAATTTATACTTAATGTTTCCCTGGAACACAATAACATTCAACAAATATTTTGATGATCGCGGTTTTCAGAGTTGCACAGTATAGTCAGTCTCATATGTATCTTTAACCTCAGTTTATCTCCACTCATATTCTCCCTTTGATAACTTGATTTGCTTATCTACTTTATCTTAGATATTTTGACTCTGATTGATATTTTCAAGGTTATACAAG